ATTGGCTATTTTATAGAAGAACAAAAATGAAGAACCGCTTAAGGCACCAAATGTCTATTTATAACTATAATTTTTCAACTAAAACATATAATTATACATCGAATTTCCTTACAATTATTTGGTTGTTTTTATAATACTCCTTTTTTAATTGTCTTGTGAAAGGAAAAGAAGAAGCTTTTTTATTCGTCTGAAACCACTCAGAAGTTAATTTTGACAAGGCGAAGTAAATTTTAACATATTTTTGCAAATTTTTAATAATTCCGTTTTTATCTGTTTGCCAATAACTCGCATATAAATAATAATATTTACTTAGAAATGATTTTGTTTGTGTGCTTTTTTATCTACAGTTTTGAAAATTTTTGTAGAAAAATCACTTTTTTCTACTAGTTCATTATAATTATTGAAGTTTTCCCTGATGACACGTAATCAAAATTCCTTCGTTTATTTTTAGAATTACCCAAACCTGATCTTCCCTGCACCTCCAAATCCCCATTAGCTTGAAATTTGTCCTCACTGGGCGTGACAGTGCCGTTGGTGACTCTTGAAATCGGATCCGCGCGGGCTTGTCTGCCCCAGAGTTAAGAAACCTTTTCATACAAATAAGCTGCCATCCTTTTGAGTGCGCGACCTCTGCTCTCTTCTCTTGTAGAGACGCAGCGAGAGGGATTTTGACTATTAATTAAGCGCCAAGGACAAAAATAAAACGTGTCCTTTGATTATTCCTTAAAGCCATGAGCCATTTGCGGTCTAGGGAGCAATTACTGATATGATGACAGATTCGTCCAAAATTGTCATGTGAAAGCCATACAAGGTTTTTATATTCATTTTATTTAAATAATAAATTTAGTTCTAATATGTCTCTATTAAAAAAAAAATACTAGAGGAAAAAATTATGTAGAAAATTTAATATAAATTCACAAGTTTTATCAAAACGAAAACAGACAATGTAATGATTGAATAATTTAAAAAAATTTAAAGTAACAAATAAATTTTATTATTTTTTAATATTACAAATTAGGAATTTTGATCATTGAAGAAATCTAAATGAACTTTTCAAAAATTTTGATTTAAACATAGGTTGATAACGAACTACATCAAAATTGTTTTTATCATTTATAAAATCTTAATAAAAAAAAGGGAATGATTCCAAATTATTTTGATTCCAGTAAAATAAGATCAAAAAAATCTTGGATGGAGTTAGAGAAAGACAATTTCGGAATAGGCGACTGTAGTAAAATGTGTTCTGTGGGGTGCAGATGGTGCAATTATCCCCTCGAGTGCTACCAACACACAACACGCCCCGAGCCACCATAGGGGTGATGCCACAGGAGGTTGTTAAAATTTAAAGATTGCAGCAACAAAGGAGCATTAAAATAACTCAGCAATCGATTCGAAATGGAGCGCGACAGAATTTCCGAGTCACAAAAAGCGCCCTTTGCTTTTGCTTTCAAAGAAATACGCGTTTGATCTCGTCGTCTCTTTTGAATTTATTAGTCCGAGTGTTGATTTTTGTCTACAGATTGGGAGATTTTTCTTCTCAGATAGTTGGAATAATTGTTGGTGATCTGGTGAGTTATGGCGCGGGCCTAGGTTGAAAATAAAAGCGTGGGAGTGGATGGCAAGGAGAATCTCACGGACAGGGCGGACAATGGATTTTGGGTTCAAGAACCATGAAATATGGCCACGACTATTATTAAGAGTAAAAATGATACCCGCGCTAAGAGAAAGAAATAAGGGTATCACTTTGAGAGACAGAAATTGAAGGTGACGCGTGTTTAACAATGGAGTTAACAACCATTTGGCCGCTTAATTAAAATCTGTCTTTTATTCTTTCAGTTTTCACACGCATGTTTATTTGCCTTTTGTAAAAGCAGAGGTTTCTGACAATTCTCTCTTAAGAACTTTGCTCTGCAGCTACCCTCGAAAACGTCCATCGATATCTTTTGGTTTTTTAAAATATTCATTGATTTTTATTGCCATTTCGAATCTTAATTCGTTAATTTAATCCATTTTCTTTTATTAAATTCGTTTTGTATTTAGTAAATCCTCGCTTATGCAAAATTATCAGTGTCTAAATTTTTAATAAAAAACCTACAAGTAATAACTATCCTTTGTGTTTCATTTAATAATACAGCTTTAATTTAAGGCGAAATTTGTGAACGATTGAATTTTTCAATAAAAAAACATTCAAATTTTTTAAAGGGGATAAACTGCTGCAACAAAATTATGAAATCTAAGCTTTTCCTTGTGAAGAATTGACTCAACTGTGATATTGAATTGTACAAGACTCGCAAAATTTTGATGCATATAGAATTATAAAACGTGATGCTCCAATTTAAGACAAATGACGAAACACCCGCCGCGTATTATTCCTATAGCGCTGATAAGATAAAATTACAGTGATAATGGTAGGCCACTCTCACTTAAGCGAAAAATGAGACCGTGATAGGGATATTATACGATTCCTTGTGCTCTCTGAATGGAGTTTTATATTTCTCGTGCCAAAGGAGAAGGAAACGAGAGCCATAAAATATTTCTGTCTCATCATTATTGGCAATAGGAGGAATGTTGAGAGGGCAAACTTAAAAATTATATTATGCGAACATTTTTGTATATATAGAGGAGCCCAAATTATCATTTTCATAATAATGGTTAAAAAAGTTTAAAAACAGACTGTTCTGCATTTCTTTCTGTTTTAAGCTTCAAATTTATATGTTAAAATGAATTTGTTTTTATTTTCACAAACTTGTATTCTCAAAAATACAATTGTTATGAGAAAATTGAAATATTCTATACAAATAATTTATAAATTTATAGCCAATGTTTTCAAAAAAAAAAAAAAAATCACTATATTAAAAAAGAAATTTTCTGGTAAAGGAAATTTTAAGCACTTTTGAGCCCAAATATACATAAATAAAAACAAATCAAAACTCTACGTAATAAAAAAACAAAGAATGAAAAATTTCTGGATGAAATGATCAGAGCAAACTTTTTTAATTATAAAAGTTGTGTTCAGTTGATACATTAATTAATTATAAAATCCATTGTCAGACAATGAATTTTGCTGTAATAATTTATAGAATTCAATAGCTAAATAAAAAAAACAGCATTTTGCACTTCCCTAGCAGGGCGAAGAGCTTCTTCTCATGTATACGAGAGATTCTCCTTTCGTCATCCTGCAATGTTTCATTGTGCAAAAACACGCCCGCCTCTCGACTCTGCCAAAGAGGAATTCGCGTGCATGGCGTCAAATCTGCGAGACTCATCTCTGAAAACAAGTACTTGATCCTCGGCAGGTACGAAATTATATTATGCCGGCGTTTACAGTTACATTCGTTGCGGACGAGAACCTCCCAGTTAAAATTCCGCCGGCCGGCGAAGAAGATAATACGTTGGTACGTGAAACGACTCGTACTGCGATCGCTCTCAGGAATGTGCGCGGCTAATTGGCCGACGAATCCATTGCATGCAAATTTGGCACTCGACCGTTTCGGCGCCGCTTCCAGCCTGTCTAATTTGCGAAACCACATTTTCATCAAGTGTCCTGTTTGTCAGCAGGGATCGAATTTCAATTGGTTTTTTTCCATCAAAATTTGCGGTTTACTTCAAGGTGGAGCTTTTCTAGGGTCAATTCATTCAAAATTTGCAGAAAATCTTACAACATTTCAAAAGTTTTTGATAAAAATAGCTATTCAAATTGATATGACCCTCACAATATAAGAATTAAAATTTTCTTCACAATTTGGAAGTTTTGAACGATCAGGCACAGCCGGTGCAACTATGTAATTGTAATTACATACAATACGCCCAATTCACTGCCACTGCTAGTATATTTTTATGTTCATATGATCTTAGATTAAAGGTTTTCAAATATTACAGTAAAACTTTAGTTACTTTAATAACGAAACAAAAAATTATATTTAAATAATTATAATGAAAAAAATTTAAAAAAAATTAAATTGTTTATTTTGTGCTTCTAAATTATTTACTTTAATATTTTTTATGAAAATAATGTGCTTAAAAAGTTATTGTACTTTATACATATGTTTGCATTGGGATCGCGTTTAACTCTCATTAAAATGTTCCAACGTCATGCATGATAATTACAGGGCTCATCAACGCTCGCCTCGCTTTACCTGCCCAACAAAAAATCTAAAGAAACGCGCCTCTCTTTCTGATTGCGCTGAAGGGACTACTACCGGTGTTACCCGAGGGGTCTGACTGACGATGAGATTCACAATGAAGAAAAGAAGGAGCAGCAGCAAGGAGAAATATTAGGAGGAAACGAAATCTACCTGTGAAAAGCTGTTCAAAGGGGGAGGATGGAAGATGCAGGCGCAGGGATGAATGACGCGGGCAGATGTGAAAATCTTGGGTCTTTCTTTCGTGTCGCACGTCGCTCGTTTGTTATAAAAACCATCCAAAATGGATCAGTACAAAATATTTATAAATTGATTTTATTTTTAACTGAATTCCAGTAAAAGATTTCTAAATTTTGCCTTATCGAAAGATTTGAGAGGAAAATACGTGCGTAATTCTAAAAAAAATATTAAATGGATTTACTTGGTTACGAACTAAAAGTTATACCTAATTATTTACAAACTGCTTTCAACTTCGTGTGATTTTAAGTAAAAATAAAAATTAAATGGGAAAACGTGGATTTGAAGAAATTTTGTGAGGGAAGCTTGAAAAATCTATTACTAGTCGAAAATTAAATTGAAGATCAACTACTGAATTGCTTTTGTTACTCAAAAAAGTAGAAATTTAAAAAATATGGTATTATTTTAGGTTTTCTTTTTTTTTTTTTTTTATTTTACCTGATTTCTATTAAATTTTTGGCCTGAATTCCTTTTACAATTCACCTTTACTAAATTTGTTCTTAAATTTTAATAAACCTACAATTTGTAAGCGCACCACCTTCATAAACTGAATGAATTCTTCTAGAATTATTTTTCTAAATTTATAATAATATAGCGGAAAAAATATTAAAAAAATCTGACCTGTGCTGAAGCCTGGAGGCAGGCGGGCAGTCTGCAGACGGGGAAGTCCTTGGCGTGGGTGGAGCGCGGCCAGCAGGCGGCCAGCACGATGACCACGATGAGGAGGAGGAAGGCGGCCACGGCGGTGGCCAGCACGAAGATCAACTGGCGCCGGTTGAGGGCGCTTTTCTCCCTCAGGTACGTCTCAGCCCTCTGGAGGGCGCTCTTCTTGGCGATGCCCTTGGCGGCGGCGCCGTCCAGGTCCATCGAGGCGCCGTCTTCGGCGAACTTGGCCTTCCGGTGGCCGTCCAGCATCAGACACGGGTCCATCTCGGAGCCTCCGTTCATGTCGTGTGGCTTCGCGGCTGCCATAATTAATATTTGACTTCGAATTAAGTGCGAGAATTTGATGAGAAATGAGAAGAAGTGTCCCGCGCTTTAAGGCTCGTCTGCGGACATCACTCTTTGCGCGGCGCTTCGTACCTGCCGAGTGAGTGGCGCGCCTCGACTGAAGAAAGAAACTCGCGCGCCGACGCCTGCCCCGCTAGCCTTGAGAGAGTTGCGCACAGCGGCGTTGCCAGGCAACCGACGGACGCTCTTTTTTCATTTCGTCTTTCTTTGCCGGCAATAAAAATACCTGCCTGCCGGTCCAGGTACGGCCAACAGGTGAGATCTCGCGCCGGCCGGCAACCCCGTGTGCCCGTCTGCAGAGAGATTTTGTCTCGTTTTCCTCCTTTTCGCTCCCTCTGTGCGTTGAGATTCTCATTATTCTTTTCTTCGGGGTTGACAGACGAAAAGTAGTGAGATGCTTGAGTTGATCACAACAACAAACACCATGGGGAGAACTGGTGAGTGTTCTAATATTTATTTTAAAGATTCTTGACGTTATTTGTTCAATTTATTTAAATTTCTTATTAAATGTTAGGAGATTTCTTGTGCTAAATCATTCAAAGACTAATTAAATTATTTTTATCCAAATTTTAAACAAGGTTCACACCTTCACAACAATAAGAGCAAATTCAGATAGTTGCAGAGCAGATAAGCGTTTTTTCTTTGTACCCAATCCAAAAAATGAACTGAATCCCTGAGAACTTGTACAACAATAAAATCAGATCAAATTATGATTTTTCGTTGACGTTGAATTTGTGGATAAAAAAGTAGCACAATTCATATTTGCCGTAAATGAAAATATGCAAGAATTAACAGCACTTATATTATCCTGTATTTAATTAAAAAAATCCAATAATTCAATGCTTTACAAACATATCCAGATATTTTTAAATTTTACTTATCTTCAAGAATATAGCACGCATGACGCATAATAATTAGTTAATTAGAGAGTTTTTTAAAGAAAGATTTTGGTATTAAAAGCCAGATTTATCAAAATAATTCATAATTATTTTGAAAGTATAATAAATAAATTAAAATATTCTGGTAATGATGTAGTTGTATATTTGAATTTTTAATTAATTTAGAATTTTTTAAATGTCTAACTAAACAAACCAAGTGTTCGAAATTTAAAAATCGGATTATTACACAAATATTTAATAATCTTTGAAAACTTATTTATTTACAATAACAATTAGGGATTAATAATAGCTTGATCATAATAATTATACGTTTCTAAAATGTTTGTGATGTCGGCAAATTTAATCATAAAACAGATAAACGGAATTAATAAAGGTTGTGTAATGCATTCATCGGGAATGTCCTACTGGTAATTTTAAAAAAGAATTCCTCTTTCCTACAAAAAAACACCGGAAAAATAAATCTCTCATCTCGCTGGCCCACTTACGAACACTCTCCTTTGAGTTTATTTATCCTTTTGTTGAAAAAAGCATATAGGATCAAAAAGAAGCGCGGAAAGGAAATCTTGACGCATTCAAAATTAAACGACTTCCTATCGGCACATACCAAATAGAATTAGCAGGTATTGATTTACACACATCCCCTTTGTAAAATGAAAATCCTGCCGTAAAAAAAAATCTTATAGGCCATAAAAATAAAATTACTGCAGATATAAAAAACAGCCCAAAATCTCGTCAACAGAAAATTTTCCATTCAGTATTTCACATTAATGTTCGCATATTAATCTAATAGCAATGTTGAAAAATTCCAATCAATTTCGAAACGTTTTGTAAGTTATAAATTTTACCTTCGGAATTGTGAAAGCGGCATATCAATTTCGAAAAAAATGTCTCATTTAAAAATTGGTAATATCCTTTTGCATCACCGGGGGGATGATGATGGGCCATAAAACCCATAAAATTGCAATCTTTGATGTGCGATAGGCAACCGGCACTGCTCGGCGTACCGCCCGGCTGCATAGGCTCGAGCCAGAATCTGTTGAGATGCTGTTAATCCCGCGAGATGAGAAAAATCCCAAAAACGACGTCCGTTTTACAAGGGGCGCGTGCAGATTTTATTGCGGCGCGAGCGATAATGCAGAACGTCAGCCGGTATGTGCCACCCTATGCATACTAATGCCGACATTTGCACCGTCCTTCCCGAAAATGACGCACTCCGAGTGGAAATATATTGGCCGGCTTTTGCGCATTTGTTTGCGTCTGAAAAATTGAAATGAAATACTAATATAATAATTTAAATTATATTAAACAATAATGAAGAATAAATTACAGCGTTGTTTTTATCAAGATAAAATCCAAGGAATTACAATTTCACAATCAATTTTTTTATATCCTTTCAATATTCTAAATTTTAAAAAAGTAGTAATAATTTCTCCGCTTGGATTGATCCTATGCTCAAAACTGGTAACATTATTTGTCTTTGAATTTGAATTACAAATTTAAAAAAAAAACTGGATTGTTTGTATAGATCGAAGGACCAAGAGAAGCCGAGTTTTTTACAGCAACATTTCGCGAAACCCGCGAATTCCAAATAAAATTCCTAATTTAAAAAAAGTGAATCACGGGTTTGGAAATTATGAGTAATAAAGTCTAAAATCACTGGATGCCGTGGAGTCGGAAATAAGAAACCATCTTGCAATTTGTCTTTGAATCTTTGAATATTCCAAAAGTTATTTTTGTATATTATTAATTTGTTTTGGTTTTGCCAATAAATGTTTTTTTAACGCTTCAGGAAGGCAAAACTTTATTGAGTCGAGAAAATTTCCGATGGGAAATCATCAATTCGAGCTTCGGCGCACTTCCTGCAGAGTAATTTTCCTCTCTCGTCCCGCCCCGCACATCAAACGACCAAGTCTAAATTTAATGTTACGCGCCAAGTGAGCTGTGGAAAAGTAATGCCTTCATGGCGCGGAGACAGCGAGCTCTTTTTTCCCCGCTTCTGCATGCATACTTTACTTTTTAGGCCGTGGTGTATTAGTTTTTGAGCACAAGTAAATTATTTACAAACGAATCATGCGGCGCCGTCCCCACATAAAAACGCCGCGGTTGAGCTCAAGTGCAGCGAGGACTTCAAGTTTCCGGCGCTGTTTTCAAAAATAAGTTAATTCGTCTTGTTCAGTTTAAATGAGGGGATGCAAAATACCGAAACGATAGCTTTATTTTGAAGGCCCGTTCTTCTCAAGAGCAGCAATTTTATGCAGCAAAGGAGAAATAATTTATAAATATTTTTTATATTTTACACTAGCGATTTTTTTTTATTAGATTTGTTTGCATTTTTTTTTTATTGTAAATTGCTCACAATCTGATTCAAAATATTTTAAAGTAATAATGACCATTTTAAATTTTTTGGCCATTCGTGGAATCTTATTGCAGGAAAGCAAACAAAACAATTGAAAATGCCATAAGTCAACTAATTTTGAGAAGAAGAGATTTTATTGCCACTCTCGCAATTTTTATAAAACAAACATCAATCTGCTGGTCTTTAAAGTTCCCCTTTAAAATTTAATGAAATTATTTCTGAAAAGCTCAAATTGGTTTGAATAATACAATAATTTTATTAGATGATTTTTCTGACGTTGATTCTCAGTTTAGCATTTTTCCTTTATTTATTTCATAATGTATGTTAATCGCAGTTTTATAAGCCAACGCTAACAAGAATGTTTAGTAACTCGAGTGGCAGCAGCGCTGCTTTTACTCATCCCCAAGAGATGTGTTTTAATTACTGCCGCTCTCCACAAAAATAACATCACCAAATCACCCTCTCTCGTAAGTTGAATGAACACGGCCACTTGTCTTCTGGGCGGTGCTCATCAAGAGGTTCTAAATCAAGTTGATTACCATTGCATGCACCATAAACAAAATTATTGCTCGCGCGCGTGTTTATTTTTTCGTACGCAAATGCGTCTAATTAACTTAATTGATGCACTTTAAAAGTCTCAAAAAATCTAAAAAGTCATACAAATTTAAGGACAGTGATTAATTTTATAATTTTGATACTTAAAATTCAGCATCAGCTTATGAATTGTGTTTGAGGGAGCTAAATGGTTTAAAAATATCTTAATTTTTACTTTAATGATTGAAAATATTTAAAAATAAATAAAATATGAAATTATTTTATTCCAAATGTATTCCTATGAAACATAATAGAGAAACTTATATTTCATTCTTGGTCTGATTGACTTCAAGGTTGCTGCTTTTTAAGTAAATCCACTTTGAATTATACAACCTGCCTCACTCTGATGTATCGCTTGTTGCATAACAGTAACCTGGAGTGCGTTTGTAGTATGATATTTTTATTCTCGCAATGCACATAAAATTTGTTGATTGTTGCAATGCAATTCATGAACAATTAAGTAGGAAAATGTACGTAGATAAAACAAGTTTTTTTTTATATTTGACTAATGCTTTGTAAAATCCAATAATTCAAAACCCTGATTTATTTACTGATTTTCTATTTTTCTAATATCCTCCAAAATTGTATATTTTACTAATGAGAGAAGAATGAATTTTTTTTTCATTTTCATTTTACTTCATTTATAAATATCCTTCCTGAAGAAAAAATTTAGAAGTAAAACCTTCACACATCAACCATTTTTAAATTATTATGCTCAAGAGACACACTTCAAAAAGGTGCGATAAATTTAAAACGAACACAAAAAATCTGACAATGAATATGAGAGTCACCACCTTTTCATAGTCTTGACGTCATAGCTCGCGGCTCAAACCCAAAATCACAACGTAAAAACAAAAAATACGAGAAAAGTGCACTCGTCATTGCAGGTCTCCTGATTTTCTGCGCAGATCTTCTCGAATACGCGCGGCGAGATAGACAGGAATATAAATTTAACATGCAACATCAAAGCATATTCGTCCTTCACTTGACTTGGTATATGTACAAAATTTCACTCTATATAACATTTTTTTTATTGAATTGATTGCGAGTCCAATTTTAACCAAAAAATGCCCTTGAAAAATGCAAGCTTTTTGTTATATTGAAACAACCAAAAATGTTATAATAATTTTAAATTGAATTTAACAAAGGTTATAAGTAAATAAAAAAGTTCACTTGAATTATAAATTTCACGTTTATCATAATCGAGAGCATTTACTATTAATAACATTACATAAATTAATTTTATTTCTTTTTCTCCATGTTGATTATTGTTGATGCTGCTGTGTTCAAATCAAATATATTTTTTTTAACGAGCTTCATATTATATAAATAATATTCAATAGTGTAAAGTAGAATTAATATTGGAGTAAATTTTAAAAAATCATGCAATCAAGGGCAACTCTTGTTTCTTATTGTTTGAGAGTTTTTTTTTTTTAAATAATTTTAATTAATTTGTATGTCTTATATTATGAAGCAGAAAATCTGCAAGACTCTGCTATACTTGTTAAATTTGAGAGGCGAAAATAGGTATGAAAAGCTGAAACATTTATTATAAATAATAAATTTCTACTTTTAAATTTCATTTAAATGAGATTAAAACAAGAAAAAAATTTGCGGAGTCGTCAAGCTCCTTGCGTGTTGTCACGTGTGTCATTGACGCAGCTGTGCAGCAAGTTAAAATTGGAAAAAAAACGCAAGTGTTTATACGAGACTGCAGCGATTCAGATCACCATGCGACTGTTAAAGCCATAATCAGAAGTTCCTGATAACCTTGTTGATTTGCACATCTGATGTACCGATCCATAAACTGCATAACCTTCTCATTTGGGTCATAAGTCAGAAAATCACTCTTATTTTATCAAAGAAATCTAAACCATTGCGACATTTAACACCAAAACTGAAATTAATCAAAGAAAAAAAATTAGTGCTTCCTCAAGATTTGTATTCATGAAATAATTTAAATTATAAACTTTGCCAGTTTTATAATCAAATTTAGAAAATTTTGAATTCGAATTTAAGAAATTATTATTCTGCAGTAATTATTGTGTAATAAAAATGCTTGGCAACAGAGACCATGTGAGACGCGGCGTGTTTTACAATCGTTGCCCTGTAGCCGCAGCATTCACGTGTCTGTGGCATGAATCGTGTCGTTGGCAGTGAAATCGCGAAATTCGACATCACCAGCGGCCAGCGTGTGCAAACTTTTATCTCTAGGGCCATGCGTAGCTAGCATTGAGGAAGGTCCGGTGTTTCCTCGCGTGTTTGTTTCGCCAAATTTTGAATCAACTTATAAAATAACATCTTAGAGAAGAATAGAAGTTTGCTCTTGACATTGACATAGATAAGTCTGATGGAAAAATCTGAGAAATCCAGATCAATGACCTCTGAAAATGCTACACTTACAATGAATAATAAAACTTATAAAAATTAAAATTAATTTTTCTGTGCCTTTCTTTCATTTTTCTGGCAATTAGTTTTCATTAATGGTTTATATGGTTTATATTTAAATTAACTAGAATTAAAACCTATTTGATGCTGCTAATCAACTAAAATTTGCATTATTTTGAATTTATAGTATAGGAAAGTCGTTTGTAAGTTCTTCTTTTCATTTTTTTTTTCATAATATTTATAGGAAAAGTGTCACCAGAAATCAAGTAGTCGTTTTTATTTGAAAGTAGCCAGACGACTGCATTATATTTGCATCACTTTTACTTCACTTTTTTTAGGCCATGCCTCTCCCAATATTACTCATTTTACCGAATTAATAAAAAAAGGTTTCTAAATTATTAATAATAGTAATAAATTTCAGATAACAAATTAAATTGTATTTTCTTCTACTAATATTAATTGTTCATTCAATTATTATTTTTTTTATTCTAATTAACATGTTTTGCAAAAAGGACTTATAAGAAAATAAGAAATCATAATTCCTGGCAGCTGCAAAATCAGCAGCATAATGGACTGTCTTACAAGGTAAAAAGTAAACAAATTATCACGGTCTCATTAAAATATTGATCCACGGAGAACTTGTTTCCTCGGATGATCACATTTCTTGGGATTTCTAACTGAGGGCGCACTATTTTTTTTTTTCAAAAGTGGAAATAAATGCGTTTCATTCGTAAGATAAGCGCTTTTTATAATTACCCTCGCTGGCGCGAAGGTCACTTAACGTAAGACAACACCTGATGCGAGCGCCTTTGCGATCAATGGTCTTGACCGCATTGCAGAAAATGCATCTCGCCGAGCTGCAGATGGAAAAATGCACTCCATATTACAGCCTCGCAGTTCCGCGTCTGACATAATTTCATTACTCATTGAAAGTGAGTGAGGCTCGCGTGGGAAAACAAGGCTTTTTCCAATGATACAAGAAAAATACGAAAAAAAATATACATTTTTCTTGTGTAAATTTTATCTCATAATCGGAAATCCCTATTTCTGTAGGGTTGAGGATTATAGTCGAATTTTAGATTCTATTAGTCGAATATTTTCAGTCAAATTTGACGTTAAAATTTTTCATTTTTACTCAATTATAATCCTTTTTATAATTTTGATTGGTCTGAAATAAAGGGGGATAACAATCATCTTTCGCTAAATTTGTAGATGGGAATGAGACTGATATTTGAATTTCACCAGCCAACAATTTTTGGGAAAAAATCAAGGATATTTTTCCAGTTAAAAAATAGCTGATAAAAATTGGATCTCAATTAAATCCCTGATTAATGCTCATGGAAAATTATAATCCTCATCTCTGACCCTGTATATTTAATGGAAAGTTTATTCACGTTGTTAGATCTTGTTTGATCTTGATTAAATACAAATATGCTGCATATTGCTTTCATACAGTATAAAATTCAAATTAAAAGACCAAGGATAATCTAATTTCGTATATTTACCGCTGGTAATTCCCATGAATGGGTAATCCAACTGCTTTTTATTGATTTCTCAGAAAAAGCAGACCAAAGAAAATTACTCTCGCATTTAATCAAAGTCATACGACGCAGTTGTCAATCAATAGAAAAGGTCGAGGTCCTCTTTGGGATGCAAATTAGCCAGACAATGGTGCGGAATAATTTCCGTAAGCGACTCTCTTTCAGTGCACGTGTCCTTAACTTGTGAATGGGAGCAGCGGCGTGCATATGAGAAGAGAAATTCACCGTTTTCTCGTATATTCTAATTAATTAATTGACTGACGGCTAAGGCAAAATGCGTCGAGGTGGAATATCGCGCGATGTGCGAATTGCGTAAATCAAGGTGGTCTGCATTTTCGCTACTCGTGTACCTTCTGTAGCAGCAAGAGCGGCGGACGCGCTCAGTTCTTGAAGGCACTCGAACCCAATAACACCGACACGACTTTCAACTTTTCTCTCCCGTCGGAAAAACACCATGTTCAAGCACAGATTCAAAATTGTGGAAAAAGTGAGTAGCTTATTGAACAAAAGTTTGAATTTTTCTTAAAAATAAATTTTATGAATTGTATTCTGAAATATAAAACAAAAAATGCATCTCTCCATGTCGGAGAAAGTTATACAACATTTTTATTTTTATTTAATTGGGTCTGAATGTTCCGAAGTCCTAAATAGAGCAATTATATTTTCTACGACTTGGATTGTTGTTAAGTTAATTAGTACCAGAAAGATCATCTTTTTTTTTTAAAATTTTAATTATTTTACCGGTACACAGTGTTGTGGCAACAATATAATTTATCTGTTCAAGGGTTAATATTTATTTATTTATTTATAATTTTCTGTTTTAAAATTTTCGGGGCAGTAAATTACATAGAAATAAATCACTTATAAAAGGCAATTGGGTCCACTTGCACATTGAAAGTAAAGCCACGTGGACAACTCAAGCTTCGCTTGTACTCAACGCCATACACGCGAAATCATTCAAATCTGTGGCCAATCAAATTATTTTGAAAAGGGTTCAATGGATATGTTTTACGAAATCTGGCTGAAGTAAAGCATTAAAAATAGCTTTTAAGTGTTGCCGTTTTGCACCTGCGGTTCAAGTGTTGGGGAAATTTGACTCCTTTTATCATGAAAGGAAGAGTTCGAAATATGAAAAGACAAATGAGACATTGGGTCCGTTGATTCATCTTTGTATTGTTTGCGAAATTTTTGGCGGTCATGAAGTATAAAGGAGAACATAAGATATAAGATTTATTTTTATTTCTCGTTGTCAGCCGTATTAATGATGAGATCTACTTATATCTTATTATTTTTTCCTTTCTTTTTTGTCAGTTATAAGCAATCTTATAAATAGGAGTGATGAGAGTTATAATTACTTTATTTAAACATGAGAACCGTTAACTAAATATTAATTTTCTTTGTTTTATAAAAATAAAAGTGTTTATTTTAAATTAAAATATATTATATTCTTATTAAAAAATGTTATTTTATAATTATTTTTTAAACAATTTCAATATTTTAGTAATTTATAAAATTATTCAATATGGAAGAAATGAGCTGAGCTTGTAATGTTGTTAATTAATAAGTAAAACAAACTTAAATATTATAAAAACTTGATAGGACACTCCATAAAAGTAGCAAATTTGTGTTACAGTAGACCTGCAACTGAAAATTTCTTTTCTCCGTTTTAATTTTCAATTTAACTTTTATTTGCAATTTGATCAAAAAGAATAAATAAATGAAAAGATTCTTGAAGCTTACAAATTGAATAAAAATTCTAAAATTTGCACAGAAATTACTAGAAGGGTCAAGCGTTTGATGCCTCTGTATCTAATTATAATTTTATCGCGGGCTTATGCAATTTGACACCAGATCAGCTCATTAGTTTATGTTGCTGACGGGTCGCTGATTTGTGTGTTCCGTGAGAATCACGTGCAAAAATTGCCCAAGCATAATGTCGAATAAAATGCACGCAGCAACAAGGCGCGCAGGGGTGGTTGCCGGCGGATTTTTTGCCGGTGGTCCTGATGCATGCGCCGACTCGGTGCGCTCGCGAGTCGCGCGCTGATTGGTGCGCCTGCCGTCGCCTGACCCGTCTCACCACACAAATAAAGAACTCGCTGAAATTCGCGTCTTCCTTCAAGCTCTGGACGCGAGCAGGAAAGGGTTAGCTCTGTCGAACGCACACAAAGCTCAATCAACTTTTAAGGGACTTTTGACAGGCAGAGCCCCTTTTCCGCAACACCGCCAGAATCAATCAATAATCAGAGTTTAATTCAATACTCAGCTGCATTTACAAAAGCATTTAAGGTAAGACGAAATATTATATTAATTATTAAATTTGTATTTTTAATATTTTTGTTAATTTATATTTTTGCTTCTAAGAATTTCCAATGAATTATGATTAAATTCTTTTTTATTGAACATTTTCATTATTTAAAATTAAACAATATATTTTAAATTCATTTGCTGTACAAATTTCCTTTGATTACATTTGCATATCAATTTTTTCATTCTATGCTTAATATGAATTAGAGTCGCGAGCATAACAATAGAGTTCATTGAGACAAGCGAGTCGCGCGACACTCGATTAATTCAATCAATGTGCCGCTGTTTGTAAAACAGCTGCCGCACAAGCAAGGCTTACTATACTTCTTGCTTTCTTTCAAAGCGAAGCAGTCCACCTATCAAAAGTGGGCGACGCATCGTACGTTTTCTTTACTTGGAAATGATATCACGCCACTCCACGCGTGTGCGAGTTACAAAAAAAATACACGGCTTTCCCCGTGGCTCTAATTTGTGCGAGGAAAGGATATTTATTTATTATGATAAGGTGTGTCAGTTACGTCACTTACAGGAAAATAAATATTGCGACTATTCCATAATTTCATAATAAAAAAATTAAAAAAAAACGAAAAAATATAAAATGTAGAATATTGATTGTTATAAAGATTTTTTAAGGACTATTTGTCTTAGTTTGGCACTTCCTATGCTTAAAAAATTATTTTTAGATGAAATTTATTAAAATAATTATAATCACACATTAGACTTGAATTAAATGTTATATTTTTGCACAAAACACACATAAATCCATTCTTGTAAAAATTAGCAAAATCAATATTATTTGGCAAAAACAGTCTACAATTTTTTGCATTCTAGAACTATTTTGCATGAAATTTCTCGCTAAAATCCCATTCCAACAAACCATGCCAATTTATATACATTGTAATTTAGAGAATTTTAGTTTTTTCCCCCAACTCTTTTGTCACAAACGTGGGAACGTCAATAAATTTTCAAAAGGCATGAAAGCATCACGCCACCAAAACAAAACCAGTCGGCTACAGTTTGACAATCGTGCCCTTGAACTTGAACGCGTCTGGAGCTCTTGCCAAAGTGAGCGCGCGCGTTGCTACGCTGCTTTCTGCGATTGCTGAATTTCGCACTGCTCGCGGGAAGAGTAAAACCGCGCTTCACAAAAACCTATTAACTAATAATTGTTTTTTTTCCAAAGAACATTTTTGTTCATGCGTCATTTTTGATGATTACCTGCAGTTTAAATTTTTACACGCTTTTTTTGTGTTTGAGTTTCTGCTTAATTTTAATTTAAATTGAAAATAATTTTCCAAATAATGTATTTTTATTGTTTGATTTCACATTTTCTCTCTGTTTTAAAAGCTTTTATGAAAATTTTTATTTTAATATCCTGATATTTTGTTTTAAATATTAAATATATTTATAGTCGAGCTTTACCTCGTTATTTTATTTATCGAAGTATTGATGTCGGTGCATTATATCATTTGGTAAACCGAGACTGTAAGCAATGAGGCCACCTGTTGGCTGTGGGTAGGTCAGGATGATCAATACTCCCGTCTATGGGAGCAGAATCACGCCACGAAACGCGCGATCCAATCGAGAGTCGCGCCGCCGACCACGTGAGCATCGCCAGAGAACCCTGCAATTAGAGTGTGCTTTTTTAGGGTGACTGCTTTTCAGACGAGCCATTGACCGCCTTTGTCATTTTATCCACGATTTTAATCGACTCGACCCTGCACGATGTCAAATTGCACTGACATGAGTCTCAGATGACAAAAGTTCAAAGAGAATAAAAATAAAAAGTGTTCAAAAATTTTTAAAATTTGCAACCTTTTCAATGATTTATAAAATTAACATTTTTAAAATTTACAAAAAAAAATCATTGAAATCTAAATAAATTAAATCAAAATTTCTTTTCATAACGTACAGAGTGAAGATTTAATTGTTTTATTTGCTCGCGGCTGTTGTAAAAATTAATGATTAGGTTTCTCTCTGAAATTTTGGATCTCTGGTCTTTCCGCTCTCCGGTTGTTTCTTTACTGTTACGGCTCCATTATTGGCTTATTAAGGCGTCTGAATCGTGCGTGTGTTGAAATAATAATAATACGCAGAACTGTTTTTGGGAGCTGAGGTTTCGGTGAAGAGAGGTGTGTTCGCGATTTCTTTTAATTTCAACGCCGCTTTCTCGAACCTCCGCGTTGACCCTTTGGAGGATTTTGCAAAAGTACTGCGCAGTAGTTTCTGAAGCGGACCTGCCGCGTACGAAAAAAAGAAACTATTTGTTATTTGCTTTTTTGCGTGACTCGATCTGCTTTGTGAGCGAGCACCTTTTGCAATTTTTTGCCAATCGTCATAACCACTTTTGTTAATATCATCTGTGAATTACGCGAGTGACGCGGCACAAGTCTGCGCGCTCTGACGCAGATCCTTGTGTATTAGCACCTCAGGAGATGTACACAATAATAAGAAAAGCGGCACAATCGTCAGTAGCTGCTTTTTTTGAGCGTCTCATTATATGTTTTGTTGCGCTGCGCTTTATTCTTTATTTTAACATCAAGGACGACTTTGAGCTTTATTTTTGTTCTTGATTATGAGGATCGTGTATGACACGGAGATGGACTTGCTCTTGGCAAACATTAAAGCACGGTCATGGCTTTTTTAAATAAATATTGCAAAACAAGTGACAATTAACTTCAAATTCTAGTAAATCTTTCAAATGCATGCATTTAAGTTTTTTTTTTTAATTTGAAAAACATACAATTAATATTCTTACAAAATTTAAATAATACATTTTTTTAGTATTACTATAACGTATTTTTTTAATTACTTTGTTTTTAATAATTTAAATTTTCTTTTTTCATTAATAATATTAACACACAAAGTAATATGATTTTTCAATTGTTACTAATGTTTCTCCTTTTTCAAGTTAATTATTTTAAATTTGGTATTGTGACCTCCTTTCTAATGAATAAATAAACAAGAGCGTTTTCAATTATTAAAGAATACTTAAAGAATTCGAATTTTCTGCAATTCAATATAAAAAATTAATGTGAATTTTCCAAATTGAACACAATATCTTTGCACTGCAGATGTACCCTTTGGTAATGAAATGACCTGTAAAAGCTCATCACCTCAATGACACAAGTTCGTGTCCGTCGTTAATTGCGTCTGCCTGGTCATTGACAGTTGCGCTGACTTTGCACTCTGAATTGCCTCATTAAAAAAGATGTCAGAAGAAAATCTTTCGCGTGCATTTCGCAAACGGATTGACCCCTCTCGTAGCAAATATATTTTTCTAGTAGCGCACAAACAAGATTAGCATGGAAAGCTTCCGCATATAAATATTACAAAGCGTATGACGTTTTAATATTGAATGAGAACAATAAAAGGCAATACTCTTGAGATCTAGTTTTAATATTAGTACAGAAGTTGAGCTCGAGCTGTAAATATCAAATGGCATCTTATAAAAAGTTTTACACATTAGTGAGTTTGTTAGTTTAATTTTATTTCAATCATTTTTCATTTTTAAATTTAATTTTTTATTTTATGTTTTGTTTCAGTTATCGTCGTAATTTGCAAAAATTTTAAAGCCAATCATCCACAATGCCAGCCCGTTTCCCAGAAATTGCCCACATGGAATCCCCCCTGATTCAACCGCCCCCGATGAACATCGCGCCTGAAATCATGGAGCCCCTGCCGGCCCTGAGCGCACCCTGGCCTCCTGGCGAGGAGGTGGTCATCTCTGGTCTGTCCGCCCGCCTCCCTGAGTCGGCAAACATTGACGAGTTCAGGGAACAACTTTTCGCGGGCGTTGATCTTATCACTGACGATGAACGCCGATGGCCCTCCGGCCTCCACGGTCTGCCAACCAGGACCGGAAAAATCAAGGAACTGGACAGATTCGACGCCACTTTCTTCGGCGTTCACGCCAAACAGGCGCACGTCATGGACCCGCAGCTCAGAATGCTGCTTGAACTTACACATGAGGCTATTGTCGACGCTGGTAAGTTGAAACAAATAATTAGAACCAAATTTCACATCAATATATTTAATGCAAGTTTTCTTGTAAAAAATAAAACCATGTTTAAAAATGATAAAACATTTTTTTAGATTTATTAATTTAAACAAATTTAATTGATTTTAGGCGTCAACCCCACATCCGTTCGTGGATCCCGCACCGGAGTTTTCATTGGAGTTTCCGCCAGCGAGTCTGACGAGTTTTGGACCTCTGACCCTGACCAGGTCAACGGCTACGGCCTCACCGGCTGCTGCAGGGCCATGTTCCCCAACCGCATTTCATACACATTTGACTTTTCTGGTAAATTATTTGATTTTATTTTTCCATTTTGAATTTAATTTATTATTTTTTCCTCAGGTCCCAGTTACGCCATCGACACAGCGTGCTCGTCCTCCCTGTTTGCTCTGCAGCAGGCGGTCAGCGCCATGCGCACCGGCCAGTGTGACGCCGCCATCGTCGGTGGAGTCAATCTGCTGCTGAAGCCCACCTGCTCCCTGCAGTTCCACCGGCTGGGCATGTTGAGCCCTCAGGGCATGTGCAAGGCCTTCGATGCTTCTGGCAACGGTTATGTGCGCAGTGAGGCTGCCGTGGTCATCTACCTGCAGAAGGCCAGTGTCTCCAAGAGAGTCTACGCCACTGTTGTCAACGCTCGCACAAACACAGACGGTAAATTTGATTATTTAAGAAAAAAATTATTATGTAAATTATGTAAATTTCTTTTAAACTTTTGAATCTAAAAATTTGTAAGTAATCATTTAATTTTCTTTTTCATTTTAAAGCTTTTATGAAGAAAATGAGGATATATTTTTACTTGAAATATTTTTCTATTTTTTTCCTCCAGGAAATAAGGAGCAAGGCATCACTTTCCCATCGGGAGCCATGCAGAAAAAACTCATTTTGGAGACATACTCTGAGGCCGGAGTTAGTCCCTCCGACGTAGTCTATGTCGAGGCCCATGGAACCGGCACCAAAGTTGGCGACCCGCAGGAGGTGAACTCGATTGCTGACGTTTTCTGCAAGGGCAGAAATACACCTCTTCTGATCGGTTCCGTCAAGTCCAACATGGGACATTCCGAGCCAGCCTCTGGTCTTTGCTCCATGGCCAAGGCCCTGATCGCCATGGAAACTGGAGTCATTCCTGCCAACTTGCATTTCAAGAATCCCAACAAAGACATTCCAGCTTTGAATGACGGAAGACTGAAGGTAATAAATCTATTAAAATATTATAATTAAGAAAATTCTCAAAATTCGCGTTCCGCAGGTTGTTAGTGAGAACACATCATTCCCTGGTGGCTACGTCGCCATCAACTCTTTTGGTTTCGGAGGAGCCAACGCTCATGTGATCCTGAAGTCCAACCCTAAGCCCAAACCTTCATCCCCACCCCTGCTCACTAACCCAACTGTTGTGGCTGTGTCTGGACGCACCGAAGAAGCCGTCCAAGAATTCCTCAAAGAGGTCGACCAAAACCAGACTGACCCCGAGTTCATTGCTCTGGTCAACGAAATTCACTCAAATAATATTGCAGGCCACGAATTCCGTGGCTACACCCTGATTGGTACCGAGCAAAAAATGACCGAAGTGATGGTAAATTAAAAAATAATTTAAATATTGAAAAATTAAAAAAACTTAAAATGATTTTTATTCTAAATGAAGCAATGGAATGGAGAAAAGAGGCCTGTTTGGTTTGTCTTCTCAGGCATGGGTTCTCAGTGGGCTGGAATGGCCCGCGACCTTATGCAGATTGAGTCATTCCAATCTGGCATTCGTCGCTGTCACGAAGCTATGAAGCCCCACGGCCTTGATTTGATCGACATCGTGACAAACGGGGACGACAACACCTTCGAAAATGTCCTCAACTCATTTGTGTCAATTGCCGCAGTTCAGGTAAAATACTCATTAGGTTTAAAATTAAATCAGAAAATTAAATTATATAATATGTATCAGGTTGCTCTTGTCGATGTCCTGACTGGACTTGGAATCCACCCTGACGGAATTCTGGGGCACTCTGTGGGTGAGCTCGGCTGTGCCTACGCCGACGGCACCTTCACTGCCGAGCAGGCCGTACTGGCTGCCTACTGGCGAGGCCGCTGCATCCTGGAGTCCAAACTGCCCCCTGGAGGAATGGCTGCTGTGGGCATGGACTGGGAAACGGTCAAGGCGCGCTGCCCTGCAGGCATTGTCGCCGCTTGCCACAACTCGGCTGACAGCGTCACCATTTCCGGCCCTGCCGACCTGATTAAGACCTTCGTCAAGACCCTGACCGAAGAGGGAATTTTCGCCAAAGAAGTCAAGAGTGGTGGAGTGGCTTTCCACAGTCGCTACATCGCCGAGGCTGCCCCTAAGCTGCGCGCTTACTTGGACAAGGTGGTCACCAACCCCAAGAAGAGGAGCGCCCGGTGGATCAGCTCGTCCATCCCTGAGGAGTCCTGGGGCTCCGAACTGGCCTTGTACTCCTCAGCCGCTTACCATGTCAACAATTTGGTCTCGCCTGTGCTGTTTGCTGAGGCTTTGAGACACGTCCCTGAGAACGCCGTAGTCATCGAAATTGCGCCCCACTGTTTGCTACAGGCCGTCCTGAGGCGCTCATCGCTGCCTCCAAGCTGCCTAAACGTTGGACTCGTCAGGAGAGGTCACTCTGACAACAGGCTCTTCCTGCTCTCCAACATTGGAAAGTGAGTATAACATTTTTTAAACAATAATTTTTAATATAAATTATTTTTTAAAGGCTCTTTGCTGCTGGCCTGCAGCCCAAGATTGCTCGTCTTTCGCCTGTGAGGCCCAGCTTCCCAGTGTCAAGAGGCACTCGAATGATCGCTCCAATTGTGAAATGGGACCACAGCCACGAATGGAATGTTGCTAACTTTGGAAAGGTATTTTAATTTTATATATAATTTTTTTTTTAATTAATATGAATTGTTGTGAAAAGGGAGCTGGACGCTCTGGAGAGTGTGTGGTGGAGGTTGATCTGTCCAAGGAGGGCGACGCTTTCTATGCTGGACACTGTATTGATGGACGAGTTCTTTTCCCCGCCACTGGCTACTTGGTAATTTCTTAAAATATTTCTTTACTTGTAATTTTCTAAATAAATATTTTGAAATTTTAGACTTTGGTCTGGAAAATGTTTGCCAAGCTGCAGGGCAAGTCTCCCGAAGACATTTCCGTTGTTCTTGAAGATATCCAGTTCCACCGCGCCACAATCATGCCCAAGGAAGGTTCGGTGAAATTCTTGATCACCATTTTTGAGAGCTCCGGCCAGTTTGAGCTGAGCGAAGGCGGCTCTGTTGCCGTTTCAGGCAAAATCCGCCAGCCTGAGGAGCCCCAGAAGGAATTTTTGAGCTTGTCCACTCCTGCTGCCAAGCAAGAAAAAGAGCCTCTTCTGCCCCTGAAGACAAACGACATTTACAAGGAGCTCCGACTGCGCGGCTACGACTACTCTGGAATCTTCCAGGGCATCATTTCTGCCGAGAACCGCGGCGTGACCGGCCAATTGGCGTGGGCCGAAAACTGGATCAGCTTCATGGACTGCATGTTGCAGTTCTCCATCCTCGGCCAGAACACCCGAGAGCTTTATCTGCCCACTCGTCTGCAGAGGGCCTTCATCGACCCCGCCAAGCACCAGCAAGCGTTGGCCCAGGCTGGCGGTAAGGGCGTCCCTGTCACCATGTTCAGAGACGTCAACATCCTGCAATGCGGAGGTGTTGAAATGAGAGGCCTTAAGGCCAGCTTGGCCCCTCGGCGCATGCAGCCTGGAAACGAGCCGTCCCTTGAAAAGTACGTCTTCTCCCCTTACGAGAGCTCCAATGAGCAGAACAAGTCGGCGGCTATGCAAATTTGCGTGCACGTCGCCCTTGAAAACACCCCGGCCATGAAGATCAAGGCCTTGGAAATCGTCCCCTCCAATGACACTGAAGATCTGCTCGCTACAGAGATTGTCAACGTTGTGGAAAAGGAGCCCATGATGCATGTAAGTATAATGCTGAAAATATTTTTTTATGAAAATAATACAATAAAATTAATTTAGATGGACATGGCGCTGAATGGAGCTGATGTCCCTGCTGAGCTGGAGCCTTTCGGTGTTAAGTCGACTGACAAAATCCCTGCTGATAGCACGCTGCACATGATTGTGTCGAGGAACGTCCTCTTGGGCGCTCCAGCTCAGCTTCCCATCTTGGCTGGTGCCATCAAGGCTGGCGGTTTTGTCATCCTCCGTGAAGACAAGGCCGTCGACAATCAGAAACTCTCCCTCATTGAAAAGGCCGGACTCCAATTCATCGCCACTCAGTCAGGCAGCAAGGGATTTATTGTCCTCCTGCGCAAACCTCTTGAGGTCACTGATATTCCTGCCCTGGTTGTGAGGGCCAATGGAACAAAATTCGAGTGGGTTGAGCAGCTGAAGAATGCTCTCCTTTCAAGCGAAAAGGAGGGAAGAAAGGTCTTTGTCGTCAGTGAAGGCGAAGAGATTAGCGGCGTTGTCGGAATGATCAACTGCTTGAAACAGGAGCCTGGTGGCGTCAACCTTAGGTTAGTAATACGACTGAGAAAAAAATTTTAACTTTATTTTTATATAATTTTATTTAGGTGCATTTTTGTGCCGACGGCTGGAGCACTTCCCAAATTCCAAAGCCCTGCCGACGCCAAGTACGCTCCTCAATTGCAAAAAGACTTGCTGATGAACGTTTACAAAAACGGCACTTGGGGCAGCTACAGGCATTTGCCATTGACCACCAATGGAGCAACCCTGAGTGTTGAGCACGCCTACATCAATGCCATGACTAGAGGTGACTTGGCCAGCCTGAAATGGATTGAAGGACCTCTCACCTTCTACAAGTAACATATTATTTATTAAAGAGGAAAAACAATTTATAAATTATTTTGTTTAGACCTGAAAGTCATCCAAACTCGGAGCTGTGTACAGTTTATTACGCTCCCCTGAACTTCCGCGACATCATGTTGGCCAGTGGAAAGCTGCCCCCTGACGCACTCCCTGGCGATCTTGCAGGTCAAGATTGTATTTTGGGACTTGAGTTCTCTGGTCGAGGCGCTGACGGCCGTAAAGTGATGGGCATGGTGCCTGCGAGGAGCTTGGCCACCACCGTCCTGGCCGACCCTGGTTTCCTGTGGGAGGTACCTGAGAGCTGGACCCTTGAAGACGCCGCAACTGTCCCAGTTGTTTACGCTACCGTAAGTATTTAAATTTTAAAATGAAAGATTTCCTTAAAATTAGAAACATGCAACCCGCTCAACATTGAAGACGAGCAGGTTGCATAAATTGTCAAATTTTAGGTGCTCAGGTTTGACTATTTTATTTTTATTTTTCCCCATCCAAGCGAAAAATTTAATTCTTTTTTCTTTTTAGAGCTACTATGCTTTGGTTGTGCGCGGCCGCATGCAACCCGGCGAAACCGTTCTCATCCATGCTGGTACTGGCGGTGTTGGACAGGCAGCAATTTCAATCGCTCTTAGCATGGGCTGCAAAGTTTTCACCACTGTCGGAAGTCTTGAAAAACGCCAATTCCTTTTGAGACGCTTCCCTCAGGTACGAAATTTTGGCCCATTTGAGATTTTTTTAATTTATTGAATTATTAAATCTTCAGCTCACTGACGCTAACATTGCCAACTCTCGAGATACCTCATTTGAGCAGCATGTAATGTCAGCCACTGGTGGTCGTGGTGTTGACCTTGTCCTCAACTCGCTGGCTGAGGAAAAACTCCAGGCTTCTGTTCGCTGCCTTGCTTACGGAGCCAGATTCCTTGAAATCGGAAAGCTCGATTTCTCCAACAACAATCCTTTAGGTAATTACTTTTTATAAGAAAATACATATTTTATAATTTGTTTATTATTTATTCTACTCAGTAGATACATAAATTCATAAATTGAAATTTTAAAAAGAGAGGAAAGGGTTAAATTAATTATTTTTGTTTTTTTTTATTTAGGAATGGCATTCTTCCTGAAAAACACCACTTTCCACGGCATCTTGCTGGACGCACTGTTCGACGCCAGTGATGCTGAGAAGAAGCAATTGGTCACCCTCCTCTCCGAGGGTATCAAGTCCGGCGCTGTGAGGCCTCTGCCCGCCACCGTCTATTCCGAGAGCCAGGCTGAGCAGGCTTTCCGCTTCATGGGCTCTGGCAAGCACATTGGCAAGGTCCTTTTGAAAATCAGAGATGAAGAAAAAACCACCAAAATCAAGCCTGCCACCAAGCTGGTCAACGCCATCCCCAGGTCATACATGAACCCTGACAAGAGCTATTTGCTTGTTGGTATGTTTTTTTCAATCTCCATATTTTAATAGCATTATATCATAAAATTTTGTTTTTATCAAAAGGTGGTCTCGGAGGCTTTGGTCTTGAACTCGCAAACTGGCTCGTCTACAGAGGCGCAAAGAACATCATTTTGACGTCTCGCAGTGGAATCAGGAGCGGCTACCAGTCTCTGTGTGTCCGCCGCTGGAGGGATTCCGGCGTGAATGTGATCGTTTCCACCACTGACTGCAGCACTGCCGAAGGAGCAGTCAAATTGCTCAAGGAGGCATCGGGACTCGGCCCTATTGGAGGCATCTTTAACTTAGCAGCTGTAAATAAATTAAAAAATTGAAGTAAGACAATATTTTTAAATAACATTTTGCTTAGGTTCTGCGTGATGCTTTTATGGAAAATCAATCATCCGAAGAGTACACCGCAGTCTTCAACCCCAAGGCAGCCACAACCATCCACCTGGACACTGCTTCTCGCAAAATGTGCCCAGAGCTCGACTATTTCGTTGCTTTCTCAAGTGTCAGCTGCGGCCGTGGCAACGCTGGTCAAAGCAACTACGGTCTGGCCAACTCTGTCCTGGAGCGCGTCTGCGAACTGAGACAACAGAGTGGCCTGCCTGGTTTGGCCATCCAGTGGGGAGCCATCGGTGACGTTGGCCTCATCATGGATGCTATGGGTGGCAATAACGAGAGCGAAGTTGGAGGCACCAAGCCTCAGAGGTTGGTGTCCTGTCTGCAGGCCTTTGACCTCTTCCTTCAACAGCCCGAGCCTGTCCTTGCCAGCTTGCTTTTGGCCGACAAGAGAGGAAACGCTGCTGGCAGCTCTGGAGTTTCCCTCGTCCAAGCTGTTGCCAATATTCTTGGTAAGGATTTAATTGTTCTTACTCAAAAATTTATTTTTAATTTTTATCAATAATTGCATGTAGGCATCAAAGACCCAAGCACTGTGAGTCAATCTGCCAGTCTGGCTGATCTTGGAATGGACTCGCTCATGGGAGCCGAAATCAAGCAGACTCTGGAACGCGGTTACGACCTGGTGCTCAGCGCCCAAGACATCAGAGGTCTCAATTTCTCAAAACTGAACGCTCTCCAAAATCCAGGAAGTGCTGAAGCCGCAGTTCCTGCCGTACCCTCACCTAAAGCCGTTCCCAACAACAAGGCTGCTACTAATGGAAATCACGCGCCTGCCAATAACGGAGACGTTCAGGTAAATAAAATAAATTTTACAAGAGCCCACAGCTAATTGAAATATTATAACAGGTCCAGTTTGACATGACGCAGATCATGCCTAAAGAAGTGCTGATCAAGATCCCCAGCAAGTCGAAAGACAATAAGGGGCAGCCCCTGTTCATCGTGCACCCAATCGAGGGTGTTGTGAGCGCTTTGCAGCCCCTTGCTTCGAAACTTAACGTCCCAGTGTGGGGACTTCAATGTACAGCGGACGCACCTCTTACTTCCATCCCTGATCTTGCCACATATTACAACAAAGTAATTTTACACACCAACGTTAAGTTTAATGGGAACAACAATTCATTGATTTTTTTTAGGTCATCAAGAAAATTAGTCCCAAGGGACCTTACTCCTTGGCTGGCTACTCTTTTGGTGCCTGCGTTGCTTTTGAAATGGGAGTGCAACTGGAAAAGGCTGGAGAAAAGGTCAAACTGGCCCTTCTTGACGGCTCCCCCTCATACGTGGCAGCTCACACCGGCACCTACAAGGCTAGACAGGCCCGCTCCACTTCACCTCAAAGAACGGAAAGCCAGGAATCAGAAGCTCTCATCTACTTCATGTCTCAATTTAAGGAATTTGACCCACTGAAGGTTAGAAAAAAATTTAATTTTTTTATATCAAGGCTGACTTATAACATTCAAAAGGTCAAAGAGGATCTTGTTGCTCTACCAACCTTGGAGGCGCGACTTGCTAGGGTTGCTACCATGATTGCAGGAAATAAGGGAAACAAAGTGGTGTCGGAAATCAGTCAAGCGGCTGAATCTTTCTACAAAAAACTTGTCGTAGCCGACACATACAAGCCAACAGGCAAATTTGGAGGAGAGACGACACTCCTCAGAGTTGACGGAAATTATCTCTCAATGTCTGAAGACTATGGACTTTCAACTGTAAGATTTGAATTTCTACTCTGAACTGTAAAATAATTTTTTATTTTTTTTCAGGTGTGCAAACAAAAGGTGGTGGTTCACACAATCAAGGGCAACCACAGAGATCTGGTCCAGGGTAGTTCGACAACAACAGCAGAGTACATTAACAATATGCTGACTAATATCTAATCTTTCTATCTATTGGTGTTGAAAAAAATCACTATCAGCAAATTTCTCAGTAGTTTAAAAAAAAGTACCATACATTCAAAAATGTCAATCCTATTTATTTTAATGTATTTTGTAAATATCGCAGAAAGTTTGACAATATTTTGTGTTATAATTAATTTTAAGTCCCTTAAAACTGTGCAAATAAAAGAGTTGATTGAGTAAAAATATACTTGGCCATTTCAATTTATTAACCCAATTGCTTATAAGAAAGATCACCAGCATTTATGAAAACCCCTCTTTTGAAAATCAATTAACATATTTACAAGTCGCTCTGTTGCTTCCGGGCCGCCCAGATTTTTGTTCTGCTCTTCTTGTTCCTCTGGAGTCATCTCCATCATGTCCTCCATTTGAAACGCGCCGCTAGGTGCCATCATGAGAGGAAGGAAAAACGCTGCGATTGAATAGGCAAGCGGAGCACATCTACAAATATACAGATTTTTTAATAATTTTTATTTTTACCCAGAATAAACTAATTACCTGCCAAAGTCATTCAGCAAATCCTCAAAGCTTCCCCTCCATGGATCCCTCACGCGATCCATTGAATCCAAAATATCCTCAAGAGTTGTATAATAAACTTTCAGGAGGTTTTCCAAGCCATTGCCTTCAAGTGCTTTGGGGTCAATCGACATGTAAATGAAAAGAGCGAGGTCCGAACCAGGAGAGGCCACTCGAATTGTCGCAAAATCAATAAGGCACGCATCCACAACATCCTCTCCCTATAGTTATTATTGAATATTTAAAATAATTACTTTTAAAATGTACCAAAATTTTTAAAATATGTACCTGGTGCTTGTAAAGAACGTTATTTCTCAAAAAGTCCCCATGACAAATGACATCAGTGGAATCGTCATGGCGAGTCAAAAGCCTACGATGCATGCTGATAGGGTCTTCAAGCTGCTTGTCTAAAGCCTCGACAATATTTGCAAACTCTGGTTGCAGACGCAAAGGATCTAAACCTCTTTGAGCTGTGGACCGCAAGAAATTAGGATCCATTCCATCGCCTTGTCCACCAAATCGATTGTCCTGAAAAGATGCAAATTTTTTATTTTTCTCTTTAAAAGAAAACAATCAAATATACCTGCATTGCACTAGTGACTTCTTCATACTTCTTTGGATCATGGGCTGCTAAGCCATAGCTAAGCGCATGCATTTTTGCAATCTTCTCCATGGCCAAACGAGCATGGGTAAATGTCAAATTGGCCGCTGGAAGCGCAAGTTTGAAATTTTCTTTGGCCAGGTCCTCCAACGCTATTGCTGCAAACTCTGTTTCGACGGAGCCAAAATATTTTGGCCAGAGGTGTCCCAGATCTAGCTTGTATTTTAATTCTAGAGACTTGTAAGCTGGGACGATTTCCGAGTACCAAAGAGTTTCGTTAATGAATTGCAATTCTGTATTGTGCAGCGCACGCATAGCTGGATCTTGAGGAAAAATCTGAAATTACCAACGGTTACATTTTTGCAAATAATAGCTTAATAAATTACCTTTGCAATTACATAATCCTCGATATCTTTGCTGTCAATATTTACATTGATTTTCATCTGAAACGTACTTGAGGCAAATCCTCCGTCACCAGCATTGCCTCCCTTTTTGGTGCCAATTTCATGTGATACAAGCTGGGCTGTTTTTGAGTAAGTAGTGGCTAATATTTTTGGAAGCAAAGACTTGACTATCCACTGGACTTCCATCGCAAACAAAAACTAAAAACTGACTAAACCAGACAACTCCCCAGCAACATAGAAACTGATATCAAATTGTTTTGGTAGAGAGGGCAGGCAGCATGGAACCTTGTGACGTCACCACTTGTTGAGATGAATTTTGATTGGTGAGCAGCTTACTGGTGCCCGCGGCGTTTGGTGCTCATTAATGTCCCCACTTCTCTCCAAATGATAAAATTATTTGAAAGCCTCAAACAAAGAATGACCTTTAGCAGCTCTTAAGTTTGCTGATATATTATACTACAAAATTACTTCTTTGACAAGCAAGCAAATTGTAAATTCATCTATAGGCTGCTTGATATATGTCCCTTATCACAGAATAGCTTGACTAGTTCATTATTTGTGTTGGCAGAAGTGCCAGAAGTATAATTATAATTAAGGTAGAAAAATTAGCTTCAATGTTTGATTTATCTACTCATAATCATTACCACTAGTTAAATTGAGATATATTTATGAAAATTCCAGCATCTTAATTTTGGTGGCTCCAAATTATTATTATTACAAAATTTAACAGCGCACTTCCAGACAATACTTATCTACAATTCTGCAGTTCTTAGATATCACCTGATGAGTCTACGGAGTCGTCAGCTAATTCAATGATGGGATTAGACCTTTCCATCAAAATCTGCTGGGTATATTATGAAATGAATTTGGATTAAAACTTCAATGGTTTAAAATACCTCGCCATTATTAGTAACAAGAGCCAAAGTTGGATGTTCCCCAATTGATAACGAATCAGGGTCCGTTACGAAGAGTTCCCCATTGCTATCTGTTGTCAAAATTCCTGAACCATCTTGAAGGGCCTGATAAGAAAATTAAATTAAAAAAAATTAAATTTCTTTTTAAAATGACTTGTTGCTAGCTTATTTACCCAGACTGGCAGGAGTTGATCATTTTGCACAACTTGTTGATACTTTGCAAGGTGCTCAGACGAAGTTGTCAACACTTTAATGGAATCACCTTGTCCATTTTGTATCAGCTGGAGGGTCTGAAAAAAATTTGTACTAATTTTTAATTCGCATTCAGAAACTTGCTTCTTACCTCGGGGTCTAGTGAAATCGAACCACCTTCGTCTATGTTACTTGTAGAAACTATGACGGACCCAACTTCTTGAATTTCTTCAGTGCTTTCTTCGTCGTCTTCACCTTCCTCAAGATCATGGTGCTAAATAATTAATTGCTTAAATAATGCAAAAAAAAAAAATAATAAGTAAATAAAAACCACCTTAAATCCACCTAGAGGCAACCCATGTGATTTTTTCCTCCACGCTGTTCTACATTTAGAGTCCATATTTTGTTTGATCCTGTACCAATCTTTCTCAGTAATTTTAAACTTATGCACCAAGTGGCACCTAATTCCATAAATCTATGGACAAATAAGTCATCAGAATAATTTTTATAGAATCAAAAATAAAATACCATCAAGGGGGACAATTGCTTTTTCCCGTGCTTTCCTTTGCCAGAGAGGTTCGAGACTGCAAGAACGTCTCTGGGAAATAAGTAGTCAAGCAAGACGAGTGCCATCTTTTCTGGCGTTGAGCAGTAGCCGTTGATGTGGATCAAATCCCTGAACATTTAATTTTAAATTTAAGTACCCAAAGTAATAAAAAAAATTACATTGGAGAAATGGGAACTCTGACTCTAGACTCCGAGTTGTTTTCATTTCCTAGCCAAGAGCCATCAGGATAGTCTTCTTCTTTGTTAAGGGTGATGACCTGCATCCTCGAGTCTATGCTGACATTTGCCTCCACCTGGGACATTTCGCCATAGGGAGTTGGCACAAGGACCACTGGTGCTGAGTCATTAGAATTTTTCCTGATAGAATCAAATTGAATTAAAACTGCTTGCAAAAATAAAAATCAAAACCTACTGAGAGCTCGTAGTGAAAGTGTTATTTGCATTGTTAAAAGAGCTAGCTATGTCCTGCTTGATGGACTTCAACATTTCCAACACGTCCTGACAGCAAGGGTGCCTTTGATTCTGCTGATCCCGCAGGGCGTTCTCGATGCTTGTGACCTTGTTTGATATCAGGACGCATGTATTGGCCACTTTCTTCACATTCAACTCGATGGCAGATAGCTTTTCATTTACACTGTCGCGCAGTTGAGAAATTTGCCGATTGCAAGACTCGACTGAAGAGTACGGGGCAGCATCAATTTTTATCCTTTTTATTTGAAGCTCCGATTTTGCAGCCATGACTCTGAAAAATTAAAAAAAAAATCAGTTTAAGTAAGAATAATAAAAATAAAAATTTAAAAACTGGAAAAACCGCATATAAACTCTAAATCTAAAATGTGCAATGAATATTTTTAACATTATTTGTTTATGTATAAAATTAATTACATAATCGAATTAAAAACGAAACCAAAATCAATTTTTTTTTTTAGTTTTTTGTTGAATGTTTTTAAGTTCTTGAAAGGTTAAAAGAATTTTGAGGAGCAAGTTTTTCATGTGTATAAAAGGGTGGTCAAAATTGTCAAGAAAAATAACATAAACACAACTCGAAAATTGTCCTCGTGGTTTGAACACAAGGCACATCTTTGCGAATTGAGCCATAATCGCGAAAACTACGAGCTGTCATGCAAGTAAAACCTGCAAATTTGCAGAAAAACACTCAATTCCACGCCGGGAAATTCTGGACTTCAAATCCTCGCACATGTACCTTGGAGATCACGCAAATTCACGCTGCTAGCGATAATGGCGGTGTAGCAATGGCAAATTTTTTTCTAAAAAATCAGGCCCAACACGCAGACGCAGAGCTGACGAAATGTCAGTTTTCGTCAGAACGCCTTTGTTGAAAAAACCGTACGTGAGCTCATTGCTAGGCTCGGGCATTCGACGGTGCCTCCCCTGGCGGCGTCTCTGCGAAACGAACACGGATCAAAGCCGAAAAATCGCATGACCGGCGTCTATTGATTGTTTGGTTCAGTTTTCACCTCAAATTCGGCCGGCTGAGGATGGCGACGCAGGTGAAAACAGGATGGCCGAGACGCACCAGCAACGCGGCGCCTTTCGAGACCAAATACACGAATCAAAATCAAGTATCGCGACCTATAAATTTGTGAGTTGTTTCCAATCTCCAACCCCCCAAATTATGTCAATTCAACCCACTTTGCAGATATCCGCTCACAAACTACACATTTGGAACGAAAGAGCCGCTTTTTGAGAAGGACCCGTCCGTGCCTGCTCGGTTCCAGCGAATGAGGGAGGAATTCGATAAAATAGGAATGAGACGCAGTGTCGAAGGAGTCCTCCTGGTCCACGAGCACGGACTCCCGCACGTTCTTCTCCTGCAGTTGGGAACGACATTCTTCAAATTGTAATTAATTCCCTCAAAAATTTTAATATTTATCTTGATAAAATCCTCAAATTGAAGAATTGACGAAGATAATTTTATTTTTTTTAAATAAATTATTGTGAAATCCGTGAAATCATCTTCTGATGGAAAAAAAAAACATGAATTATTATGTTCACAAATTTCCAACCCTTATATTTTGTTTCATCTAAAACGGGGGATTCGTGTTTTCAGGCCGGGAGGTGAACTGAATCCGAACGAGGATGAGGTCGAAGGGCTGAAGCGACTCTTGGCCGAGGTAAAAATTAATATTACAAACTTTCCTATAACAAACTGTTGGCGTGAAAAAAATATTCCTTGTCTTTGCAAAAAGATGTACAACGGCAAAAGTTAATTTTACACATTGACCGGGTTGTAAAATGTGTTTTTGTATTTAAATGGCACAATATATATTTTTTTTATCAACACCAGATACCTGATCTGTAATGATAAGTTTCTGGTGTTCAAGAAATAATTTTTATTTTGAACATAATGTTGCGTATGTACCACTTGGCAAAATGTCTCAGTTAGGTCATTGTAAGTGTAAAAAGAAAATTATTTTTGTTACGGTGTAACAATTTGACGTATATGATCACAAATGAAAATGGTTTGCATTGACATGAATAAGTTTGCAACCACAAATGGGCGCATATATTATCAATTCGGAAACAAAATTGAATTTCCTGTAGTTTTCTTAGTTCTAAGCATGAATCATTTCATGTACTATGAAAAGAACGAATTATACTATTTCCTTTCCTCTGTACTGGGGTTGAAAATTTTTGTATAAAATAATTGCTGCATTTCTCTATAATAATAATATTACCAATAAGTATCAACTCTGAATGAAAGTGCGGAAAATGCCATGTTATGGAATGTTTCTCTTCGGGATTTATTTTTATTTACTATTTTATTTTATGGAAGCTTGTCCTTTTTATTTATCTTCTACTACTTGATGCTCTAAATTAGGGATTATGGAGTTTAAAAAAAATGTCTTTTCAGGCAGTTGATATTGGAATGAAACACTGCCCTCGATTCTTTAATATTTATTATATTATTTTACTGCATTTGATTTGCGTTTCCTCATTTTAATTTCTTTATCAACCAAACAACAAAGGGTGTACTGTGAAGTTAATGTTTCTGGAAATGCTAGTATACCAATAAAAATTTGTGAGGTTTCTCATGTTTGATAAATTTTAGTGCCAATTAATGTGATCATCAAAAGCTCTCAGATTTTAATACTTTTTTTATAGAGTTTTTTTTTATAAATTGACTGAGAAAAGCTGAACTTGTTCTCGAACCAACAATTATCAATCATAATCAAGCTTAAGAATATTTTTAAAGTATAAACAATCAGTTGGAATGACGAGAGCGTTGAAAGTGTGAATATAATATGTGCAAATCTAACTAAAAAAAATTGTTTCAAAGGTGTCCATATGGAAAAGGGTATACATGAGTTGTTGATGTTTTCCCATTTCCCTTAATTTGCGGTTTCATTAATTTGCTCGGGGAAGCTTTAATAAAAATGTGGGCTAGAGTTTTGAAAGTTGTGATTACAGACGCTGGGAAGACAAGACGGCGTTGTGCAAGAGTGGATGATTGAGGACATCATCGGCAACTGGTGGCGCCCAAACTTCGAACCCCCACAGTATCCTTACGTCCCCCCACACATCACCAAGCCAAAAGAGCACAAGAAGCTCTTTCTCGTGCAGTTGGCAGAGAAGGGTAATGAACTTTTCAGAAATATTTGTTCCATCACTAAGTATATTATATAAATTATATTTTAGCTGTTCGACAGATAAGCAAAATCGTTGTATTTTTAAAAACGACCGTCCTGTGTACATATTTATTACCAGTTATTCCGTAATTCACAAAATGACAATGTACTTGCTCAATTTTGTCATAATTGCATAAAAATATGAATTTTCTGTAAATTTAACACTGTTCAACATAAAAAATGTAGTTTTGCTGCACTGTAAATTCAAATTTCCTGATACATTTCATTATAATGTACCGGAATAAAAATGTTATACTGTAAAAAGAAGAATGTACAATGGAAAAATATAAAATGCTGTCTTACTAACGTTATTCTGTATGTTCAACTTCTTGTTATTTCAGGAAACCTGTTTCAACTTGATCCTAACTTTTTTAATTTGTTTTAGCGCTTTTCGCCGTGCCCAAGAACTATAAGTTAGTTGCTGCTCCGTTATTCGAGCTGTACGACAACTCCCAAGGCTACGGGCCAATAATATCCTCTCTGCCGCAAGCACTGTGCCGGTAAATTTTCCAATTGGAATTCGATATAAATTTAATAATAAATAAAATTTCAGGTTCAATTTCCAGTACCAGTAGTGAGGCCATCTCCGGAGCGCTTTTGTCTCTACTTTTCGGGCAAGAGAAGCCGCAATCGCTGATTATTTTATGTATAATGTAAAATAGCGTTTTAAGATCTTAGTTCTTAAGTTGATCATCATGCTTGTCTATCATGAAAGTGCAAATTTTTTGGTATTAATTTGATGTATATTTGAATGACTCTGATATGAACCCACAATAAATTCACACCTCATTAACCTTCGAGGATAAATGATGTCCAGTAAAACACATGTAATTTAATTCTGAAGATCTCACATTTCATTCACATATTTTTATTTTTTTGTTTTGAAATAAAATTACAGACACGCAGTTGGAATTTTTTGTTAATATCAAACAATTGAAACAGTTTTATTTTTTCCCCGATTTCTTGATTCCACCGCTGCCCATGGGTCCTTTGCCAGAGGCTTTTGCCTTAGCATCCTCCAGAGCTTTTTGCTGCTCTCTCAACTTCTGCTTCAAGGCCTTGTCGTCGTCGTCCTCATCAGCCGTCTGCTTCTTGGGCTGCTTCAGAGGCTTCTTCTTGCCACCTTCGCGTCCAGTCATTTTGGGAGATGAAATCTGAAAAGAAAAGCACCCTTTTACAATGACTAAAAAAAGTTTCACATACATAAAGAATCGTTGGAGGGCTCGGCAAAAGCATGCTATCAAATTATTCTAAATTTCATTACAAAATCGGGTTAATTTGGTTATTTTTGAATTTTTAAAATTTTCGAATTAATTTTTATAGCGTTTTAAACAATTAATTCAGAAAATATGTTTGGAAAAACTTACCAAACTCTGATCACAAGTGCGGAGCACGTGAATCCGAGAACGTCGACGCTTCTCACGGGTTTGTTTACGGTTGAGTCGCAGCTGTTTTGTGTTGATGCCCCGCGAAAGCAAGGTGCTCGCGGTGTGACGTCACTTTATTTATACAGCATTTCACACCGGTGCAAAATTCGAACGCTGTCCAGCGGTACGTGAAAATTTTATCAGATTTTCTTGGCGTCCCAGATTCATAACTAATGCATCTTTTAGATCTCAGGCCATGATTCGAAGCTGAATTTTCATCTGCCACGTCACTATCGACTCTTCTTCATCAGCGCACCGGAAGACCAAAACAGTTTCACTCTTCACGTCAAAGAGATGACCACAGTAATTTTGCTTCTGGTATTGTTCCTTTGCCCCGACACCTCAAGATCGGCTTCGGATGACACTCAACCTTCGAGTCCAGAAGCTGCAGCTCCGCTAAAGCTTCTGCCCTCCGTTGTCATCGCCGTTCAAGTTCGGAACAAAGCCTACACCCTTCCTTATTTTCTGACCGCCCTGGAGAACTTGAATTATCCAAAAGACCGCCTTTCACTTTGGTAGGAAAATATTTAAAATTTTTTATTTTATGCAACACATTAAAATTTTATTATTTTTTTTCATAGGATTCGTAGTGACCACAACGAAGACAATTCTCTGGCAATTTTAAGACTCTGGCTGAGCTCTGTGGAGAGACAGTACCACTCTATAAATACTGAGTTGAGGTCTTCCAACCCTAAAAGATTCGCTGACGAGACTAGTGCCACGCATTGGTCAACGATTCGATTTGAACATGTCATCAAGCTCAAAGAGGAAGCCCTGCTCTATGCAAGACATGCTTGGGCAGATTTTATTTGGGTAAGAAATATCTTAAATTAAAAATTAACTGTAACAGTTAAAGTAATATTTTTTAGTTCTTGGATGCAGACGTACTTCTTACAAACATGAACACCCTGAGAGATTTGGTATTTAAAGACTTGACGGTGTCTGCTCCAATGCTGGAGTCCGATGGCATGTACTCGAACTTTTGGTGCGGCATGACCAAAAGCTTTTACTACAAACGGACAGAAGACTACAAGCCTATTCTCAACCGAGAAAAGACTGGGTGCTTTGAGGTGCCGATGGTGCACACAGCAGTGCTAGTCAACCTGAACCATCTTCGTTCACAAAATCTTACTTTCCTGAGCAAGAAAATCCCTCACTATGCTGGTCCAAAGGATGACATCATCACCTTTGCACTTTCGGCAAAGCATTTCAGTAAATTATTTCAGAATCTGTCATGGATGAAAATTAATAAACTTATTTCAGATGTTCCCCTGCACATTTGCAATGAAGTGTTTTACGGCTACTTCACCCTTCCTTTGGAGGAAAACCAGGCTCTTGCTTTTGACGAAGCACAACTAGTCAACATAAAATTAGAAGCCATTGGTATTAAAGACAATTTTTAAGTGTTCAAAGTAAAAATCTGTAAATCTGGTACAGGCTGCTACAGATGAGGGCTAAATTTTAATTTATAATTTACTCAATATGCCAGTCCGGCTTTGGGATCAGTCCAGTTATTGATAATTCTCTCAAATACGAGTGCACAAGCACCTGATACTGATTGCACCTGATTTTATTAAAGATCATAACATATTGGCAAAATAAGCTAAGCAGGTCTTAAGAAAAAAAAAATGCCTGATCTGCACTAGAGTAGATATTGTTTGAACCAGGTTCAAGATAAATTTTATCATTGTAAATTGTATTAATTTTGAAACTCACAATAATTTGGAATCAAATTCAAAAATTCTAAAGCTTTTTTCTTTTAATATTTACTGTGCTGACTATTTTATGGAAATACAGATACAATTGAAATATTATTTCACTTTAGGCAATAACAATATTTTCTTTCTTGTGCGGCTTTTAATTCCAGTGGACCACGGCGGCCTCGAGTTGAGCGAGCTGATGGCGCAATTTGCTCCTCCGCCAGAGCGGGACACATTGGGGTTGGATAAAGTCTTCATGATCAATCTCAAGCGGCGCACAGATCGACGGACAAAAATGAGGCAGTGCTTCAGTGAACTAGGCATTGAGGCGATGGAAATAGAGGCAGTTGATGGAAAGTGAGTACCCATTTTACGCTTATTTTATTCTTCGGTCTCAATTTAAAGTAGAAACATTAGCTATGTTAATTTTATGCACTCAAAACAACAAAATTGATTTTTTTAGTGATTATAAATTTTATATTAAATAGCTTTTAAAGATTTAAACGCCTGCTATTCAAAAACCTAATCAATAACAGGTCACAAGACGTAGCAAATTCATTTGGGAATATGAAAGAAAAAAATTCTCTAAGTTTTCCTCATTGCTTCAGTGTTTGTGTCTGACAGGCGTTCCTAATTAATTCTCCCGTACCACAGCACAACGCGTTTGTCGGAATCTTAACTTTTTTTTAATAAACCACTATGTTTTAATACTTAAAGTAGGTGTTTTTTCAGTGTCATGTTTAGTCAGTTTCTGCTTCTCTTACACCCTTATTGTTATAGCAGCGCTCTCTGCTTGCTAATGGAAATGCGAGTCACGCAGGTGGAAAATGCTTGCTCTCCATTTACTCTCTGTGACAAAATTTCCGAAAATTTCCCTGACTTTTATCTTTTTACAAAGACGTGCGCAAAAGTGGCATTCACATTTCGTTTCTTTTGAATATGTTCCTCGGCGCTGCATACACCTCAATAATGAGACGAGGGAGGTCTTTTCATTTGACTTTTTAAACGTTTGCCTTTGTATCAAAGGAAATTATTTCTGTCATAAAGTGAAATAACGTTTTCTTTGCTGTTACTTTAACCTCGCCATTTTTTCTCTAGAAAATTTTGTAAACCAAAATTGATTTTTTTTTTAAACTTTGAATGAGAGTCATGTTCTGTTTTCAGAAACATGGCTTAAGAGCTTAAACTTTGCAAGATCCGTGTCACAAAGTCAGAAACCAAAAGCACGTCTCAGCTCTTGTTGTCAGAAATTTGACTTGCCTTACAATTAGCCTAACAAGCGTCACTTGTAATGCAATAGGCTTCTCATACGAACATTATTCTCACCATACACTAACTTTCTAACAAAGACGTGGTCAGGAGAGGCTTATGCAAATATTTTGTTGTTGCCCAAAACGCAAGCTGAACTTGCTCTACCCGCTCTTTGCTGTTGTTGACGCTTTATTTTGTTGGTCCGAAAACCTCATTTCGCACAAAAACTTTTCGCTACTCTAAAAAAAGTCTTGTGTACCAAGTCGGCCCCACTGTAAGCACACAAATTCTTACTATTCAACGCTTTCCGAGTGGAAAATCACTCTTTTGATTGCGGAGAGGCATAAAAAGTTCAATCCAATTACAAATTTATAAAAGCATTTTGTGGTGTGTGCTTGTACACTTTGTGTTTTTGAAAAGGATATATTTTTAATGAAATAAACTAGATAAAATTTTTGCCATTTATATATTTGGGACATTTTTCTTCATTAATCATTTTGATTGTAAAGATTTAAAGATGTCATTTGGAGAAAAATAAAGCTGTCTCTGAAAGCATTATAAAATACACAATAGGGAATCGGAGAAATTGATTAAATCAAACAAACTTTAAATCACACCGAAACTATTTTTATTTTTCCCGATTTTTCCATTCATGAAATATGAACCATAGTGGAAATAATTTCATCTTCAGTTAAAGCTTTGAGCTATTTGTATAAATCTGAACAATGATTTTTCACATTTTTGATGGGTAAACTCCTAATAGCCGAGAAACATTATTATACACAAACTCCAGCACGCACGTAAATTCGATATGAACTTAGCGACAAACAATACTTAATTTGAAGTTATTATTTTTTTATTTTCGTGGCTCACAATTTCTGTATTAACAAATTCAATACAAAATTTCAAGCAATGAAAGTTAAATTTTGAGATCACGTATTGTTTTTTTCGTCGGTGTAAAAATGAAAAAAAAAACTCAAGACGCGCTTCCACTTGCTAGAGTGCGAGTGCTCAAAGTAAAGGTCACAGTTGTAAAACATTAGTGTCAAAAGATTCCTGTTTTTGGCAACCGCAATTTAATTAGGTGACGACTTTTTGTGGTAGCCACACCCGGTGCTTTTAATATCGGAGAGAGGTTAGCAAAGACAGAAGTTTTTTGTCGTCTGATAGAGGTAATTTTCTTAATTAACTTTGAGCCTCCCTACTGTCTTTGTAGCATAGGAGTTTGCAAATGCCATAAAAAAGCGCTTCAAACTTTAAGAGAATTACGTAGAGTCAAAGACTAAAAGTGCCAAATTGAGATGTTGAAGCAGTCTTTGAATATTTTATTAGCCACCCAAAATTTGCACAAGTTACAACCAGTAACATCAATATAATATTAAGTAAATTTTATTGAAATGCAATGATCCTTTGATTTACATGATGGTTTCGCCGATGTGCAAATTTAGAGTCTCTCTCGATCACTCCCTTAATTAAGCGTGGACCTAACATAGCTCATTATGGGAGAGGAAGTGAATTGTTCTTTTTTGAAAGAAAAATTTCCATATTAAGAAAACATGCAATGCTTATATTGGCTAATATCAGGGCAAATTAATTTTGTTGTCTAGTTTGAAAAAAAAAAAATCCTAAATTTGTTTATTCTTTTTATAATTCAAAATTTTTATGGATAGAAGTAAATCTGTTTAATGAACGCCAAAATTTGACATTAATAGTTATTTTAGGTAAAAATATGTTGCATTTTTACATCGAATCATTACAGCGATGACACAACATGATACGCGAAAAATTTTATCATTATTATCATAAGACATCTGAAGTTATTTAAAATTAATCTTTAATTTGTTTAATAAAAAGACTGATAAAATCAGCACAATTTTACAAAGGGTTTCGTCATAATTTCTTGTTCAAATTTTATCTTACTCACAAGATCATATCAGACATCAGACTAAAACTTTTTATATAATAATTTTAAGTATTTTAACATTGCCGACAACGATTTACAGTTATGAGCTCATGTTTTCCACTTAAAAGCTCTTTAAAATGTAAAATTTTTCTGCTGAATAATACAGCCCATTTATAAATTTATTATTTCAGACAATTTAGCTACGCTCACGCAGTATTATGTCTGAAATTCTATTCAATCCACTTATTTAGTGGTACTCTTGGAGTAATGGTAGTTGAAATTTATTCAGATTTTCTCAAAATGATCTTGTTTCACAGCTAAACATAGCATCTTTTCTTATTTTTAACAATTATAACCTTCCTTGGGGGAACTAAATATTTTATTATTATTTCCCAGAAACGTTTTAATATCAGAAGCATTAGTGTAATTAGTACAAAGAATTATTTATTATTTGTTTTTTTTATCCCTTTTTTTATAAAAATAGATGGGACTTTAAAAGTAATTTGAAAAAAAAATCAACTTTGCAAAATGGAAAGAATGAGCTTTGAAAGATTGCTTTGCTTAGGGCAAGAATTATGTTCAATGATAGTGACCAGCTTAAATCTATTTTGAACTGTAAAAATGTCCTTTTTAATTACATGAAATTAATTTTCAAGCATATAATTACAATTTGTTAATGGGATTCAATATTTTGTACAGAGTGAGTGGTTTTAGTTAAGTCTTAAGTCTTCAAAAGATTAACATTTTTATTTAACGAAAAGTGTCTTTAGCTTTAGCTGGCGCAAAGTCTACACTTTATTAAACCACGCAAGCTGCGGACGAGGAAATTAATTGTCTCACCTCGACTGAATCGCGAATCACACAAGCATACTCATCATAAGACATCCTTTTGATCGTCTCGTTTCACTTGGCACAATCACACCAAAGAACTATTTGCTTGAATGTCTTCGTTAGATCTAAATATGGACTTAGCAGGTACCATTGTAATGGCTCTATTGCTGGTGCTGCTCACGGGCACAAGCTTTGTGCTGCGGAAACTCCCATTTGCTGTCATCCCATGACGCTCAGGAGTTCTCCGCGATGCATACGTAGAGAGTCGTTGTTGCGACAACTCACTGGAAGGTCGCGTGTCCTGTTGTTCTACGCCACCACATATGCTTACCCGCATCTTCTTCAGAGCCAGTTTGATCTCGTGCATGCGGGCGGCGTATATGATTGGGTCAACCAAGGTCTTCAAGATGTACATAAAGTTTACCGTGGTGTACAAAACAAACATGGTTATCCTGTCGGCGGCGGTGAAGTGGTACAGGCAGTCAGCGCAAACCAGACAGTAGACCAGCACTGCCGGCATCCAGCCTACAACGTAGGTGCCCAAAATGAGGACAGTTGTCTTCACGGCCTTGACGCTCCTTGCCAGTTGGTTTGAGTTTTGGAAACGGCGCCGGCTAGCTTGGTGACGTTTGACGATGACAAAGATGTGGCAATAGATGACACCCATGATGATCAAAGGAGTGAAGAACATGGAGGAGAATAAGTATCGAAATTCTTTATACAAGAGGAAGGTGAAAGAGGCGCAATTGTTTGAACGGAACCCCATGTCCGGCATGGAGCTGAAATAAATAAAGAAGAAAGCTATCGGAACGATCCACAGGAGGGCAATCACTATAGATGTCGTCCTTGGAGTCATGGTGGACGCATAGTGCAGAGGTCGCAAGATGCCAATGTAGTGGTTGATGGCAAGTGCGGTCAGATGAGCAATGGATGATATAATGCCTCCCAGACGAAATGCTTCCAGGGCCAGAACGTAGCAGATGGTGCTGGGGCCCACTGGAATGTGGAAGGCCACAGGAAGCAGACTGTTGATGACCAGTCCGATTCCTACCACTAGAGAGGCGTAAGCGTCGGCCATGGCTAGACTGATGGAAATGGATATGGTTGGTGACAATGGCCGTCTGATCCATCTTGAAGAGACGACGACCACCGAGTTGACTACAAAGGTGGCGAAGCAGAACAATAGAATTGGTGGAATGCTCAAGAGATAGAGGTTTCTGATGAGGGCGTCAGTTGGGTCACTTGACGTCTCAGTGTCATTTGACCCTGTGGTGTTGGTGGCAACAAGGCCGCCGCTCTGATTGACCCGGCCGGGCTCGTCAGCCGATGAATTCACCTGCATCCTTCCGATTTCCTGCAACAGATCAGATTTCATTAGCTTACAATGGGTACTTTGCTCGCGTGCTAAGGGACTGCTCTGTAAACATCTTTGATAAAAGGGAACTGCTTGCGCGCGCGCTCCAATTTCACCCAGGCGAATGGGGAGTAAATATCACGATTTTCAATTCTGTCGGATGGAAAAGGAGAGGTAAACAAGCAAGGTGAGATTTACCACCACCGTTGGTAGTAAAAAAAATACTTTTGCTTTTTCGATAAAATCCTTTTTTGCAAAATAGAAATAATAATAATAATAATAATAAATTAATAAAAAAATCTGAGTTAGTCATACAAAAAAATTTGATACTTTGTTTAAATTCGTGGTAGGGTAGGGTTTTCAGTTTTGGTCAAAATGTTTTAAATCTGGAAAGCAATTTACCAGCGTTGATTTTTCATTTGGCGCAGCGAGGCAGAGAGAACAAACATGTAAATTTTCTCTTTTAAAGGCGACCCTTTCATCTCTTTCACGAACAAATGAATCCCCTTTGTAAAGTATGATGGATTTAAGTTGACGGCAGCAGCTTTCAGGAGCAAATCTCTCTGACGAAATTTTCAGATAATAATTTAAATTTCCTGAATTTTAATTAACAAAGTTCTGGCGCAGCATCACCGGGAAGTATCCCACTTACGCACCCATTAGCAACTTACGCGTGATCCCTAATGTGGAAAGCGGGTCCTCATGGCGAGCGAAAATTTAGCACCCAGGGTGCTCTTCTACTTGTCTCTCAAACAAAGAGAATCGTTGATAATGCCTGCAGCATTATGATAACAAGGCAAACAGCTCGTTCAGCACTGGTTCCGAGCCCACTTTTTTATTCTATTAACGCCGGCCCATGTGGGCGGCGACCTGTTGTTATTACATAATTCTTATCTGATTTACCACACTCTCTCGGGGTGCATTATTTGTGTCGCATCTTTTTCATCTCGGCGTCTGCTATTGTTTGCCTCGCACTCTCGTTACATTTGCTCAAATTATGTTCCTCGCGTGCTGCTGCTACATAATAATATACAGCGGCGGCCCTCCATAGTGCACGAGCGCTTCTAATTCAGGGAAGATCCGTTCCGAGATGGTAGGATTTATGATCGCTCTTGAAAGTTTCCCGCATAGGAAGAAAACTGAACACGAATAAGGTTTATTAAAATAATTGGCCTACTTGATATAAACTCTCAAAAGTTGTTTGCAAAGTGAATGATGAATATTTTTTACTCTTTTGCTCCCACTTCAAGTTCTTGTCAGAACTTCATTATTTATAATGTCAAACAAAAATTATGATTTTTTATTGCAAAGTTGTTGTGTTGGAGTGGAGGGGGGGTCGATTAAATTTATTCAAAGAAAAACTTGCATTTATCAATAATTTTTATTTAATTTTTTTTCTATTATTGTATTTAAATTTAGTTTGTGCACATAATGATGTGTTTAAAATTGGGAATTTACGTGTATCATTATTTTTTTTTAACTTAAATTCACTTCATTCAATTTCTTTTATTTATTTATATTTTTTTATTGAAAACAATGATAGCAAGATATCTCAATTACATATTATAAAATAATGAAATTCTGATTGTTAGATAATTTGGAAACTTTCATTAAATTTAAATGATCAAAAGCAACTACCACGTCCTTTCTTCGCACTTCCAGTCAATTCACACAAATGAAATTTTGCGACAGTTCGGTTTTCCTCAATTCACTCTCGGAACGATTGGAGCTTAATTTAGGAGCTCATCTAGATCCCACCTTTGATTTAACGAAATGAGCTTGCTAATTAATTGTTAATTAAAGATCGAGGTTACGCAAGACTCAGTTCGATCACATCCAGTAACGATAATAAAGTGAGTCTCAATCAGAGAGGAAAAGCGAGTGGCGGCTGATTACATGGTAGAGCTGATGCTGAAATAATAAATGGCGCCGACGTGAAATGTGAGGGTGCTTTGTACTCTATAGTTTCATATGAGACGAAGCCACTAATTAGACTACATCCCTGTACAGAAGACTCATTTTTTAACAGGGAAAAAAATCGTTTGCATATACGCATGGCATGCAACCATGTTTCCAGTGACGTCAAAAGCCACCACCAAATAATGCGTACGTTAATATGCATAATTAATTTACGGTGAAATCTGCGGCGGAAAGAGAGCTTTTGCGCTGACGTTGAAAACGTTGGTTAGAATTTTCGATGATCAATGAAGAGAAATGCTCGAAATGTCACATTTCAATATTGTCGAACGATTGCTGGAAACGATTCCCTATATATGCAGTATTACATTTTGGATCACGCATGGATACCATACCGTTTCAATTTCACATGTCAATATCACAACACTTTTCCTCTCCTTTCAAGTGCTTCAAGTGCCTCTCCCAGAATAAAACTTTTGCATTGCCAACATTCATCATGTTATATATTGTCATTTTAACTTCAAGCTAAATTGGTTCACAGATTCACAGTCACGAAGATGAGTGCAGACAAAATCGTCGCTGCAAAGTCCTGCGGGCTTGTGCGATCTGTCTCAAATTTGACACCGCCGACGCTAAAAGCGGGGCGGATTCGGGAAGTTTATTTTGCTGGCTGTCACGCCGTCAAGAGATTTATGATGAGAGATTAATGCATTTTATTGCTGCCGCGCCGAGCGTGTAATATTATATCAAACGAAGACCTGCTGACTAAATAAACCATAGTGTGCGCGAAAGGAGCGAGTTTGCCAAGTTTCGGTGGTCTTAATTGATTGATCATGTTCTACAAACACCGAATTTGACGACGCGAAGCGTCTTGGTGGCTTTCTTTCGCACAAAATATTATCATAAGCTTTTCCCAGCGACTTCCTTCCGCGCGAATGCATTCTGACGTGGGCGGAAAAAAATGTCATGTCTGCATGGCAAGGCTATTCTGGCAAAAAAGAACAATGCGGATAAAAATTTCTTTGAAACTGCAGCTTGTTACATCCGAGCGAAAACAATTTTTTTTAGGTCTGTCAACTCAATCGATTAAGACGCAAAACAAACAGTGTCTGATGAGAATTTTTTTTAATAAGCAGGACAAAATCCAAACGTGACGAGTCGCATTAACGATACTGATCGATAGCACGCTTTTAACAGAAATGTCCTCTATTTTGGCTGTATTTCCATTAACGGAAAGTAATAATCCCAAAAGCATCTAGATAACACTTTATTAACTTGCCTCAAATAATTTTGCTGTTGCCTTGAGCGTTTCGCTGAATATAGGATATATCATAAGGATGAACAACTTCCAATGTAAAAGTTAGCTGTATTTCCAGTTTTTGAAATAGACTCAATTTATTGTACAGAATAAAATACAAAATATCTTTTTTGAAGAAGAAAAATCAATACTAACCATGTTTGGTCCACAAAAAATTCACCAAACGAAGGGAAAAAGCTCAAATATCTTTTTTATTTCGGAGAAATTAGTTTTCTTCCCGTATTGTATATCATGAGAAAGAAAGTTAAGAAGACACACAAAAATTGGTGTTCTTTGCTTTTGATATGGGATATGTTAGCGTTCCTTTCCGTCATATACCCAGCCAAGCCAATTGTATGGGGCAACAAAATTGATTTGTCAGCGTTTGATGTGTGTCCGATCAGAAAAGTTTGTAAGGAATCATGGTGAATCTAGAAATACGTTCCTTATATGTGCAAAAAAATCACATTCATTTCATGTTGAGGTATTTTTACATTTATGCTGTTGCCATGCAAGATAATAAGTGGATTATATTTCAAATTCCAGTTGGAACACAATTCTTTGGCCTTTTATTAAAACAGTTTTTGTCGGATTTTTGAATTGCTAAATTTAATGCATTGAGCTCTTCTGTGTACAAAGACTACAAAGCACAGAAAATGCAGCTTCATCAGCAAACAATTTCTTCAGTTTTTGCTTACGACCTCACTCAGTGAGTGCTTTATTTGCGAGGGATTAAAACTTTCGTTTCACAGCATGACTGTGCAATATATGCTGAAGGGAGGAATTAATTATCTAAATTGAAGCTGAGTGTTTTTTGGTCGAATGCTGTGTTTCAAAAACGTTAAAATTTTTTTATCTTTGAGACGTGCCGCGAAATACGGAATTATTTTCCTCCTTTGGTATGTTTTCCATTCATTAGGGTGTCTTTTCTCAGGAAAATGAAAAAAAAAAATTTTTTTAGCCGGCGGGGAGAACAAGCTCGATTGAATGGTCTCATTAGTCACATCATTCATTCTCTCGAAGCCGAGACTTTTAATTTGACGGGTGGAGACTTTGAGCTCATTATATTCAAAAAAGTGATCGGCGTCTTCAGCGCGTCTCTTGTGTACTACAAATCAATGAGATTCACTCGCCTCCGTTGATACAGTGTCGACGCGGCACAGAATTCTCACGTCAGCGCGGCTAACATAATTTTTGAGAGCTCCGGACTGCACGCAACACTTTGAGCGCGGCTAAAGGTTTATAATTCGGCGGAATGCCGAGTTTATTTGCATCTCTCTGTCTGAGAGTTTAAACAAATCCTCGGCTCGTCAAGTCTCTCTCTCTTTTTTGCCTCTTATTTGTAAAAAGAAAGGAGATAAAATGAGCAGCGCGCTTTCCAAACAAACTTGCCTCGCGCCCTGGATCGGCTCTTGGCTAAAATTGTTGCAGAGCCCTTTGTTCTTGAGCTCGCAGCGTTTCATTTTTCGACGCGTAATTTAATGGAATGTCAGCAGGCGTCGTCACAACTTTCACCTTCTGTTTCAACGGAAATATATTCATGAGAGGAAATTCAATTTTGTCGCGGAGTGCTTTCATATGCAAACTTTGCATTGTAAAACATGCGACGTTTCATTTCTGGACTATGCGATGTAATCATGTAGACGTAATTAATGCTCAAAATGTAGATATAGCACACGAAAAGCTGATGTTTGCTTTGACAATACATTATGTCTACTGTATTTCCCGGTATTTGCCTTTTTACAACGTTCGTTTTACTTAAAGAAATTGCAACAAGTTTCCTCAATTTCCAAATGAAATTTTGCGCCTAAGGAGACGAGTGTGGAGTAAAAAGCGGGCTCTTCCTTGTTGACAAAACTGAGTTGTTTTTTTTTAAATAAAATAATTTTGTCATTTAGAGAAAGGTCGATAAAATTCATCACGTAAATTAAATTCCAAACCTCAAAGTTTGATACCGTTTGATTCAATTTACATTTTCATTATAAGTTTTTTTTAAAGTTTCATGGGGTACTTTGTTATGATTGGGTTTGAACCTCAACAGAAATTCATACTTTTTTATTGTAAGACTATAAAATTTGTATAAAATGTATTTTTTTTTATGCTTTTTTATGAAGATATAGCAAAAAAAATATTTATAAAATATGATGTTTGAGTGATTTTATTTTACAGAAATAACAAGAAATAAGAAGAAATTGTTTTTATATTTGCTTTTAATATAAATTGACACTCGATTTCAAATGTAACGATAAAAATTTTTTGCAAATTTTCTTTTTGCTTACCTTCGCGCACGATGCTAACAGTGGGTTATCCTGTTGGCATTGGCACACAATTTTCCTTTCGGGGACAAAACGCTATCCTCAAACTGCTGGGGTAGCTGCGAACCTAAACTCTCTGCTCGCTCTTGCTCCGTGAAACCGAAAATACGCGCAAGCGCTCCAATTCAGTTCCACCCTTGCAAAATGCATCTTTGCCGATTCGACCCTTGGTTTATACTGCTGTGCGCACGCAATTCCAAAGTAAAACAAGAAATAAATTATAATTTATTCCTCATTACTTTTGATGAGAGTGAAAATAAAACACGAGACCTGTTTGATCTGCGCGTAGATATGTCGGGAGCTTCCATGTCTATTTTGTGCTCCTTATGGGGGAATTCACCAAGGTCCGGATGTCGCGACTTCAAAGCCGTCGCTCAAAAAAGACCATTGCGCCACGGGTTTCTTTTAAATAAACAGAGACGCACAATAATTTGTTACCAAATCTGTGAGTGACACGCGTCTCGTGTGCACAGAACGACAAGCAACACTCCACCCCCTGCGAGCAGCAGACGATTTTTATTTTTTTTTCTCAGAGCAGTGTCCGGTGCTTGATTTTAGCTCATCGCTGAAACTCACGTTTGAATAATTTAACCGGAAATGTGTTATTTTTGCACGGCAGATAATCGGTTTGCGCTGAATATGCAAACTGGTAACCGCAAAAAGCTTCTTTTCACAGAAAAATAGATTCTTTATATTTTTAAAATATTTTATTTTCATGCAAACTTTTCTTTTCAATTATTATTATTAGTATTACTATTATTTTGCTCGTGAAAATAGATCAGACTGTAACTGATACTGGTAGTTTTTCTTTTAGCTTTTTAATAACTAGGGCAAAACCAGAAGAAAGTCTCCTTAAGTACTTCACTTGGCTTGTTATTCACTTATTATGTTATTATTCCTCATGACCGTCCTATACAAAAATTGAAAAGAAGGTATATGTATAAAGAGAAATTTAATATGGTATCAAACTAGTAGATGTCTGTCAAAACGACAAGCATCAAAAGGAACTCGGCCTCTGCGGTGTACGCGCACAATTAAGCAAAAACAATATTGTATTGTTGTCACAAATTCTCCTCGCTGAGGAAAAGGATTGTTAAATCCGTTAAATCAATTCAGTACTCTTAACACATCTAGCAGTCCAAAATACTCTTCCAGTGTTTTTATATATGGATATTATTAGTTTTGATGTATCAAAACTATTAACTTTAACTTTCTATATATTTTATTTCTTGTTAGATAAAAGTTATTAAATTTAAACAATCCATGCAAATATTTACATTACATCCATCTTGAGTGTTCATTTCCATTTGACACAATGAAAATGATATTTAGGAATTATTTAATAAATTTTTTTAGCACATAATAATAGTCAACTTTTAGTCTTGCATTAAATTAGAATTTCCCTTTTAAATATTTAATTAGTTTGGAAAATCTTTTTACAGCCGCATTTCATAATAAAATTAATAGCGAGCAGAAGTGAAATTGAATTTAATAAAGTTGAACATTTTCTTTCAAACTAACACGCTGTGCAGAGCTAAAAGATTATTAGCACGTCAGATGCAAAACTTTGAAGCATTCGGTGGAACGTGTCAAGTTTACCAAGCAACTGTTTATTTTGTAAAAATCCAATTAGACTTTGTTATTGGCCCCAAGTTGAAAGTTTGTTGGCAATTGTAAATGGTTCATTAACAAATTATTTAACAGTGCATGTTAATTCATCACAAGCAGGCATTGAGTTTTGACCGCTATTTTAGAATTGTAAATAGCTAATTGCAATCATTCGCGCACTATGTATATATGTTATCCGTTTCTCCCATAAGCTTGTTGGTCTCTAGTGAATTTCATCAAAGTTCAAATGTTTGTTTCCAGCTTTTGGATGCTTACAAAAGCCACCTGAATAATTTATCAGTCCATTCGGTACGGCACAACAGCTTAAAATAAAATGGCATATTACAGCGAGAGCCAACATGCCCTTTAAATTACACTAAGCGGTGGGTTTTTTTTTTCGATTTTAGAGTGCACAGAATCGATTTGGTTTTTTTAGCCTGCGACCGAAATATGTATTTTGTTTGATCTGCCCGTCGGTTTTGAAGCTGTGCTCATTTATTTTTTTATTATAATGAAACGTAAAGCGGATTCTCATTGTCAGACAGAAATAATAAATATTTTTACGCTCAGTTCATGAAGCCGATTAATTATCCAATCCTCCACGTGTTTTTTTTATACATATAGCTAAGCTAATCCTAAAAATATGGTTGAGCAAATTTAATTTAAATCTGAATTTAGCTTATCGCAATTTAATTCTGTGAAATTTTACTTTGATCCAGTGCGTCTCGCGTGAGTAAATTAGCCATGGGGGAGAACTGTAATTCGGCCCGTTTGTCAGAATTCGTTGATCGCACCACCGAAATGAAATTTAATTAGTACACTTGGTGAACGCAAGAACAATTCTGGTGCTGAATTCCAGGCCAACACCTCCGGCGCAAATCCGTTTTGGAAATGAATGGAGCTAATTCTATACCGTCATGTGAAGCACGTTTCATATTTGGAATGTCTGTTTGCTGACAGAGTTCCGTGGCAAATTCGATTCAGGGTTGACATGCTTGCAAATTAACTCCGGAAGCAGAAAATAAAGTGCTTTGTGCTATTCCCATGAAAATTGAGAAATTCTCTATATATATATATAAGGCATAATGTATCATTTCTAAGAAAGGACCACCATCATCTGACCGCAGCCGCCCTTTATCAAAAAGTGTACTCGTGCATAACAAATTGAGCACGGTTCGCCTGAAGAGGCAGGCATGTTGGACGGCGCGAAAATTAAGAAATAATGCAAAATTTTTAGTACGTATTTTGTTATTCTTTAAACATTAATTGTGTCTGTCGCTTGAACTCTTTTAAAAATGCTCGCTATAATTTTCACACGTAAAACTAATTACAGAACTAAGCAGACACTTTTGATTATTCAAAGCTCTTTAGTTAATAAGTTCTCCAGGGCCGCACGCAAGTTTCCTTCCACTCCCATTCAGTTTAAAATTCGTTTTCTGAATTGAGGGGATTAAGTTATCGCGAAGAATATGTCAAAGTTCAGATCTATAGGTTAAATTTGGTAAATTTGCTCTCCCATTAAAAAAAGACAACTTTGCGTTTTTATACATGCGAAATTCAGCACGTCACTCTCTCTTTCTTGAATTTCTCTGGGAATATGTCGATGTTTACCTTACGTAAGTCGCTTTTACATTATTCAATGACTCCATTAGTAAATCTTTTGCTATTCAGAGCCAACGCTGAAAATTATTTGCACGCTGCGTTCTGGAATAAAAATATTTTCCAATATTAATCAGACCGTAGCTAAAACATTTGTATGTCAACTTCTAGAATTTAAGTTGAAATGAACTACCGATTTGAAATATAAATCATGGGGGACTTTAAAACCAATAAATTCGAAAAATTCATTTTATCAATTGGAACCAAATATATCTCATTAATAGGCCCTGCAAAAACTATTCGCGTCAACAGCAACTTCAGGAAAGAAATCCGTTAGCTCCAGCGCCAAACTTTGCTAAACCAACACTGAATTTCCTTGGGTCGATAGCCGAATTTTATTAATTATTTAGCATCAATCTACAGATGAATAAAAAAAATCATAGTAACAAATGAGTTATGCAACCTGTGCAACCTCAACGCTGTGCAAGATGCCTATAGTTATTTTGCTGTTCCCTTAAAATACCTTGTCAGTTATGCTCAATTCCCTTTAAATAAATTTTTAAATCAATTTCCAATTTCAAATTAGCTGTGACGTTATAGCCGCTCTTTATTCCATCGAATATTAAAAAATTAAAAACAAAAAAAATTCTCCGAATCCAGAACTGAAAAAAGAAATCGAAAAAAACCTGCTTGCTGTAATTTTTTTATTTATTAAATTGATTTTATTTACAGCAGGTTTGCCTTTTTCAACATAATGAACCACGCTAGCTTAACTATTAGGAACCTAATCAAATAATGTGGAAGGTCACGCATCAAGCGTGGTTTGCTTTTGCTCAATATTTGCTTTGGCCGTCCCCTGTACAGTACTTGCATTTAGTATGTTTATATGTTCAGACAGGTTAAGCTCGGTTCGTTTCGATTTTCCGGAGAGGGATGTTTGATTCCAGAATTCGTAGAATTGCCCAACCATAGTCTCTCTCTCTAAAGCTTGTGAAAATTTGATTGCAGGCTTCTAAACAACACTTCTCTTGTTTCCATGGGAATTGAGATGTTGCCCAGTTACATGGATCCATATCACAAAAGGTACTATAATCGTTATCATTTCACAATTTGAAAATATTTATATAAAAAAGTGAACGCAAAAATTAAAATATAATTAGTATGCAAAATATATAGCGTGATTTCTAATATGATTTTTATATTTCTTTTTTTTCAGTTGAAATATATAGATTTTTTTTTTAATTACTTTCAATTCTTTTATAGACCTTTGACAATGGGAGAAATTGGTTGCTTTCTGAGTCATTACAGTGTTTGGCAAAAGGTATGATTAGGAATCAATTAAAATTCTATTGTAATTTAATAAAAATTTTAAATAATTAGGTGGTTGATGAAAATTTGCAAGAAGTGCTGGTTTTAGAGGACGACATCAGGTTTGAAAATTTCTTCCGTGCAAAAATGGCGCACCTCATAAAGGAGCTGCGCAATCTGAGCTTTTCCTGGGACCTTGTGTAAGCTGAAATTTCACGTCTCTCTGTTGATATTAAAATGATATGAATTTGGATATGATGCAGGTATGTCGGTCGGAAAAAGCTGCAGAGCGAAGATGAGCCTAATGTGGACGGCTCGAAGAACTTGGTGTGGGTCGGATATTCGTATTGGACCTTGGGCTATTTACTGAGCCAAAGTGGCGCCCGGAAACTTCTGGATGGACAGCCTTTGTCAAAGTTGCTGCCTGTTGACGAGTATCTTCCTATCATGTTTGATCGTCATCCTGAGTGAGTACAAACACGATTATTTACTGTATGTATAATTTATAGTGGAAAAAGCTCTTTCCGAAAACTCCAGATCTAATTCGGTTCGAACGTGCCAGAATATTTTACGCCAAAGTCATGAATAAAAGATCAGGGAACACTAAAATTGAATCAATTACCTTCACTTTTGAGCAAGGGTCGATAAAGTTTTACATTACATTCTACTTAGCAATGCTCTTTCACTGGAGAGAGCAGATTTTTTTCCTAGAGCAAATTTTTCACTACAAAATTTATAAATTGCAATATATTAATTAAAATATATAAAATTAAGCTGGCTAACACTTCTATAATGCTATAATTTTTTTTTATTAATTATTATTAATTTTTTATTGTCATAAAAATTTAATACACAATTTTTTCAATTTTTACCCAACCTAATAGATATTTACATCACTCTACACTGGGATTAGTTTTGAATTTTAACAATATTTTTTTGGAGGAGAAGTAATCTTAATGTTAGTATTTTTATTATTCTATCTCTAAATAATTATTCTTTTTATATCTGATCAGAGGCCAAACGTTTTCCAAAAAGGTTTCAAGGCTTCTCTCTGCTTTTTTTTCCATTTTCCTTTAGTTTTTCTGTACCAGGGAGAAAAATCACAGCAAAAAAACTCTTTGATTGGAGCTTGTTCTGTAATTGAATATCATTCAGCCTCCACGCTTTCGTTTTGAGAACAAGGTCGCATTTTACTAACATGATTTATTTTACCTTTCTTTCCTTTCTGCCCAATTTTCCGGGAATTTTTATCAAACATTGGGAGCCCTTTTATATCCTCCCGTACAAGTCGCAAGATCGGACGTTAAATGAAACCTCGTCAACGTGTCACACATGATTCTGGGGAAGGAAATGAATTCGTCTTTTTATTTGATTCTGTAGCTCTCATTTCTCCGAAAATTGCAGGATTGAATGGAAGTCGTTTTTTGACAAGCGTTCTTTGGTTGCCCTCTCGGCGCAACCCCTGCTGCTGTACCCCACGCACTACACAGGCGAGCCGGGCTACGTCAGCGACACGGAAGATTCGTCTCGCATTTCCACCAGTCCGCAAGTGAAACGTGACGATTTGTGAAATAGCCCTTCAACAACTGCCACCCACGGATTCAATGTTGCGGAATTCACGCTCAACTAAGCTGTATTTTTATTTGTGCCTTTTATTTGCTGTTTCGAGTGAGCTTGGGCTGCAGTTTGGCAATTAAGGCTTTGGCGAGGGTGTGCCGTTAATTGCTCGAAACCAATTAGAGTGCCATTTTCTTCGCGTTTTCAGGACGTTCTTGCGATTCCATTTGCTTGTGAATCTGTCTGAACCCGCGCTAATCCAATTAAGGATGTTTTTTTTTTCGCCCATGGAGGTCAACTTTGTTACATGAGACGGGAGACCTCGTTATTTTTCATTGTTTTAACCCTATCTGGGCGTAGTCTCTCAAGCAAGCACATTCTCATTTCTAAAAAATACTCTTGGAATTACGTAAATTAAGGAATATTCATATTGCCATTGTCAACAACAATAGACACTAATTTTGCCGTCATTGGAGAACGATAATTTCAAAATTATACCAGCATTATTCTAAAGACTTGCTTTGACTTGTGCCATTACTGAAGCCGACCTGCTCAAATTTACATATACAATTATGTCTCAAATAATACCTTTCTCAGATTTCTCACGTCAGACGCGTATCAATTTCAATCCTGCAAATAATCAGATATTCAATTCAGCTTTGAACTTTTCATTTATAATTTACTTTTTGCCATTAGTCACAATGCTAGATAAATACAATATTAATTTGAGGTAGAATTTCACGATCAAGGTTTGATTCATGATGATTTGAATTTAAAATCGGTTTCAAATTTTGCAGAAATTTTGTAATTTGCGATGAGCTTATGATGTATATCTACACTAAAATAAATTTACTGAAAAGCTGCTATTTTTTGTTGAAACTAAAAAAATTTAAGTGGTTTTTTGTTCTCAAGCCACGCTTTTGCGTTTTAATCAATGTTTAGTTCCATCACCATCAGGTCTTTACGTTAAACTTTGCACCCAACTTCTGGCTTTCGCCCGATCAAGTAATTTAATTGTATAATTGAGTTGTCGTTAAGCTTGGCCCAATGGAACTCTGAACATTGTGTAAATTTTATGCTGCCAACGTAGCAACGGCTTTTACGCCCCTCAGCACATCGCAACCAGCAACCCTTGCAAATTCTCTCTGCCTCTTGATGCTCAGTGATCACCTTGAATACAAATTTCCCTTTAATTTTCTCCATTACACGGCTCCCGTCTGACCAGTTACAAAAGCAGTTTAACCTAGTCTTTTGCAAGTCAGCCATGTTTTATTGTTCACTTGCCAAATTGTTTTCAAATTTTATGTGAAAGAGAAAAATAATGAATGAATTATAGGACAAAAAGGAACCACTACTTTGCAAATTTGTATTAAACTCTGTCATTTGTGCTGCATGTACCCGTTTATGCTATGCCGGTCCTATACGGATATCAGAAAATCTATAATGTGAGCTAAAGTTGAGCCAAAGTCTTCCAGATTAAGGATGTGCTCTTAATAAAATTTGCCGTAACGGCTGCAGTATTTTCAGATTAATGGACCATTGAGCTGGCAGCACGTGCAGCCATTAGCGCCGCGGCCAGCTCATGGAAAAACGGAATGAAGTCGTATGCTTTCATAGCCGGCCATTTACCAGGATTAACTCGAATATCATTTTTGTGCCATTATTTATCTCATTAATTGTAAGATAGAACTCGACTGTCGCCGGAAAGAAAATCAAATTGATTGGATCTTTGTTTTTATCACTATATTATGTTTTCTAGATAATTATTGTCACAATATAACATGAAAACAAATAATCTCAATTGATGGGTTTTTATTTATCCTCGCTCATCCTCACAAAATATCCAAATAAAGTAAATCAGTTTTAAATTCCACAAGAATTTTTTTTAATAATTTGCTATTAAGGAACTTCATAAAGCACAAATGAATTAAAATTATTATATTTTAATTAAATAACACAGATATTTATTCTCAAACATCTCATTCAATGCGAAATGCTTCTTTATTAAAAATTGTGTGGCTCAATCTTTTAAGAGCTTCACAAATCTGTCGTATTTCTCTTTTAAATAAAGTCTTTTTACCAATGTAACTCGACTATCAAAATCTGAAAAGTCTACCTTGACAGTGCTTAATGTATTTCCAAGTTGGAAGTTGAATCAGACTTCTCAAGCCTGCGGCCCTTTTCTGAAAATTTCCTGCACCGGTGCGCCCTGTGCTTTAATGTCCTATGCACGCTCACTTTTACAGCCTCCCTTTGTTGTTACTGCGACGCTCGAAGGAGAAACCGGGCCTTTGATGATTTATAATAAGCTCTTCGGCCTAGTTTTTGCAGCAAATTTTGGTGTGATTTACAGTACGTAAATGGAGTCAGCGGAAATTTTCATGTTGTATAATGAAACAACGTGGAATTTAATCATATAGCTTTTAACTGTTTCGGTCATAAAAAAAAAAGTAGGAGGAAAATATAAAAATCGCTTTTATTGTTTTTACAGTTCTCCGTAAAAACCACTTTCACTTTATTTTCATTTAGCTCTGTAAATAATCTCTATTGATCTCTACACAGGCAATCATTTCCACTGGGATTTTTTTATTTTAAAATTTATGGATGGACGGGAACAAACAACAATAGTAATTCTGTTTGATATATCCTTATATCGGCCTCTATAATAGATCAATAAATATTATTTTCAACAAATTTATTCCGCAATAAAAGTTACTCTTTTTACTGATAATTCATATGTTTACATAATCATTTTCTTTTCGCACTGTCAAAATTTCCATGGACCTCTTTATTTTAACCAGATTTATTTTAAACTAATTGCCTAAAAAAACAGGTCCCTTTTCTAACTTCTTTATAATTAAATTTTTTTACTATCTAAAGTCCTTTCTCGTTGTTAGCCAAATCTTAGAATAAAGATTTTACGTCATGAGAGATGGAAGTGTATTCAAAATTCTGAAGGAAAAAATGTTTTAAAGAGAAGAACAAACACAATCCATTATGGATCGATCTATTGTTCTTTCTCCTATCCCTTGTGAGAGCATTCCGTCAGCTGGGATGCGCTTTTGAGAACTCACGCGAGACAGACGCACTTTGTGATTTCCACTCCACTTTGAGCAGCTCAACTCTCTGTTCCATTCAACAATTCTACAGCAGCAAACTTTTAAAGTAAAGAAAAGAAAAAGATCAATTCGTCAAATAGGAGGAGCGTTGGTGGAGATCTTACCACAACGTCTTCAATTTTTGAAAGGCAATAAAGCAGATGCTGCTTTTCATCACGAAGGGATTCAAGATTTATTTGGATTTAATAGTAAGACTAAAATTCCCAGCCAGCGAATCCTCTCTACCAGACTGGAATTAACAAGAACACAAGATAAGACAATCCAGCCAAGCTAATAATAGAAATCTCTTGTTCTTTAATATACATCTCATCTCAATGCAACCGCGTTCTACAGAAACCATAAAATATCTGTTCTTCAGAGAACTTAACGATGCTGCGTGTTATTTAAATTTTAATGCAAAATAAGCATACCTGTATAATAATTGCGTATTTTTTGTGAGGGAATATTTTTATTATTGATATTATGCTTTAAAATACAAGATAGGTGTTTTTCATTTGGTTTTATTCTTTTTTTTTACAATCAGTTCAGAAAATTTGTCTTTTTCTCAAATAGGCATCACTCTATTTTAATGGACAAAAGGAAAACAATACGAAAAATATGCACCAAAAATATGCCAAAAGCAAGCAAAGGACAATATTTAAATTTTTAATTATTGAATATTGATGGGAAGGTGAAATTAATAACAAAATAAATTGACCAGTTATGGTTTTTAAGGTGACGCACCCCGATTTTGATGAAACTTATTATGCAACTTGCTATACTCGTGGTTGTTCTGCGACGACTGCAATCAAAAGTTGCGCCTAATATTAAAGATGATTGAAAACATTAAAAACAATTTAAAGCATAAAACAAAATCATCATCTATGTGCTTAGAGATTGAATGTTTTACATTCATTCATCATTCAATTCAATAGCTCAAATTAAATGCGAAAATGCAAACCAGGGAAATAAAAGCATAACTTTTGGTGGAATGGGTTGTCGATGAGAAACACCAATAATTTTTATGTCTTTGCTCAAACACATCTTGCTTGTGAGCAGGGGGACCGGAAAAGGAATCAAAAGTAGCCCTAGTCTGTACTACAACGGATTCACACAATTGGAAGAAAAAAAATCAAGCCAAATGTAATATTGACCCTCGCAACCATACTGACTTTTTGCTGTTTGGAAGCGAAGCGAATTGGCGCTTAAGTAAATAGAAGCAATACAAACATAAATGATATATATTAAATAAAGAGCGAACGTGAAATTATTGTGTTTAACAACATTGTCAACACATTCAATTCAAATACCTGCAGGCGCCTAGATTTTCCATCAAGACGAGTAAACAAATAGCATTCAACAAATTCGCTCTCCAAGACGCACATTTTAATATTTTGCCAGGAGACTTCCTTTTAAATAAATGAAGTAAGACAGGGAACATATTACAATAATCCACGTTCAAAATTACGTCTGTTACTTTTTAAATAAGTTAAATAAGATTTAAAATATTATTTATTGTCTGTTGCAAATAATATTTATTGAAATATCATAGAGGCAATCACTGCCCAAAAAGATATACATCGATCAGAATTTTAAATTGATACATAATTTATTTCACTAAGAGATAAAAAAAATACAGATAATTATAAAATTATCTTGTTACATAGTACTTTGCAACAAGATGGATAAATAAACAGCAATAAAAATCCGATAAATTTCAACATAAGCAATAATAAAGATCAGATTTCATTCATTTGATCACAAAATAAACTACTAGCACAACAATACTACCGATTAAGTCGCTCTTATTGTTAAAATACGTTTTGCTGAAATAAATTTAAGGCATTACATAGCAACCAATTTAAAAGTTTTTGCTGAAGGCAAAAAATGCCTAATACTTCCAAAATGCTGCCTTTCTTTTTCCTTTTATAATATATTTATAATCAATTAAAATATTATAATCTGAAAATTTCCATTAATTCAGGTAATTAGTGCATCTGTATTGATGAACAATATTTTGTTCCTGGATTTCTGGCCACCATGTCAGCATAATATAATATTTAATTAAATTTATTTCCAATTATAAACATGTTTCACAAATTCTAGCCAAGCCCCTTTAATTATAGCGTAAGCAACGCGCTTCTCATCAAAGTCACGCTGGTTGCATATCTTACTTAATATATTTTGTGCTCTCTACTCTTAACTCCAGATACACGCTGCAGAGGGCGGACAAAACTAGTGGAGCAAAATAATCGGTTTTTAAAAAAACTCCGGTTTTGGTCATTTTTATACAATTAATTTCAACCATTAATGAGAAAATTTAAATTGAAAAAAAATTAAACAAAGCTTACTTTATATATAAAAATTTCAAAAAATTTCAATAAAAAAAATTTTCTTTCGAATCTCAAATGTATTTCAACACACTGATTTCATTCCTTACAAATTAACCGGTTTTCTTTGCATTTTCATCCATCATCCATCAGCTGCAAGCAAAGCACACAACCTGCCATAATAAAACACGGCACGACATTACCAGAAGCCACGATTCCTTCATCGTCGAACTTACAAACAAAACCAATTTTCTTTTGACAGTCACCGAATTTAAATCAAAAGCAAAGCAAAGTCTCCAAAATGTCTTCGCGAGTGCTGCGCAAGCTTCAGGGCGACACCGGACTGCCTGTCGGCGCCGAGAGCGACCCTGAAAAAGAAGAAGAGGAGGACGACTTGTTGGCGGTGGCTACGGGCGGAGGTGCCAAAAAGAAGCAGTTCAACGTCAATCGATATGACCTGGTGCGTGATCTTGATGTGTGCGAATTTTCAGAAAATTTATTCAAATATGATTTTAGCTGAATCAGCAGTCATTGTCGGAATCGGAAGTGAAAGAGGACGACGACAACGAGACCGAACCGACACAGGATCAAGACGGCGCCGACCCTTGCGACAAGGGGGCCAAACGCAAGAAGAAAAAGAAGAAGAAGAAAGCCACGAAGCCTGCCTTTAATCAAAGGAGCAGCGAAGATAATTTTGATGTGACTTTAAAAATTATATGTTTTAGAATTTAATCTCATTATTATTTTCAGGGAGATGAAATTGACCAAGTCAACAGGTTGCTGGGCCCGGTCCCATCTGCCGAGACTGCCCAAGCTGCAATTGAAGTACAGCGGACCAAGGAATTGCTCAGTATTGAGAACAGAAATCTCAATCCAAATAACGAGCTGAAGCGGATTTTCGGAGTTAAAATTGTGCAGTCGGAGCAGAGGCAGAAATTTCTTTAAAAAACAATTTAAAAAAATTTAATCTGTTTTTATTTGTTTAGGAAAAAATCAAGGACCAGAACTCACTTGCGAAACACCGGAATTGTGACTCCAAAGGACACCTGGCCAATGATAGGAAAACAAGGTTTGTCTATTTATTTTGTATTTCATCTCAAAATACTTTTACTTTCTTGCAGGAATAACAATGAGATACTGTGAGCAAAAGGGTCAAGTCCAGATTTTTTCTTACGAGCACAGCCCAGACTACCAGCAGGTGCAGAAAATCTTCCTGCAGGCTGTCGAGAGTCTGAATCCAGACAACGTCGTCTCTGTCATTCACTCACACCCTTATCACGTCGACGCTCTACTGCAGGTGGCCGAGCTTTGCAAAATGAGTGAAGATGTTCAAATGGCCGCAGACTTGATTGAACGGGCTCTGTATGCCTTGGAACATGCATTTCACCCTCTCTTCAGTCTTGCTCAGGGCAACTGCAGGCTCGATTACTGCAGACAGGAAAACAGGTAAATTTTATAGAACTGTTAAAAAAAAATAACATTCTGCTGTGTACTTGTTCGTAAATTATAGGAATTATCTTTAACCTTGATTGTAAATCTGCTTAATTGAATACGATGTTTTAAATAGACTTTAAAAATTCTTTTAAAATACAGATGATTTTATAATTTTACATTGAATTAAAGAAATAATTAATTTATTTGAATTTTAAGGGCACTCTTCATAGCACTCTTCAAACACCTGACCTTAGTTGGTCAACGTGCATGTCACCGCACTGCTCTCGAGCTGAGCAAAGTGGTTTTATCCCTTGACCCAGAGGGGGATCCGCTGGCCATGGTTCTGGTCATTGACCTGTACGCCCTGAGGAGCAGGCAGTTTGCCTGGTTGGTCCGCTTGGCCGACGAGTGGGAAGCCTCGAGAAATCTTAGTCAGCTTCCCAATATTGCATACTCAACGGCTGTTGCTCGATTCCACCTGGCGCAGCAGGGTGCTGTGGAAATGGCCGATGCAGACGCAGCCCTGCAGCTGGCGCTCATCATGTTCCCAGGGGTGCTTTCGCCGCTGCTTGAAAAATGCTCTGTGCAGGTTGACCAAAAGGTGCTGGGTCACAACTTCTTCGGACCAAACTCACAAACCAGGCAAGATTGAGTTGAAAAATAAATTTTATTACTTTTAATTTTTTTGATAGAAAAATACAAAAAAAAACTAAATTAATTTTTTGCTCTAAATTCACATCTGAATCGATTCATTACAGCTAAATTTCAAATTTTTTACATTTTCTTTATTTGCCCATCAATTTTTTTTATGAAATTTTTAGCATGCCACCTGCACTGGCGCAGCTTGTTCAACTCTACGTAGCCCGTTGTTGGCCTGTGTGGAAAGAGCCTGAGCTTCTTCCGTGGTTAGAGAGAAACACACACGCAGTCTTAGCCCGTGTGGACAGCAAAGACCCTTTGGTCAGTGAGTGTGATGGTCACAGACGCAGGCGCTATCAGGGCAACCCACCAAGGAACATAACCAGGCACATTGTTCTAGCCGACTTGAAAGAAGTTCCACCCGTGATTTCACAAAGTGTTAGTAATTCTTTTGAATAATATCATTCATTAAAAGTTAAGTTCTTTTTGGGATTATAATTTAATTTAAAGAAATAATGAACTATCATATTTGCTTTTATATTATTTTGAATATCTATTTTTATTGTTTTGTAATTAAAGATATTTAGTGTCTTATATCATTAAATCATATTTTTATTCTGGATTAATTTTAGGAGGCATCAGGCCCGGTGATGAGTTTTGACCCTCTTCCACCTACAAACTCAATCAACATCTACGAGAGACCCAGGAGGCCGAGAGTGACCACTGTGGACAACGCAGGGGCCCTGACCCTTTTCTTCCGATCGCTGCTACCGACATTCAACGTGAACGAGCCACCTGGGTAATTTTCAATTTAAATTTATTTCCAGCTTGTTTTCAATGATTGCATTAATTTACAGGGGTGAAGGGGCTGGTGCAGCTGCGCCGGCAGAGGAGGTGCAGTACGAGTTTGAGGGCGAAAACGAGGGTGGCGGATTGGAGGTCAGGCGCAATTTGGCCTCCCTGATGGACATGCTGAGGGACCTCTTGAGGAATATCCAACTTCCGGACGCTCCCGATGCAAGGGGTGACGCAGACGTCGATAGTTCTGGAGACGACGAACCAGGCAACGAGACGTAAACAAGAGCTGCTCTAAAAAAAATAATAATGGTTGGGTGTTGATTTTTATCAAAGTAGATCTCCCACTACCAAATAAGTTGTGATAATTTTTATATAACAATACGGCTCTGGCACAAAAATTTATGGCCTTCTCTCAAAATTCACAAATTGATGTAATCATGCTCCATATCACATAATAATTTGTAGCGATCATTGATTCAAAGAAGTCACTTAGATCAGTTGGGAGATTCTGCCCAGCATTTAAATTTGTAAGGCCTAATATCTAAATATGCAAAACTACCTGTGGGAGAGTGGTTATAATGGAGGTAACCTTTAATTGAATGGATGCAATCATTTTAATAAAGCATTGGAAGTAACGGTGATTATATCTGTAAAAGTTTAACATTACATAATGTATTGGTGTTATTATAATTTGACATTATGGTTGTGTTGGAGAGGAATATAGTTGAGAAGTAAATATTTCTGATTAAATTCTTGTAAAATATTGCTGAAAATATGTATGTATTTGTCTTGGGCTTAAAGTTGTTAAAATTAAACAAAAAGTACTTTGGCTCCTATAACTGCAATAATATTATTTTATTTCATCAAAAATCCACAAATCCTTCGCTTTATAATTATTGCAAAAAACTTGATGTATTTGGAAAAATGTAGATTATGATCATTTTGATATTGTCATATTGTATTGTAATTTTTTATGGGCGCAGGCAAAATACTTAGATATATTTAAGTTAAATCTTACAAAATTGTATCAAGCCCGGCTAGCTCAGTCGGTAGAGCATGAGACTCTTAATCTCAGGGTCGTGGGTTCGAGCCCCACGTTGGGCGCTTTTTTAAAATTTAAAATATCAATAGTATGTCATACATTATATTTCGATCGTTTGATGTTTGATATATATGTTTTTACCGTCATTTTGATATATTTTTGACGAATCCTCGTGAAATCCATTTATACAAATATGTTTAATTAAAATTTTATGCAACATGCAACAGGAAAAATTGCGCATTAATCGCACCTCAAAACAGCGAGCGCCCCCTGTGTAGTGTTTCGTAAATTAACCCGAGTCAGCTGCTCACCGAAAGCTTTTTGCCGTGTCTCGCTGTATTTTTGTGAATATTCTTGATCTCGAGCATTGCAATTTGAAGCGTCATCCTTCGCGTGTCGTTCGCAACCCACCTGCATCGTCGTCGGTGGCGTGTGATGTCAGCACCGCCCTTCGAGAACCATCAAGTAGAAGAGACCACCGAAAGCAGCAGCAGCAGCCCCTTTGCAGAACTCTTCTTCTACTACCTGAACCACTTTCTGAGTCTCTGCGCCCAGTTCCTCGGACTCAAACCGTCCCAGTTCCAGCAGCAAGGCGTCCAGCAACCCGAAGTACACGCGCCGGAATTCCTGGCGCAGGCTGCCGAGTGGTTTGCGTTCGACGACTTCCAGGTCAAGCTGCTCAAGGGTTTCTGCCTGGTGCTTTTCTTCAACGTCCTGTTCATTTCCCTGGCTTGGAGCTACTACGGCCCTAGCATTTCGGACAAGTTGATGCGCCCTGGTATTAAAATATAACTCTAATTTAAAAAAATTCTCTCAAATTTTTAATTTTCAGGCACATCAAAGTCCATCTTGGAACTGAAAAAGAGCGTTTCGCAGTTGAAACTCCCCACCGAACATACACCCAGAATTTGAAACCACAAAATATAATCATGCCGGATCCCAAGGAAAATAAGGAGAAGTTTGGCAACAAACTGTCCAAGTTCTTCAAGAACAAGAAAAATGAAGCCAAGATCAAGCTGGGCATGACCGGTCCTGGCCACCGCTTGGGCGACACAAGTTCCCAGCAAAGTTCATCCAGTTCTGGCTCAGGTAGAAGAGGATCTCCAGCTCCAGTGGCCAAAAGGGCTGAGACATCCAGTGAAGCAAAACAAGCAGGAGCCGCAGCACTGGCCAGATTTGAGAAGAAAGACACTGGTTCTGTTTTTGGAACGTAAGATAATATCAATTTAAATGAATTTGAGACGTCAAAAGAGACAGAAATCTCAGTAATAGAGAAATGAATGTGCTGAATATAAATATTTCCTTTTAAATTTTTATGCATACTCCAGCTATGCCTGACAAACGTTAAATTTTAATTGCTGGGAGGCGAAAATAAAAAATGCAGAATTTTTTAGGCACTGTAGTTAATTCAAAATCTTTTTGAGACTATTTGTCAATTTTCGGCAACTTTGCAAGTTTACAAAAGAATGAGATATTCTATTTTTTAAATTGCTAGTGTAAGAAAAGAACACAGTAAAATTGGTAAAATCTAGATTACGCGAAAAAATCAGACAAACTTTAAAGTAAGCAATCAATATTTTATTTTACAGAATTGTAATTTTTTAATCAAAGGTCCTCTAATACTTTGATTAGTATTTTCCAATCTTTTCAAAGATTGTACTTAACTTATCTCTTAACACTTATGATTGTTTTATTATAGTACTAACTTATTAATCTTTGTTTCAGATCTCTTGCTTCCATTAGGGCTCAGGCTCGCCGAGAAATGGAAGCAGAACAGGCGGCAGCTGCTGCAGGAGTTGCTGTCGAGGAGCCGAAATCTCCGCAGTCTCCAAAACAAGATCCCGAGCGTTTAGCTGTTTCTGGAATTTACTTTGCTTGTCCCCTGATTGGTAAAATCTCAAATCTCTGATTATGAAATTTATTTTAACAATTTTTTTAAGGCCCTGAAATCTTGACCAAAGATGAGTGGAACAAGAAAATCCGAGAATTCCTGTACGAGCAGTTGGAACACGAACGGGCGCTGACGGCCACTCTGATGATCCACACATTGACCAAAAACAAGGAGAAAGTTGAGCAGTGTGTCAAGACAATCCACAGGATGTTTGACAACATAATCAACAACCCTGGCGAAGAAAAGTACCGCAAGGTCAAGATCGAAAGTCGTGCCTTCCAAGACAAAATCAAAGAGGTGGAAGGTGGGCTTGAATTGCTCCTCGCTGCTGGCTTTGAAGAGAAAGACATTGAAACTGCTCCGGGGCAAACAGAAAAGTTCCTCGTCTTCCCGGAAGAGAAATTAGGGGATATAGAGCAATTGACGGTAAAATGGTGCTTTAAATTATGTGTTCAAAATTTTTAAGATGGTTTTTAGCTTTTATGTGATGCTTTGGATTCGGCCGAACCAATCTCTCTGGAACTTGACCGAGGCTTGCAAGTTTTGCTGCCGTCTCAAGCGTCTAAGAGGCAAGAGCTGCCGCCAGCCTTTTTTAGACTTACTGCTGAAGAACTTAGAAAAGAGTATCAGCTAAGGTTAGAAATCATTTTCAGAGTGTAATAAATAAATCATTATTATAAAAGTGAAATTAAATTTATAATCTCAGAATATTGGAAATATCTGTTTCAAAGTGCTGTTATGAATTTATTCAATTTAAAAATGTGATTTATTTGGAATAATAATTTAAAAATCAATTTTAGAGCTGAAGCTATGGAACGAAGCCAAATCTTGAGGACCAAAGCAATGAGGGAGCGTGATGAGCAGAGAGAAATGAAAGTTTACAAATACGCTATCATTAGGGTTCGATTTCCAGATGGTACCTTACTGCAGGTACATAATTGCCTCATTTTTAGTAGCTTTTTTCCTACAATCACAAATTATAGGGCACCTTCAATGTCTACGAAAAACTTGAGACTGTGCTGGCTTTCGTCAGGGAGAATTTGTCCTTCGGAGACGAAGAAGAACCAAGACCCTACGTTCTGACCACCCCCACAGGACAGAAGTTGGTTGAAGGTGGACCTGAATCTGGCAACATGCTGCTGGACCTCAAATTGGTGCCAGCGACCATACTCAACTTTGCCTGGAGCAAACCGTGCGCGCCCGGCACAGAGGAAGCATTTTTGAAACAAGAAATTCTCGCTTTGATGTCGGAAATTTGATAAAATTAGGCTGAGATTGAGGAGCAGCACCCAATTATTCCAGTTTACCACAAAATGAGGAAGAGACTCAATCCTATAAGCTTAAAACTGTTTTGTGTGCTTGAAATGTTTAAGTTTAATTATTCTTGTGATTCTTGTCACACACTGATAATAAATTGTAATTTTCATCTGCAGCATAAAAAACAAAACGTTTGTTTTATTAAAAATTTATTTTATGTTGTGGAAAATAATTCTAAAAAATAAATATAAAAAAAATGTTACATAGAGCCGACTGGGCTCCAAGCTTCTTGGCTCCAAGCTCCAAGGTGAGAGGGGCGTGGCGATTGTGGCGAATTGTATTTTGAACAGCAACAACAACAAGCGGCTTGCTGTGCGCTTGCAGCAACCTGTTTTTAGCAATACTTTTGACTCATTCTATATTTTAGTGTCTAATTTTTATTTGCGATAACTAGAGAAATGTTTTAAAATTCTAAATTAATTAGAAAATCCTGTAAAATGGACATAGTTTACTCAGTAAGTTGCAAGCAGGTCAGCCCATCAAAGTACAACAACAACGCTGACTTGTAAGTTTGAACCGACCAGGAAGAAATTTTTTTATAATTGATATTAATACATTAAATTTTTAGCTTACACGAAGGACCGACACTATGCTCGATCTCGAGCAGAAATGTTGTTGCTTTTACAACCACAACAGAACTGAACGACCAAAAAGGCATCACTTACGGCTCCCATGTCTACGTTGCCGACTTAAACTGTCCCTGGCACAGTTACAAGTTCGTATATTTATAAATTCTGTATTTTTTTTCATAATTGGATATCAAATTTTCAGAATAATATCCCACGACTATGAAATTACGTCTCTCGAGTGGGATCTGCCGGGATCGAAGTTGCTCGTTGCTGACTCTAACGGACTGATTCAAATTTTTGCGTCCAAGGAACATCTTTTGAATGATTGGAGCTGCTTGGTTTCGGCCCACTTTCCAGGAGAACAGGTCTTGGCAGCTTCCTTTTTCCACAATGGAAGGAAGATCGGACTTGTTGCAGAGAAAAAAGACAATCCAATGTACATCGACAAGTTTGCACATGTCAAGTTTGCTCCGACTGTTCGACACTTTGGCGGTCAACCTTTAGAAGGATGCGTCTTTGTGACGTCCACTGGCATGGTTGGCGTTGTGACTCTTGTTCAGGAGGGAATGAGTTCGATCACAAAAACCTTGGATGCAAACGGACCAAATTACAATGCTCTGACTGCCAGCGAGAGTCTTGGAAATACTAGGCAGAGGGTCATGGCAGTCGACATTTGCTATGGAAAAAGTAGGGATTGGATATAATCTAGAAACTGGTTTAAAAAATTAATGTATTATTTTTTATAGATGGACAATTTTTGGTTGCTGTCACCAGTGGAAAGGCAAACTTGCCCATTCAGTGTTACAGAGTCTCGATCAAACGCCTCGAAGACAAAATGTCCATTATGAGTCAAGCTCTGCCTAGTTTTTTCCTGCAGTGCAGCACACTTAAAGATAACAGCTGTGAGTTTGGGTTATAAAAATAAAATCCAGATATTTAATTTTCTAATGCATAGACCACCAAGTTGTCCAGCTGAGATTTGTGGTTAGAGAGGATGCAGACTCGCTGGTTGTGACTGCAAATAGTGAAACAGGAGGTATTGTAGAAATTTGGGAGCTCCGGGAGAAAGTCATGTCTGTGCACAAAGTTCTGCAAAAGTCGTCAAGCCCACCTCCGGAACCATTTAAAATGGTGGTGAGTAATCTCATGAATTAAGATAGACCAAAGATTATTTTTTGTATTATTAGGTTTGGCAACATCAGTCTCACTGGCAGGCATCCTCAAACATCAGAGCGGTGTGCACTACAAAAGCCTCCCTTTCAACCGCAGTTCCAACCTCCACCTACATTATGGTTGCACTGAATGACTCGAAATTGTTCTGCCTTCATAGAGACTCACTAAAACAAGTATAACATAAATCTCTATAAACAACTTTCACTAAATTGTATTATCCTAAAAGATTGCAAGTGCAACCTTAAGTTTGCCTTGGAGATGTGATGAGCCATCTCCTAAAATGTCTAGAGGGCTGGTTAATGCAGCTGCAATGGATCTTACCTGGGCCGGAAGTGGTCTCTTGGTTGCCGACACTAGAGGACAGCTGTACTTATTCAAAGTTTTGCCAGTGGCGGATCCTGGAGGTTACCTAAATCACGAATTTCAAAGTGTAGTTTTTTTTATAATTTATGCAAATTTTAGGTGCCCCTCTAACCGTACCTTATGCAGTGACCCTGCTTGAATACTGTCTTATTTCTGGAATGGACTGGTGGGACGTTCTGCTGGCCCTGCGACCTTCTATGATCGATGCAGTGTGTGATCGGTTCACAGAATCTTTCATACGACAACCAGCATCTACGCAGCAAATTCTTTTGGCCCAGTACTTGTGCATCAAAGCTTCCCTCCACAAATTGTCATCCAGTGGACAGCAGAAATCATCAGACTTGCTAAATCTGATCATGCTGCACTCCATTTCGACTGCTTTCAAATCCTTGCTGCGGCCGTCTGATTTGGTCAACCACGAAAAAAGTCCTGCCGATAGCATATCAAGTAAGATTTGAGCTATAATTTTTACTCTTGTATTGATGAAATATAAATATTAGTGGCCATGACCGAGCCCTTGGCAGACATCAATCGAGTTTTGCTTATTGTGGAGCCAAAAGAGTGCACCGTGGAGCCCAGCACTCTGCAATCTCTGCAGCAGCTAATCCAATGGGTTGCAGATCTAGCACTAAATTTGCTCGCCAGAATTCCGGAGCAAAGACAGCAAAGAAGTTTGGGATTAGGAGTGAGTAGTCTTTTTTTTACCATTTGGGGTAACAACGCTAATTTTGACTCTTTATTTTTTTAGTACGAACTTCTTAGGGACATTAGTGCCCTGAACGAACTGAGAGAGCTGCTGGTAATCATCAAGATCTGGGGACTTCTTAGGCCCACTTGTCTTCCCGTTTTCATCCAGATGACCGACAACTTAGATGTGCTATCCTTGTGCTTCAAGTTGCTTTCAAGACTAGTTCAAAGTCCTGATCCAGATGAGGCTTTGGTTGGTGAGTACATTATGCTTACTTTATTTTTTACTTTATCGGCAGCAAAATAACTTGCTAGAAAAATCTCATAAAGTTATTTTGAAGGAAATAAATATCTCCAGTGAAAAAAAAATATATTGTTTATCAAAATTGTAATTACTTTGTGATTTAAAAATAATCAGTTCGTTTTTAAAAAATAAAAAAGTTCCAATTAAATTCTTAACTATTAACAGTTGATGACTGTGAAATATTAAATTGATATTTATAAAGTTTTAATTTTTGAGGCTCCATATTGTGCCTTTGAGATCAACCAAATTTTTATTTATTTCTTTAATTGCAACCAACGGAAAAAAAATAATGAAGTGGTAGAGGATGTGGCGTCGCGGCGACTTTGTTATCACCCGTTTCCTCGAGTTTCCTGCTATCAACTCTCACTCGCCACATATGCAAGCGATCCTGTGCGTGCAATTCACAATCGCCTGCTTGAAAAATTTACAAAAATGCAGACTAAGTCCGTCCAGGTCACCGAAGAATTTGAGGAGCCGAAGAAACGATGGTGGCTGAGCTCTCTTGTGCCGCTCTCCATCGGCGCCTGTCTTTATTTCACAGTTTTCTGGTTTGTCATTTGGCCAGTGGTGGTGGACAGCTGCAAGGACTTCTACCCTCAGCACCCTGGCTGGATCACCTTCCTCTGGCTGATGGCGCTCCTTATTTGGTCGCTGCCCTTGTGCTGCATCGTTTTTTATCTCGCTGCCCGAGGGACGCGCATCATCCACCGCAAAATGGAGCAAAAAAGGCGACAACTTTTCAAGCCACCCTTCCAACCGGTGCCTTACGAGACCAACCTGTGTCTGGTCCAGCCGGAGCATTTGCGAATTAGAAGCTCAAGAGGCGTTTCCTGCCCTTCGGTCATCATCGAGGAAGAGGTCGAAACGTCCCTGCCGCCCTCCCCTGTCGGGACAGGGTCGCCCGCCTCGCTGAGACATGACGCGAGCACCAAGGCCCTTTACACAGGCTCCAGCAAAAGGGTGTCTCTGATGGACGAGCAGCGCCAGAGGAAAAGTTCAAGTAATTCGATTGACCTGCAGGACAAGGACATAGAGGAGGCTTTGAAAAACGTAAGCGTGTCCTCGAGCGAGGACGATGTTTTCAAGAGAGGCACTATTTTTGTCACTCCCAGGAGCAGTTTTGTGCTCGCCATTCAGGAAGGTTCCGACGACGAAGGAGAGAAAAACATGATTCGCAATTTGAGCACCTCGAACGCAATTTTTGAGCAGGAACAACAAACCGATAGTGAGGATTTGAAGACGGAAATCACGGATAAGGTGCCTAAAATTGCTGAAATTCAGCACGAAATGCGGGAGAAGCCCAAATTCGTGAAGCAGACGTCTCAGTCGGAGTTTTTCGTCTCAGGAGGATACCGGAAGCAGTCGGTGACCTCGGAAGCGATAATCGAAATCGCACACGGAAAAATTGAACAGTACACTCCCGGGAAGTTTGTCGTTTTGCAAACGACTGATGGTATGACAGACATGTAAATTTGAAAATTTCGAAATTCATCTGATGGTAAAATCTTATAATTTTCTTAATCCATGTCAATTATAAATAAAATTTAAAAATATTTTAATAGTTGAATATAAGTCTGAAAACTTTGAGAATTACTTTTTCTACAAAGAACCAAAATATGTTGGTAAATTTTCTATTTAATGTAATAACTTCAATATTTTATTTATTAAAGTTTCTCCTCTGTTTTCTTAAATTAATTTAAATTAACTGTCATAAGAAATAATTATATTGTTTTCAATTGTTCACAATGTAAACGTATACACGAAATAATAATTAATTTGGTCCAAATTCATCAAAAACCCTTTGTCTCTTTTTGCCCCGTATATAAATATTGACTTAAAATGTGATGATCAATACACATTTATGTATGTGTTTTGTTTGACATTATCTGCTTGATGTGATACAGTGATTTCTGTGTTTTTTTTATCCTCTCTGACTGTGTCTCATATATCGCCGAAAAAGCTCCCACGCCCGCGGAATAAACCACGTCGCAGCTGCAATAATATTTGGCTTTTGCGAGCAGAAGTCAGAAATTGTTTTTGCCTCCATTCCTCTCTCGATGTCAACATGCATCACTGTGATTTTTTTCCTCGCTGCCCGAGTTGTGTTTATGTGCGTCTGTTGATTAAGGGAAGAGCTTACCCGTCGCCTGATTGTTTCTAGATGAATGCCTGCTGCTGCCAAGCCAAGTGAAGATTCCGCAGATCAACTCGAGCAGCTCGACTGCCGTCGTCATGGCCCCTGCCCTTTTCTACCACCCCCTGCCCATTCAGGTGCATATCAATTTTTTATTTAAATATGAACGGGTATTATAAAAAAATTGTATCTACAGTAGTAAAAAAAATCAAAAATATAAAAGTAAGAATTTAGAAATTCAAAAAGTTTTATATTCAACATATTTGAATTATTAATATTCAGAGGAAGGAATTAAAACCACATTATTTGCTGATCAATATTGATTCCAAATTAGTTACTTCATTTTCGTGGCTTTGGTTTTACCACACTTGCCCCCGAATAATAAATAAAGGTCTAACCTCTAATATTTGCATTTTAGTTGGAATTCGGGACGGAGCCGGAAAATTTGCAAACACCAGCCGAGAGCAATCCTGTGGAGGGCGCTCTGCAGACCCAGCAAGTTATCGACTGCATCCGACACATCTACCTGGGCAAGAGTCCGCTCATCGTCAGAGTGTGCTGCAGGTAAATGACAGAGCCCTCCTACCTCTTATGAATGCTTGTTATCTCGTGTGACGACTCTCTTACGTGGCCGCGGCGAATGAAAGAAGCGGTCGTTACAATTATATCATTGATTTGGCCTTTCACCAACGGCGCCGTGGCTTAGTTGGTTAAAGCGCCTGTCTAGTAAACAGGAGATCGTGAGTTCGAATCTCGCCGGTGCCTGGTTGACACTAAATGGTGTTGATCTTTTTCAGAAATTTCATACTTAAAATATTTATCAATGAGATTAGATTGGATTTTGCATATCCTGCAAACTTGATAAGTATTAATACCATAAATTGATTAATTTTCTTTTTCTTAACTGCAATTTTTACCATATACCATAATATTTCTTATTTCTTTGCATTATTATTTAATATTTAAAAAAAAAAATTCAATATTATTTTATGTTTAGCTTAAATATATTTCCATTTGTAATAATAATATAATATTTATTTAATATTCAGTCTATTTTTGGAAAGCCTATTTGCTTTGTTTCGTTTCCTAAGGTGCGCAGCCAGCACAACTAAAGCCCTTCCAGATTCAATTAGCCATTAACGAGCGCAATTTTCTCGCCTGTCGCAGGTGCGGTGGAATGTCCCAGGCGCAAACACACAACTCGCTGCGTTTATCTGCGGCAATCAAGGCGTGGGATCAGCGCTGGATCAAGTCGTGCCGCTGCGGGGGCGCGTGGAGGCTGCACAAGTTCTCCCTGTACTAACGCCATCCATCTCGAACGATTATTAATGTTTTGTATTTGATGTTCGGTTCGTGCTTCAGTGTTCCGATGAGTGGCCCAGAGGTTGGGATTTAACTCTCCGTTGGCATTAGTTGCCGAGGAAACACACATGGGTCCCCTAAACTCCTTAATGGGCCTCGGATAATTTTATTTTAACCCTTTTGTATCATCCTGTCTAGCTTCCTGCTTTTTAAATGTGTATTATGTAATAAATATTTTTAAGATGACAAATAATTGACTTTTCACTTTCATATATTTTAAAATTTTACCCATTTGGCACCATCAAGTTATGTAAATATTTTTTTTTTTCATAAAATATAAATTACTAATCAAAGCACTAAAATTCATGAAACTTGCAAAACTGCTTGTAAAGCAAATGGGATCGATCGGTATTTTTTAAGATGAAGATGCTTTCATGTGGAAGAAATTAAAAGTCCTGCTAACATCAAGAAAGTTACATTATTATTAATTTTATTGTGTTTATTCTTTAAAATTAAGTCAAATATGAGCAAGAAATAAAAATTTGAAGTAACGGCAACACCTCTGGCCAGTCAGGCCAAATATTAGCTAAAATGTGGGGACTTTAATTGACTTCCATGCTGAAATGCTTGGAAAATATGGCCAATGGTATTATATTAAGCATTTGTTTCAACTGTAATTAATCGTCTCAAAATTTCCATTTTTCTTTAGTTCCTTCTTTGAGGTTCCTTTTTTTTATACCAAAGAAATAATTGTTACTGAAAATTGGAGATGTTCCTGGACCTATTTATTTGAGTTAAACTTTATTTTCAAAACAAAAAATATATTACCTTTACAAAATTTTCTATCAATAATTTCATTGGAATATTTGTATGTATAAAAAAAGAAATAATGGCACATGTCTAAAAAAAACATTATCAAATTAGTACACATCATTTATCCTAAGATCTTCAATTATTCCTTATTTCATAACTTCAGAGCGCGATGATAATTTTGAATAATGGCATCCAATCAAGGTGATGAGCAGAGACGATGTTTGTCATCAGCTGCATACAACAATGGCATGGACTATCATCGCGAAATTAATGTTCCACGTGGGGGCGAAACCGTGTGCCAATTAGAGGCAAATTCACATTCCGTGTTCTGGCTGATTACACACAGTGAGATGCGCCGCGCCGAAACTTTGTAATTGCACACGATACCTCACACAAACGCTCGCTTAATAGAGAGAAACGTCATTGCTCTCATACATTTTACTTTTGTAAGAGTTGTTGCGGCGGTGTTAATTCCTCTTTGCTGCCGCCGTCGGTATACATATATTATATTATAGTCTCTCTCTGCTGGTGCCGCCGTGCTGCGAACACACACGCTCGCTCACCCACTGCAGAATTTGATATTTCAATGCAAATAAAATGTGCTCTCGTTGAATCCCTAGTTCAAATATTGGCTCGAAAAACGGTGGGCGGGCGTCATAATGCCTAATGCGGTGTCATTTTCGCTTTGCCCCGAAACTTGCCGCAGAAATACGAGGACCGGATGCATTTGGGTTTCTTCCCTTTGCACCCCTTTTTGGCAAGAGACAGTTATTATTATTTTTTATTTATCAAGGAAAAGCTTGTGGGTATTATAAGGCAGAGGCAATAAATTAATGGAGGCATCAATCACGGAGATGGAAAAGGTCTGAGCTGCTTCTGCAGATTTAATTTAAGGGAGACAATTTTAGACGCACTTAAATATTATGACTCTGATTTGATACTCTCCTCGATCAACGGCAATACAAATTTTCTTTTAAAATACATTTTTTTATGCTTTAATTTAGTAAACAATTGCAAGAGAAAATTGTAACGCGGAATTCTGAGATTTATTGAGAATAACTTTTTTAGAAAAGATAATATTTGTTTTCAAATCTCCGCTTTATTGAATTAAAAATATAGTAGCAATTTTATTTTTTTTTTTTTTCATTGAGTTTTGGAGACTTAGAATAATCTAGCTTTCTTCTGTAGATTTTGGGCTTACGCCATCTCTGACTTAAAAGGCCAGAGTTTTATTTTGAACTAAAAAAAAATCAATGGCAAAAAAAAATATCAACAGTACTCCCATTTAAAAATTGCAGAAAAATTAAAAAATGTATTTTGTCGGGTAAAAAAATTGTTTCCAACAAAATTTGTTGAGAAATTAAGACTAACCACTTAAATTGATTTAAAAAATTTTGAAGTTCAAAAGATATGTATATTTGCCATGCAATCCGCGCTACGCAGAAGAGAAACTAGTTGCATAACCCATTACCTATAGTAACTCACTCACAAACAGCCATGAAGGAAAATCTTTCTGGTATAATTTATAATTATAAAAACACAATTTACAATTACATGGAATTGAGAGAAACAACTTGCTTACAAGCAATGTTTTCGAAGTGTCACACTCCGATTTTCTTAAAAATTAGTGTGAGGCAGGGAAAAGGTGTCATGATAACCAAACAAACGTCCATTTTTGCCCTAATTGCCCAGGAGCTGCGTTACACGCATTTCAAATTTGGAAATTTATGCAACTTCACGACATGTATGTTTCGCATGCTGCATACTTACCTATATGAAGCACATTATGTCATATGGTAAGTATGCAGCACGCGAAACAGCGAAGTCATGAAGTTGCATAAATTTCCAAATTAGAAACGCTTGTAACGCAGCCCATGATCAACTTATAATTTTAATATAATAATATACCTTTATTCCTTTAATTTACGAATGAAGATACTTTATACATTTTCTAAAAATGTTGTGAAATAATGAAATTAGTTATTTCTATTCTATTTATAAATAAAAGTAATAATATCTTCATGTGAAGAACTATTTTGCCATACTACAAGAGTAGTTTGAATAAATCGAAATTTCGGATATTATCAAATGGCAAATATTGAAATAAAAAACGTTGTAAATTCTTTTTGATAGCTTTCATATTTATATAAAACGATATAAAATATTTATTTATTCTAAACTCTTTATAGAATTTACACCAAACAAAAACGTAAATAATTGCACAAATAAAAGCGTAGATATATTAAAAATATCTAGATATTTCAGTTTTTGGATTCACTTGGCATTCTCACAGTAATGGAATGACCAGAGGTGCTCGAAGCAAAGTAATTGGAGACACCAAGCACACTTCAAGAAGAACCTTTTGGTACATCCATTTTCTCCGCAGGTTCCAGTTTCTGTTGAAAAGCAGAACTGTGCCGGGGTCTCAAATGCTGGGGGCCTGGTCGGTCCAAGGTAACCGGCTTTCCAAAAGCCGTACTGGATTGCCGCTTGGAATCGTGGAGCGCTGAATTGGTTCATAGATATGGACACTAGCTTGATTATGGAGTTTCGCTCTGACAGTGTCACATCAACTCCCATTGCAATGATGCGATCTGAAAATTTTCGCAGGAAGCACTTTAGGGGTCTATTGAAATAGACATCTTGCGGCTGCACCCATCCAGTTGTGCCTGCAGGGATTTCAGCTATTGTTACTGACTTGGCCAAAGGCAAGTTGTCCAGAAGCTCGTCGTTCCACCAACCAAACCATTTGTCCCTCAGAAATCCTGACTTGCTTTTTAGGTGAGGAATCAGACACTTTTCAAAAAATATTCCATTTTGAAACTTGTGCATCTTTCCTGATTTTGTAGCAAGTAAAACTAAATTGGGAGGCCGGAAAATCTTCTTTAACACAGAGGGGCCAAATTTCCCAGTTGTTTCCTGCAGAATCAGCAAACTAGGGGAGTGTAGGCGGCCGTCAGCGGATGTGACAGGAAGTATGGTAGATGAGTGCGTAAGAGCATGTTTGCTTTGTATCAACTGAAACAATATAATTCAATTCATTTTATTGACTTAAGGCATGAAATTACTAACAAAAAAATAATAATTTAATAATATTTTTTATAATCTTTATAAAAAATTAAACCGCTCCTTGATGTCTTTTAATGAGAATCATGGTATATTTTAATATTCAATCAAATATCATTGATAAATATTAAAATTGTAACAATAAGTATGTAATTTTATATAGATATATATTTTTTATAACATACCTTCCAAACATTGCTGGCTCCTATCAAGTCAAGGGTTCTCCCGGTGTGAATTTCTCTCACAAGTCCCATGTGATCCGCGTTGAACACATTCGATGCGCCTATCTCCTTGACTAGTGCAGCCCCGTCTTTGACAAATTCTTTCCCTTGCTGAATGAGCTCCTCTTCTCTCTCGATAGAAGCTTTCGTCATAAACTTTGTGACTTTGCGATCACCAACTCCAAATCGCCTTTTCCAGTTGTAAACAAACGAGCGTGATGCAAAGAAGTTTGTCAATTTAGCTGTTTTTCCTTCATCAGCAGCCCACTCCATGAGATCACAGTCATGTATCAAATATCCATTTTCACGCGCATTGTCGAAGCGTCTCTTCACGGCTGCAACATATATATTTTTTTATTTATTAAAAAATTATTTTACAACATTTCATAATAATAACAAATAAAAATATCAATTGACATTTACAGTTCCATTAATATAATAATAATTATAGTTATGTAATTTAAATCTTTCTTTATTAATTAGAATTTTTTAAATCTTTAATATTTTTTATTTTAATTTATAAATTTATTATTAATTTAAAAAAATTAACAGTTTCTTCATAATTATTTAAATATATTTTCTTATTAATAGTTTGAATGCTGAAACTTGAGGTTTTATGTTACCTAAATATACAGCAGCTAATTTGTTCAGTCTATCTCCTCCATTTTCCAGCTGCGATTTCCATCTGTATAGTTGTCTCCTACTCGTGACGTATCTAAAGCGGTGCTGCACAGATTCAATAGGACGAAGTTTTCCTTTTGTGGCTCTCCAGTAGTTAACAGCATTTTGCTTTTCCTTCAGACTAACAACAATTTGTACTGCACCTAAAGGGTTGTCATCATCTGGGCAGTACTCGGCGTTGTCGCCCTCAATTTGTTCAGCGTGTTGCCCACGTGGATGAATCGAGTGTCTTGTTTCCAGAGTATTGTCATGAACATCGTAATCATTTTGCGTTTCCAGTGAGTCAACCAAGTCGTCAATTAGGAGTTCACTAGTAGTCTCATGCTGATAGTCGAGTGTAGTTTCTTGGATAATTTTGTCAATGCTGTTGAAGTCACATATTATTGCTAAAAAAAAAAAGGAAGTTGCTTGTTTTAAAAACTTGTCATTCAATTAATAATAGTGAATATTACCCTTCAGATGGCTGGTCAATTGTAATTCGATTAGGGTAGGAACTGTGGTTTTCAAAGTATCAAATCCACAGTCGTAAATCAATTGTTGTATAACGTTGTGAACAGAAATTATTTGATCACTCATTTTCAATAAATAAAAAACACATCTATTTCCTCGTGTGTTTTTCCAAGAACTGATTTTATGGACTGATTGTGAATTGAGGGTGAAGTTGGTTCGACCGTGCTCTGGAATGCGCTCCCTGCATTCTTAAAATTACTAGAGCACCCTGCAAGTTTTGCATGGGCACTTCGTCCTTATGTTGTTATGTTTATACAGAACTTGTTCCAAGGTCGCAGAAAAGTTCATCGTCGGTGGCAGATAAATTCCAATAAATTCAATACGGCCATAAAAGGGAAGAAGAATAAAAATCGTCAAAATTGCACATTATTATTCTTCATAAAGCCACAATTTTTGTTGAACTTTTTTTAAATGCAAAATTAAATTGGCAAAACAATTTAAATTAAATTTTAATTACAAGTAAAATTAAATTTCAATATTTTCAATAAAATTTAAATATAATATTTTCATTCAAATCTAATTTTAACATAATATATTTGAAGATTTAGTTTTCTAAATTTAATTAACATTTTTAAATAATTATAATTAAAAAAAACATCGATTAAATAAAGCATCAGAAAACTGAATTTTAACCTAAAATTCTTGATTCAAAAATTTAAGAAAATATTGATTAAAAAAATGGTCATTTAACTCTTTAAGATAGATGATATTTTTGCAAGGGCTCAATTTCTTTTTAAATTGCAAATATACGCCAAGATCAAAATAACCAAAATAGCATTCTTTTCCGAGCCGTTTTTCAATGATATTGTCTATGCTATGATCACTAAAAATCTATTCCTGTTAAGAGTAATAAAACACCAGTCTTGCTCCAATCAACTTTCACTATCATTTTAATAATAAATAAATTATAAATTAATTTTCGGTTTCATTTTTATATACATATAAACTTTTGAAACGTTTGTCAAAAATTACTAATGTAAATAATGAAAAAATATTGCAAGTAAAAATTTTAAAATTAAAAATTATTTCACTTGTCCAAACAAGTAAAATTACCATTTCAAAACAATATATAATAACACAAAAAAATAATTCTTTTTAACTTAACAGCCTAGAAATATAAAGTGCATCCATCAACTTTTTAGATTGCCCAGATTTAATTATTAAGGAACGCTGAATAGTTTTTAATGGTTAAAGACCTTTTTATATAAAATTTCAACTAAAACTTTATACTTCTTAAAAATTTTGAATTTGGGCTGCGTTACAAGCGTTTCTAATTTGGAAATTTATGCAACTTCATGACTTCGCTGTTTCGCGTGCTGCATACTTACCATATGACATAATGTGCTTCATATAGGTAAGTATGCAGCATGCGAAACATACATGTCGTGAAGTTGCATAAATTTCCAAATTTGAAATGCGTGTAACGCAGCTCCTGGGAAATTAGGGCAAAAATGGACGTTTGTTTGGTTATCATGACACCTTTTCCCTGCCTCACACTAATTTTTAAGAAAATCGGAGTGTGACACTTCGAAAACATTGCTTGTTAGTTTGTTCCGTATTTTTTTAACATAATTTTATTTCCATTTTTAACCAAATTCCTTGTTGCAGTTTTAGTTAAATGTTCATTTATTGCTGAGGAATAAAACGTTCCAGGAACATGCAGTTAATTGATATTTGTGGAAAATCAGTTACTACGCAGCTGATTTGTTCTTGAATGCATCGTGGCGCGAAAAACAATCAATCATTAAAACAGAAAATTTACAATTCCAGCGTCACACGTTCATATTCTTGAGCACCACAGCGCCAAACTTGGTTCTCAAAGACGTTGTGTTTGAAGCACGTGTGTCAATTAATTAGCAACGGCATTCATAATTAGGACTTACAATGGACCTGGTTTGATTGAGTGAAGCTGCAAGAATGAGTTCTGCGTTTCGTAAGAAAATTGTTGAACGCTGCTCGCTGCACGGAGGGTTGGAGGGAGTTGGAAGGGCGCGACGCCCACCTGTTAGGGGCGCATGTCGACGCGCGGTGCGGGCTTAAAAATCTCCGCGCGCCCTCGCCCCTTGGTAGACCTTTGCGAGAAGCTGCCCACCTAAGAGACCTGCTGTCCCACTCGAAGCTTCAGCATGGTAAGTTTAATTTTCTGCTATGTTTCGCACAATCAAAATTATTTTCTTTTTACTAAATTGACGATAGGTTTAATGTGTTTGTTCATTTTTAATTTTATTAAATGATTTTTAAAGCAAAAGTTAATGTTTGCACCTTCAAATTTAGTTTAATAGTTGAAAAGAATGAATCAAATCTTTTTATGATAAAAATGTTTTCCAGTATTTAAAGATATTAGAAGACTTGTGAATAGTTTAAAGAAATGTATTTTAAAAACTTAATAATCCACATCCACAAGCTCTGGGTTTTTTTTAAATTTATTGCTGTTTATTTGTCCTAATTATTAAAAAAATTTACGCTGATTGAAAATCAATTAAGGGGAAGAAAATTATTGAATGTTTTACAAAAAGGCAAATATTTTTCTAGAACTCTAAATGATTAAACCGGAATATGGTTAAATTGAGATTTAATACTAGATTTAATCTGGTTGAAATCATGCTTTTTTTATTGATTTATTGTATCTTTCATGAATTTTTCTCCCAAAAATTGCTCACTTTTTTACTGGAATTTGGAATTATCTGTAATTGTTAATTTTAAACATGATTATTCATTATGTAGGGTGAACATCAACTTTTAAAACCTACATTCTATATATATTCTAAACGGTCTTTCTTTCTTCATTTTCCGCAAGTAAAAGCGAGCCGTGTCAGAACACAAAGCGTTAGGCTGACTCTATTAACATACAAATAAGTTGTTGACGCGTCAAAGGATACCGTTTTCAAAATAAACACCCTACCTTTTACAACACGAACTGGCAGAAAATTAGAATATCACACCAAAAGAAGAGCAAAAATGTAGGAAGTGTGCCAAATTAAATATATCCCAAAGAATTCCAATGATGTGTGTTTTTGCCTAAAATTTTTGTTGCTCCAATAAACGTTTTTTTTTATATATCAATGCAATGGAGCGCAATGGAGGAAAAATCATAATTAAGCAAAGTATTTAAAACCTTTTTGGTTTTTTAGTATTTTAATATTTCTGTGATTTTGCTGCGACTGGTTGATCTTGGAGGTTGCATTGCAAAATTCTTGCCATTTTTTCTTCATTTTATACTTCGTTCCGCTACACAATCATATACACATAACACAACTGATTAATTCGCACATACTTATTATTTTGCAACAATTAGGGGAAAAATCACTTTTGTAACTGTCAATTGAAAGAGAATTAAAATTGGGAATAAATGTGATATTTCCCTAATATTAAAAATTTATTTTAAAATTAATTAAGTAAAATTATTTGTTATATTCTTTTCGGTAACAATGAAAAGTATCATACAAATTCAAACAAGGGTTGTTAATCCAAAAAAAAAAGTGGAAATAACATTAGATCATACCATCTGAGCGAATGTGAAACAAACGAGCAAAAGTTTTCCAATTAAATTGCACGGAAAAATAAATTTTTGTATATTTTTGTATGCGTTGTTTTGTTGTATATACACATGATACATCTAATTAATATCTGATGATTTGTTGTTTTAAGAAAAAAATTATTAATCTGCTCAAAAAGTTGGAAATGCAATAAAAAACAAGTATAAAAAAGCAGTACGTCACAAAACTGCCCATTAGGTGCTTATAAAAAATTCTCTCTCAAAAAGGTCTCTCAAAGAAAGCTTTATTCATAGAACATCATCCATTAGGAAGGAGCCCTTTTCTTTGTGGTCGACGCGTTTTGTCTGAGGCTAAGAAAATAATAAGGCACATATAAAAACTTCCTGAAATCGCAACTTTCTTTTGTAACGTCAACGAAAAGCGCTGCAAGTGACAAGGCTTATTTTCAGAGTCGCGAATTAAAACAATCCAGCAGGTGGTGTGGGAAGAAGAAAATGAGTTGGGCCGCGGCGGGTTCGTATCTAATTAAAAGTGACCGCGGCGGTGCTCGATGCACACTTTAATGCAACGGCCGGTAATAACACTTTAGCCGTTTAATTAATGCCTAATGCGCACCTGTTATCTAGCGTCATTAAATCTCTCAAAAGACGACACCACACTCGCACGAGAAACAATGCAGAGGCCAAATTAAAAAGGCGCCGCTTTTTCTCCTCCGCATAGCCATTGTTGCGCCGAGCCGCTCTTTTCTGCCTCCAAACGTAATTAATATGTAATTTAATGTGCGGACATAATTACAGCGCGGTTCTACCGGCAGAAAGCCGCGCTCTGTTTTATGTAGCGTAATCATCATTATTTAATTAAGTCCGGTGGTGCGGATGAAAGCCACTATGCGTTTATAAATATGATGCAGCGCGGCGGATAAATATTTACTTTTGCTCGTAAATGAACCAAAACCGTGAATCAAAAGCGTGAGGTTTTGTTAAATTCATAATTTGGTATGAATGCGATTCAAATGTTGGGCCTTATTAATATTTCCACTCTCAAAATAAAATTTAGCAGGAAATATGAGTATAGTTTATTTTCCATCAAAGCCGAATCCCGTCAGCGTTTTCCATTTTTAAGGATTGACATTAATGAGAAAATGTCCAAATAAATTACTTTAAATTATAAGGAAACAGAGTTGACAAGGAATTTTTTTCTTGGCAAGTATAAACAAATAAAAAACGATAAAACAGTTAAAAACCTTTTCTATTAAAAGTAAAAATAAAATCTCTTTCTCTTTTGAGAATATCTTATGAATGAGATACCTCAAAATTGATTATGAGCTGATGTAGAGAGATTTCTCTATACATAAAAATCAAACCTGTTTTAATTTTAGAATTATTCGTCTTAAAAAAATAAACAATCATGCAGTTGAATACAAGTAAACAAGCGAATCAATTATTTTTTTAATGAACCCCAATTCGTTCTATGAATAAAAAATATTAAAAAAAAAATATCTAATACTTTATACTTTTGTTATTAGTTATTAGCTAGTTTTTAATTTTTGACCTTTCACAGCAGTTAAATTTCTTTCTCCAATTTCTTCCCTTTTTAGTGCGGCGTATTTCAGGCTGATTGGAGAGATTTGGGAGAAAATATATTGAAATCAAGCCCTGTCCGGGGAAAAGTGCGAACGTGCCGGTAAAAGAGAAATGGTCTCCTTGAGCCATATTAATTACATACCCTTCTGGTATATGTGCCGATCGTGGGCGCTCACAGAGATGCATTATGGCCATAAAGCAGTCGGCAAATATGTTTGCGGACGCGCTGCGGAGTTGGGGGCCGTGGGAAAGCAAGTGGTGACTTTTTAGTAAATGACGCTCATCCCGCTTGTAATTGAATCGTCCGAGGGCAAACACACGGATTAAAATCAATGGATGGGGCGGCCATTAATTTTTACAGGCTCTTTCGTGCTGACATGCAAGTTCGTCACGTCGGTGTCGGATTTTCGTCGCACCAAAGCAGGTGCAAACAGAGCAAATGGCGCGACGAGGAAATTGGATTTCAAGATGTTGATATCTGTCACATTCAAATGATTAATTGGCCAAAGACGTAGGTAGCTGTTTGTTGAGGAGAAAATTGATCCGCGACCTGCTGCTTCACCGCGAATTTTTTTCATCTCGGATTCAATCTTTTGAGCATTTTCTAATTAATTTGGAAGTTCTACCCTTGCAGAAATGTGCTCTGAATGCTCTAATTGGACCTTTTCATCAACTCTTAACTTACTACAACTGAACAGCAGAGATTTAGTTGCTCTAAGAAAATCAGCTGAAATTGCAATTTATAATGATTAGGCAAGGGGCATTCAAAAAAGAAAGTTTGCTTTATTCAATTAGGACCCTTTGTAGGACTTTTTCGGTCAAATCCTGAAATGCTTATGATAAATAAATAAATAATAAAGAGTTTTTGTAATTGGAGGAGGAATTGGTTTGCTTCGTTTGCTTAAGCAGCCCTCAATGTTTTTGAAGCTTCTTATAAATTAAAAGACAATATTTCTTTTGCAATATCATGAGTTTTCCTTCTTTTATTAATTTGTAGATCTCAAAATGCTTACTTTTTGAAAACGTAGGACATAATATATAAAAAAAACCTAGCAATTGGATAAACAGATGAATAATTAATATTTTGTAAAAAAAGTCCAGAAAAAATTTCGAAGAAGTTCAAGAGAATTGGAAGCCACCTCTATAGTAAACAGCTCATTCAAAGGCTCAATTAGAGAGCTAAGTGTTTTCTAATTTTTTTTTTAGAGTTTTTCTGAAATATCTAGGTCATATTTATAAGATCGGAAATATGCTCACAGCTATTTACGGAATAGCTTTGAATGAGCAACGTTTAATCATATCAATAAATTTAATAGGTTACGCAAGTTACGCGCTTTTAATTTGTTTTACGTAAACGTTTATAATCGTGATGTGTTACAAGTTACGAAACATGGAATAAAATCTGAAGTTAAACCAGCAATCACTCATCTCTTGTTTGCAATATTATTATGTGCAGAGACATGTGTATGATTGTATAAAATAAAGGTGATGAGTTATTCATCAATACATTTTTTTACCTATAGGAGACAAAAAGCAAATTAATTAGTTTTTTTAAACATTAAATTTTTAGTAGCTTTGCATTATTTGGTTTTAATTAAATTTCTAATTTAAAATGATTTTAAATTTTGATACCTTTAATTAAATAATTCTTATAAAATTTTAATTCAAAGTATAAATGAGTTGATTATTTCAATTTCAGCCTCTGTTGGTCATATTAAATTTATAAATTTGTGTAGCATTATTTTTAATTTTTCAGATATGGTTTAAGAACTTTCCTTGAGAGTGAGTCGTTCAATTTATTAATAAAAAATGAACTTTCTAGAAAGAACCTTTTTACTTCTTAAAATATTGACTGCGAGTGGCGATTCAAATAAATAATTTTGATCTTAAACAAATGACAAAGTACTGAAAATACTCTAAATTGTTGTGCGACAATGATATGATTTTTTACTCCAAATTTTACTTTCATTTTGTTAAAGAATGGGTTTTAAAATTGCCGGATACGTTTTTCTCAATAGTCGCGGGTGCACCGAGAGCAATTAGGGTGACATTCATTTGAGAGCTGCTCTCTCCGCGCGATATGACACTGTCGCCGGTAGCTGCTTTTTGAACTGTGTGCATCTCGATTAGTGGTAATTAGAGCAGAAACATCTGCTTTGTGTCTTATACGTGCGGCTCTTGAAGATTAAAGAGCTTCCCAGTCAAAGAGCATGATATGTGATGCAACAATTATGAGTTTTCACTCTTTAAACTCCAAATGAAAGAAGGATGTTTCTTTGACATTTTGCTGAAAAGGTTCATCTCTTTCCTGAAAAAAGTCCCATCTTGTGCATATATATTTTTTTAGCAATTTCTAGAAACTCAATTTTCATTTATGAAATTCAAAGGAGTTATTTTCATGAAATTTTTTCTCATTTCAGTGTTCTTTCTATTTAAATAGTAATAGGAACTGAAGTCATAAAATGCTTCCATACTAATTAAAAAAAAAGTTGAAAAATATTGAAAATTCAAGAAAAATTAATTTTGCAGAGCACATGGAAGATGCGATTGGTGCTTTCGTCCTCCTTGCTGGTGTTTTTGGTGGCCACGGTGGCTGAGTCAGCGTACGAGCAGCAGTTTCAGACTTTCACAAGATATGGAAAGCGAGGGATGAACGAGTTAGAAGGCAAGCAGCTTTTCTTCACCAACTCGCGTTACGGAAAAAGAGTTCCCGGCCCGATGGGTAAAGTCGGAAAATAAAAATTAAAGTGCCTTCCAATTATATGCTCAAATTGCGAATTATTAAAATTAATGTTGCGCATATTATAAATATTTCAAAAGCCTCGAACGCAAACCGCGCCTGCAAGAGCGTTTAATTAAAAGTTTCTGTTGGAATTTTGAGTCGGCCGCATATTTACAGTATTTTCTTTCAGGAAACATGGTTCGCCTGTGGGGCGGCGGTCGCCCTAAAGGCAACGTGCAGCCCAGGGCGGATAAATTCTTCATAAACAGCCGCTATGGAAAAAGATCTTCGACGCCCGCGCAGTCAAAAGGTCAGCTGCTTTAAATGCTCAGCAAAAACTTTTTAACTTGAATTAGTTTTCTCTTAAAAAGAAACATCACTCGTGAAACTTTCCCAGACTTAGAAGAAGAAAGAAAAAGCGTTTCTAGCGCATATAGAATCACATTAGTTCCATGAGAGCAACCAATTCTCTCTTTTGCTAAACTTGCATACAACCACGCGTGAAATTAAATAAAACGACGCTGACAAAATCAAATTGGCCGTGAAGTTCTGCGAGTTCATTAAAGTTTTAATTTTTGTTCCAGAAGAGTTTTATCCAATCATGACCGAATCTCCGGCAGCGAATTCCGAATTGGCTACGGGACCGACGCTAATCTGCAAGTACACTGGCTTCAATCGGCTGTACCAGTGTTTAGAAAGGTGACGGTAAATTTTGCGCAGAAGTTTTAATTTAGACTCGGATTTTAGGAAGGACGTTTCAACTGCGGACGCGACCAAGGACGTCGCCCAGAGTAACGAAGAAAATCAGAGCAATGAGTAGTTTGCCATAGTTTTTTGGTTCCCATATTGGACAATTTAAACAAATTTAGTTTGACGCTGTTGTGAATTCGATATTTTTTGAGGCTGGGACTAGAAATTTTAATTGATGTTTTGAACTGAGTGTACAGAGTGTAGTTAAAAATTATCAGTGATGTATTAACGCAAATCTGCAATAAAAACGCTAAATTGCTTTCAGTGACATTACGAATTTATTGCTTTTATGTAATAATAAACTAAATTAATCAGCCATTTAAGACTTCCCACGAATCGTCCAAGTCACTGGAAGGCGGGCCGATTAACGAGCTTGCCATTGTGAGTGGATTTTCTCTTTGGTCCAGGTACTTAGCGGCCACACGCAAAACATCCTCCACCCTAACAGACTTGACTGCTTGCCTGTGTCGCTGCAGCATCTCCAAGTCGACCCCCGAGAGGAAAAGGCTCATCCCTCGATCACCAGGAGCCGTGGGCGCGTCGACCTTCTGGAAAATGCTCAATTTGGCCTCATCCACGTGCTCAGCCTTATAGTTGTCTGGATTAAGGAGCCACGACGCCGAGTTGTTAAACACATTGGGGGTATTTCTGCTCGCCTCTGGATCGCGATAAGAGTAGTACGAGAAGTTGCCTGCGAAAGAAAAAAAAATCAGATAATTATTTGGCGGATCTTGCGAATTAAAAATTATTTAAAATATTTGCCTATTTGCAATAATTAAATTAAAAAATTTATTTGATATAAGGTGTCTGGTATCTACACTGTAATCTTTTTTTTCAAAATAGTTTTCCTCAAGCTCAATATAAATTTTATGGTTAAACCTTCATATATTTCTATTTTAACATTAGGTGATTTGAACTTGAATAGGAAAATGGTAAAAAATATGAAATTTCAATTTAGAGAATTCTCGTAGCAAACAATTCTAAAATATAATAAAAATTTAATTTTCTGCAACAAATACAGAAATAAATCGTAAGCGAAATCACTCTGGCTGATTTTTTTTAAAGATGAAATTAATTAAATATAATTATTAAATAGATCTTTTACACACCCGAGGCATTCATGACAGCTCCAGATCCGTAAGCGCCTCCTCGTTCTCTCACTTCTGAGTGCAGGTATTGTGCAGACAATAACTGGCCTGCGACTCGAAGGGATGCAAAGTCTGGGTGAAGATACGGAACTCCAGTGGCGATGCTCCTGCCGAGGTAGCCAACCGGAAGGGGCAACACATGGTGCTGTGAGCTTTTTGTGCCAGCGTCCTGAATCAGCTCATTTTTGCGATACATGTTGTTGAATGCTGGGTTTGGCAGACTAGAGATCAGATCTGATTCCAACTGTTTCAAAGCAGAATCAGTTTCTCCAGGTGAGACGTTCACGGAGCATCGCAGACCACTTTCATAAAGAATGCTTGAAAGCTCCTGTGAATGTAAACAAATGAGATTTTTTAATTAAAAAATAAATGAGCTGTTAATGAATTATTTAAATTTTTTTGAAGTCATTTTTTCTAACAAATATGGAAATCAAAAAGTGATAAATTACCTGAAGTTTGTTCAATGTGTTTTCCATTTCCTCTTTTTCCATAGATGCAAACTGCTTCATTTGGGAAATAAATGTCAATCCAGAGTCTTTTTCTCTATTTGATCCGGCAGTGGTCAGTCTGCTGCTGGCATTCAGCATGGCATACCTGTGACCACCATAGGCAACCCCATTCGCCACTTCGGCCGCTGTCGCCCGAACCAAAGTTTCCAGTCGCTCCCTGTCCGTGAAACTCGGCTCGAGCAACAATTCTTTCCACAAATCCATCATCTTGCCCAAATTTCTGTCCAGGCAATTTGAAGAAAGAAGGATAGAATCGAGAAACTGTCCATTTAAAGTTGGGTGCTCAATGATGTGGCTGCCCATGCCGAGACCAGAGGTGCAGAGCTGAATTTTTCGATCGAACTGGCGATAATCGTTCTTCTTGGTTCCCATTCTGGTGGCCACGGCTAAGAATAAGGGCAAATAGGTGTCCCGAAGTTGAGGATTGATCCTCGAAGTGTCCAGCAATGCCCTGAAGTGAGTCACTCCATTTGTAGGCTGAGGAAAAATGTGAACGGGGATCTCTTTTTTGCCCATCTTTGTCTTGTTGCAAATGTACTTCTGAGGCTCAGGGTTGAGGTCACTCATTGACAGGGTTGGTAAGCAGGAGGTATCCGACGGTTTCATCTGCTCCTTCTGCAAACCAATTTCTAGTTCCAGGACTCGATCTTTGGCAGAATCATCAAGAACAGAAACTTTGTCCGATAGAATTTTGCTCTCAGCCTGGACAAGTTTTTCACTGTGACCTTCATCAGGGGACATTGTGATGGTCAGGACGTGAGGGTTGGAGCACAAGTATTGGTCGAGTAGATTCTGTATTCAAAAATATTATTTGATTTACTGATTTTTCATGAAATATTTTACCTGCAAAAATTTCGGTTCATTTTCCAGCTGCTTCCTAAGCCGCGCCACATTTGCAGACAGGTTTAGGCACTCGACAGGATCAGCTCCGTGATTCCAGGATGGTAAAATTCCCAGGGCCATGTTGAGACCAAAGTTGGCCGACTGCGTTTTGGCGCCAATTTCCATCGAGTGCAGAATGGCCTTGATGTGCTCGGAGTCAAAGCCTTTGTCTCTTGCACTCAACAGGGCGTTTTTGGTGACGTCTTGGATTTCGTCAAACTGCTTTTCGGCCACACCTTGCAGACCAACAGAGAAGAAGGTGTCTCTGGTTTGTGCTTCAAAATAGGTGCATGGGGCAAATCCGTCACCAATTCCAGGCTCGATCAGGGCCCTGTGCAGAACAGACGTCGGCCCTCCGAGCAACAGCTCTGACAAAACCTAGAAATTTTTTCATTATTTTTGAAAAAAGTTACAAACGTAAATTAAACCTGAAGAGTAAAAGTCTCATAAACATTGGTTGCATCACCACAAAGATATGCCATAGCTAAGGTCGATTGCTTTTCAGGATTTGTGGCCGCACCAAGGGGATCGGGGGTGCATGTAACATGGACCCTCTTTGGCTCGGTCCATCTCTTTTCTCTCGGGACAGAGGCCACTGGGGTCTGTTTTGTGAAGCCGGCAAGCTGCTCTTCCTGCAACCTTTGAAGAGTTTCTCCAAGAGGGAAGTTTCCGTAAGAGACGATTCTTGCGTTGCTCGGGTGATAACACTGAGCATGGAAGTTGCGGAGGTCTTGGGCTGTGAGGGCCGGAATGCACAGGGGCTCTCCACCGAAAACGTGGGCGTAAGTGTCACTCGGCAGGAGGTGAGACAAAAGGTCCTGCTGGAGACGAGCCTGAGGGTCAGCAAAGCAACCTTTCATCTCGTTGAATACCACTCCTCGCAACACTAGCGGACTGTTCGGATCTCCAACAACCTAGACAGAAACTCTCATTTAATTTGATTTTTATTTTGCCAATACTGATTTTACTTCATGCTCCAGCCTCCATCCTTCTTGACTGAAGTCCATGTCTCTCAACAAAGGTTTGAAAACCGCATCCAGATAAATTGATAGAAGTTGGTGGAAGTCCTTTTGATTTGGAGAGCTGAAAGGGTAGACGGTGAAGTCTGGCCCCGTCATAGCGTTCATAAAACTGGCCAGCGACCGGTTTAGCATTTTGAAGAACGGGTCTCTCACTGGATATCTGAAGAGAAGTAAATAATTAAAAAAAATTTAAGTTATGTAATAAAATTTAACTTGCCTTTTGCTGCCGCAGAGGGTGACATGTTCAAGGATGTGCGGCAAGCCGGTGCTGTCCCTGGGCGACGTCCTGAAGGCCACGGCAAACGCGTTGTTGTTGTCGTCGGCCCTGGCGAGGTGCAGGTACTGGGCGCCGGTGCCCTTGTGCTCCAGGCGCACCACAGGGTCGAGGAAAAGTTCCGGCACCCTGGTGACCTGGGTCACCTCAAAACCCTCGACTTCCGAGCCCTCCTTCAAACCGGCCAGTGCGTGCTGCGACCTGAGTTGGCGCCCAAACCGGCCCAGGTGGCGACCTGGCAATCGCCACATTTTGGTCAAAAAGGTTTTGAATTAAGAATGACGAAAAGTTTGCAGTTGTTTGCGTTTTCAGCTGGAGCGGAGCAGCATGTTTTGCTAATTGCTTTGCAGCAAGGTCGAAAATCACAGATCGACGAAAGTGCGCATGCGTCAAAGTTTTGTCTTCTCTTTTGCCGCTAAATGCGCATGCAAAGAGGACTGCAGCCCTTTAGCAAGTAATTGTGTAAATTGACCGATTTTCTTGGGAATATTTTTTTTTTAAGTAATATTAACAGCAACAATTTTCTATCCAACCTTTGTTGTGGTGGCTTTCAGATCCAGATCAGAGCTTCGAAATAATATTTATTAAAAAGTAATAGTAAAAATAAATGGAAATATGTATACATATTCATTCAATTCAATTCAATGAACAAAAAAACATTAATTAATAAATGAATAAAAATCAAATAATTAAATAGTTTATTCAATAAAAACCAACCACAAAAAATAAAAATAAAATATCTATTTAATTTTAATTTACATATACATGTCTCTTCTTTTAAGTCAATAAAAAAAATTTAAAAATTGGAAAAAAGACAAAAGGGGTTCACAACTAGCTGATGTCTGCTGAAACGCCCGACATCAAATAAGACTCGGCCGCCGCGGTAAACCCACACCATAAAAATAACAATATCTTTCCAGTTTTTAAATTTAGAAAAAAAAATATAAACATTAAGTATTTAAAATTCAAGTCTTTTATTTTTATTCTTATAATAACATTCTTGTTTGCTTATGACACTGTTAGAAGTTATTTTCCCCCGTCTTTTTACATCAATTTACTCTTAATCTCATCAAAATGAAATTTGCAAATAATAACTCCATTGAGCTCCATTTAGGCGCAATGCATGTGAATCATCCATAATATATTTATAATGAAGATAAGATTCCATCTTGCGTTCGGCTTTTTTGACGTCACCAAAGGCATTTTCCGTTATCAAGGATTTGGGTGTCCATCCACAATAATCATTCTGATAAGAGTCACTCGCGCCTGTCATTCGAAGATGTGGCGATCAACCGTTGCCTTTTTCGTGCTCTCGTCGTCTTTGGTTTTGTTTTTCTCTTCTCTGGTTGTAACGCAGAACACTAATTGCAACTCATGGGGCTGCCTTGGTGAACCAGTGTGCGAGGAAGGCACAATTTTGACTCCGAATGTGACGTTGGGTAATTGCTGTCCTGGCTGCGTTGCGTATGTTGGTTGGTTGCAATAATTCAAGTGTGAAAATCAGTCAGATTAATTTTTACTGTTCCTTAGATCTTAATGGTAACTGCGCAAACGGAGCCAAATGTAAACCTGGACTTGAGTGTTTAAATGGAAAATGCAGAGTAGCTGCGAAAGGTATTAATTTTTCTCATAAATTATTCAATTTCATACATTGCTGCATTTTATATATAATTTATTTAATCGAATTTGTTTATTATTTTAGCAATAAGCAGTCAAAATTAAAATTTTACTTTTTAAATTTTAATTTTTTAGGCACATGTGAGAGTTACAAATTCCGAGATTTCCTCTGGGTCCCAAAATGTGAGCCAGACGGTTCTTTTTCTGCTGTCCAGTGCAAGGGTGAAAGATTGACGGGGAGGTATTTTTATTTGGATAATTTTTTAACAAGAAATTAACTTAATTTCTAGATGCTTCTGCTACTCCGAGTTAGGGAAGCGACTTTTCGGTCAGCAGTGGTGGAGTAAAGCCGAAAATATGACTTGTGGTAAATTTATAAAATAATAAATATAAATAAATCAAATGGAAAAAACTTCAAACGTTTCAGCTTGCAGTAGAAAAATTGAAGAATTGAAAAAGAAAGGTCGCGTAGACGTCACCCTTCACTGCACTTCGGACGGCAATTTTGACACCCTGCAGTGCGATTCCGGCATTTGCTGGTGCGCTGACGAGAAAACGGGACTGACTTTGGGAGAAGTTGTGCCTCAACCGATGATTGAACTGCTTCCTTGCTGTTAGGATTTAAAGATAATTACAAAATTGTGCTAAAACCAATTGAAATTTTAGACAACAAAACAGTAGTCGGGGACTCGTATGTGAGGAAATGCGACAGCGCCGCTTATTCTCTTGGCGTCATCAGGGACGAAATGAACCAGCACGGCACTCTCGGCGATCTTTTTGTGGGAAAGAATTGCGGCTATGATGGCTCGTATGGAGAGTATCAGTTTGAGGGAGGACAGTAAGTAAAATATAATTAAATCGGTGCAAAAAGCTATTTTTTTTTATTTAAGTTCAAAATTCATTCAGTCTAAATTTATTTAGCTCGTGTTTTATCTTGAATGTGTAAATTTGCCACTGCTTGATAAAAATTTTATCTTAAAATTAAGTGCCTTTCATCTTTTTCTTGGAAAATCTGCACCGCAATAAATTAAATAATATACTATCCTCAATTTTATTTGCATTGAATTTCAAAAATTACTAGTTGAAAATAACTTTATGCTACTTTTTTCTTTCAAACAAATCAACCAGGGACTTTTGTAACCTAAAATCCGCTAAAATCTCCTCATATTTAGGACTTTAGGAGCAAAAAAGACTTTTCAACAGGACCTTTATGTAAATAATTTACAAGATGTTAAATAAAATTTTCTTTGCTAAATTCAGGTATTACTGTACTTGGAAGGACAACAGTAAAATTGGAAGTTTCATGGCAGGCACGGTTCCGGTAGGAGGCTTAGACTGCTGTGAGTGGAAATAATTTTGATAATGGTGATGAGTCAAAATTTTAATTATAGATTGCGCCTGGGACTCGAGGTATTTCAAAGAAAGTGGTTACGGATTCACCATGCAATGCGCTGGAAGCGGAAGTTATATCACGTTGCAACAATTGGAGGGCCAGGCGATGTGCGTTGACAGAGATGGTTTTGCGTTCAAAAATGCTACTCTAGTTGGAGAAGCCTACACTTGTCCTACTACCCCTCCTCCTCTTTACCAGTAATTATTCAATTGTATCTTACCTCACTAATTTATTGAATATAGATTAAAAATTAACAAACCCAAATTTGTTTTTGGCACATACAACACAAAGTTTATTTATTTTTATTGCTCCTACAACAAATGCGCGAGTTTTTCATCACACATGTTACTTTTCATAAAATTATATCTAACAAAGCAATAAAAACTTTCTACATCTTGATTCCTTTCCTTGGTGTATAATATTTTTTATTATTAGTATTTATGCTTTTGAGTTACATTTAAGCCATAACAGCAATGTGCTCCGATTTACACTGATAATTTCATTAAAACGAAGCGTTATTAATTTTATAATCATTTGTCATTGCACAGCAGTATTTTTTCCATAATTACGTCTGGATAATTAATTAGACACAAATATCTTAATCGATGGAAAGTGAGGATTATTATCATCTAGTTGATTAATTTTAAGCATATTGGCTATGCAACTTGCCTTACACCAACGATGCGCGTATTGCATAATTTGTAAATAGGCAGGCGCCCACGGGCCTTTTGCTGGATTAATATTTTTATCAGAGTTCACATTGAATCGACTCATTCCGTCTAATGAAATTAATTAAAAATGAGCAAATTAAAAAAGATGAGCCAACAATGAAAGGGTACAGCTATTTAAATTTGGTCATTATCCCTAAAATTTGATTTTTGGAATTTAAATTTCTTTCTTCCTATTTTCTTCATTTTCAAGCCAGATTAACTTGTTATGTTACTTGTTATTTATTATATTATTAAATTGCAATCGGTTTTACTTTTTACTTGTTGTGAGTTTTATATGGAATCGTTGCGTTTACTGACTTTCTGGCGCACGTTGAGCTGCCAAACAGTGGCCGCACCTGTGACATGTTTTGCGAATCTTCATGATTCCTCCATCACCAGTTTCATCTTCCTCGTAAATGCAGCCGTCTTCTGGCCCGTCAAATGACCTGGATCTTCCGTTTTCACCACCTTCGAATATTAGAAAAAAAAAAATAATTTTCACCTCCTCAATAAAATAGCGTGAACTTTTCTAACCTGTGTCTACACTTTGCTCGGACTCGATAGACGCCTCTCTCATCAACGGCAACCCGGCAGTTGGATCACCCCTGGCTAAACTGCTTTGCACCAAATCCATTCGCGAGTCCAGTGAAAACTGCTTTCCTGACATCATCATTCCACGAATTCGGCGCCTCATTGCTTAAAATTCAAAATGAAAAACAAACAAAAAATTATGAACCTTGAGATGATGTTCTAAAGTGAAAAAATACTATCTTCTCCTTTTATTTATGATATTGGATTTAAGTTATTAGAAAGCCATATTATTACTAATTATATTTCTTATTAATTAGAAAAATATTTAGTGAAAAATGGCCCATTTTTCGAATTTCAATAACAAAATATGAGTTGGAATTTTGCAATTCCTTTGTTATCTCACCTGGACTCTCTTTCACGTCAAGTCGAAGCTGCGAAAATTTTCGAGCAAACTCCCTCAGAACGTCCGAGTGCTCAAAGATAGCAGCAAAACTGCCGTTGACGATCTTGGGTGACATTGGTGAATTCGCCAGCAGCAGGCTGGAGCCAAAGTCGGCATTCTTTTCTCTCGTTTCTGCAATCAGAGCGTCCGAGTAGATTTGAGCCTGATACCAACTGTCCTACCTGATATTCCAATTTTAGCTACGTAACAACCGTGCACTGTTTAAAATGTCGATCAAATAATGAATATTTAATTATATTTACATTTATTAAGTAAGAATTACTTCATAGTATAAAAGTATTCATCATGAACTTAAGATCTGTCGTCGAGATTAAATTTACACTGAATCTTTTCCCATGAAATTAGCTTACCCACATTTCATTATTTATAATAATACTATATAAATGATAATTATTTAAAAATTTAATTAGCATTTAATTTTAATAACATTTAAAACATAATTAAAACTTTTTAAATAAACAATTAAAAATAATTTTGATTAAATTTTAATAAAGAATTATAACAATTAAGATTATAAAAACAAATCACTTTTAAAAACAAACTGATGTTTATTTTTTTTTAGCTAAATAACATTATTAAATATGCTTACAGATTAAAAACAATCTTCTTGAAAACAAATTCAAGCAAATTTTAATTTAATTTAATACAATGGAATACTACAAGCATACAACTCAAATATGGTATTTAAGACTTTTTATTTATAATTGATTAATGTAAGATTTAATTAATTATTTAATATTTTACAATACAAAACGCTCTACTGTTACATAAAATTTACATCACCACTTACAGATTTTACACAGCTGTCGCGAGAGAGAATTATGAAAACACAACAATGAACGTGCATTATGAACAAATAAAATTTTGAAACAAATAAAAATCCGTATTAGAGTAAATATCATGCGCACGAAAAGGACCCTCTCCGCTCACCTGCGAGTCGAACCTTGGCCCTGGCCTCTGGAGTGATGGACGCGTCATCGACGGCCACTTTTGGCCGCTCCTTTTGCTCGTCGAGCACTCGGGAGGCGGTCGCCCTGATCACGCTCCAGTCTTTGGCGATGTCGGCGGCCGTCGTGTACTGCGAGGTCACCGTGAACCTGATGACGTAGCGGCCGCACAGCGAGGCCGGCACGCAGTGCAGTTGGCCGCCCGAGTTGAGCTTCTTCAGCAGTTTCTCCGTCAACTCGTTCTCGCCGCACAGTCGGAAACAAACCATGCCCAAGTGGCGGGCCGCCGCGATTTCGAAGCGCGGGTCGCTGCGCACCAGAGACTCGAACTTGGCCGCCAAACGAACCCCCTGCGGAATGAGCAGGTTTTGTTTTGACAGGCCAAAAACGTAAGACGCTTTAACAAGATACATGGTAATGCGAAACAATACAACAGTTGTTACACATGTACGTGATTAGCTATGCTAAGAAAATGTACTTGCCTCCCTCACGTGCCGCTGAAGCCCTTGAACTCCAAAGTTTCTAATCACAAACCACAACTTGAGAGCTCTGAACCGTCTGCTCAGAGGAATTTGCCAGTGCTAAATATTTCATTTTTATTAAAGCTTTGTTTCATTAGTAATTTTAATTAATTATTTACCATGTAATCAATTGCAAGACCTGATGATAAATTTTGATTAGCAAACGAAAAGAATTTAAAGGGGTATCAGAAGTAATCATTTTTACTCTAGAATTATAATCAGATGCAAAATTTTACCATTGAAATCAAATTCGCAATTTAAAAATAAACTCTAATATTAGTTCAAAATTGAAACAGGAGTCATCGAAAGCTCACTTTTTCTCGCCAAAAGCATTTCAATTTTGAGGGACGTGTTAAAATCTGAATGTCTGGAACTTCTTTTTGGTTTGAATTTTGTAAGAAACCTCGATTATTTCGATTTCAATCCTAAAATTGTACTTCTTTTGAATTCATGAATAAAAGTCCTTAATAAGGATGGCCTTTAAATAAATTTATAATAAATATTGCAACTAACCCGAGTTTTCGTGTTGGAGATATAAGGGCTCAACGTTGAATGTGCGATGCAGCGACCCACTGTTCTTCACCCTAATTACATTTTCAATATTATACATAAAATTTAAAGATTTTTCTACCAACGTACCACAAGGCGGTACAATCGAAGTGAACCATCATCCACTTGCTGGGGTTGAAAGCAAACGAGTCTGCGTGATCAACACCATCCAGCCAACCTCTAAACTCGGGACAAATAAATGCAGTGCCTGCGTAGGCAGCGTCCACGTGGAACCACATTTGTTCCTCGAGGCCTATAATATTTTTTCCATTTTAATTGGACGGATAGATGAAAAATAAAAAGAGCTGTTGCAGTAATTATTTTATAAAAAGAAATTGCATATTGTCTATTTACTAGGAATAATATTCAAGAAAATGCTCACAAATTGGCCCCAGTTCCTTGAGGTTGTCAAAGGCGCACGCCCCAGTTGTGCCCAAAGTTGCGCAAAGCTGGAAAACAAGTAATCCAGAGAAAAATATTTATTACAAAGCACAGTATGTGTCGTTCGGCATCAGATTTAAAACAAGTCGCTAATAATTGGGTCTCCCGGGACTCCAATTAATTTGAGAGCGGCTTACAACTTATTATTTACTGCATCGCGCGCGCGAGCCCGCTTATTTATGTAGTTCGCTTCTGAAGCCCATGTCCGAGGGCGAGCACTCACAAACATGTTAGAGATGCACGCCAAGGGCTTCGAATGGAAGCGAATATGAGAACTTACGAAGAAAGGAATGAGGCCCTTTTCCCGGTCGTGAGCAATGGCCTCTTTCAGGCGGTCCCCGCGAAGACTCAGGTTGTCGTCGCACTCAATGTAACGCATCTTCACGAGACCGATCAAGCCTGCTTTTTCTACGGAGGAATGGGCCTGAAACCATTAAAATTTATACAATTATTTTCTTTAGAAATGTTTCCGTTCAACGCAATTTTACTTTAAAATATTTATTTCGAGAGTCAAAATTTAATTTCATTGATTGATAGCAACAGATAGCAAAGCCTTTTTAAGGACACCAGCCACACGTTTTTTTCTTTACATTCAAATTAATATTTCATTGCAAGCATGATTAATGCCAAATTAATTAAATAACACCTGTTCCTACGATCACAGATTGCTTATTCTATTTTGATATCATATAATTAAATAGGCAGGCTTTGAAATTATATAATAACGCAAACAAAACAATTATATGCAAATCATTTTTAATAGTTAATTACGTGTAATAAAAAAATTATTCTAAAAACATTAAAAATAATTAAATTAGTAGCATACAATTAAAAAGTAACTTAAAAAAACTAAAACAAATTTAATCTGTAAGTAAATTAAATAATTTATTTGTATGTATTTGTTTATTAATAAGTAACTAACATTACTCATTGCAACAAATAAATTTAATTTAATAATATTATTCAATAAAAACTTGATCCACTTTACGAATTTTTAAAAGAATAATATAAAAAATATAAAATAAGCTGATGAGATATAAATAATTGATTATGTCTCTGCAAATAATTATAGGGCGAAAAATCTTACCTGATCAGAGCAGTATGCGACGAGACGGCTGTTGATCTCGGCGTCCTCCAGGTCAGGGTACTCCTGTTGGTATCGCCTGATGGCCTCCGTTCTTCCCGCCAAGAGACACACGAAGGTCGCCTCGCTGGCCGTGGTTTGGATGACGCCGCCGCCGGGACTGTCCCCGCGCAGGTGGAGGAAGTCCTCAGGTAGCCCCACCATTTGGCCCAACCAATTCATCACGACCGTTTCCAGCTCGGTGCACGCCGGACTGGAAGCCTGTCGAGTCGGTCGACCAAAGTAAAGGTCAAACGGCAGAACAAAAAAATAGTGCGACAAAAAACATTTGCCAGCAAAAAGTTTACTTACCCAAGTGAATCCCAGACAGTTGATGGCGTCGGCTAACATGTCCCCAAGGAGGGACGGGTACGAATTCAAAGCTGGGAAGTAGGCATGCATGTGTGGACTTTGCCAGTGCGTTACCTTTGACAAATTTATTGAAGTTGTAAGAATTTAAAATTTCTTAGAAATTTTATATTTAAATTCCTTAGAAATTTGAAAAAAATTATTCAATTTGCTATTTCTCACGATTTTCAAAAGGATTTTTTTTATTTATTTATAAATTAACTAATTATTAGTAAATCATTAGTTGATGAAATAATTCAAGTATTTTTTCTAAAAGAAAATAATTAATTAACGTTCTTCTTTAATTATTTTCGTAAAAAAAGAAGGGAACCTTTTTTAATTTTCATACAGTTTAGAATTAAATTGACTTTTTCTTTCATTTTCAGAATTAATTATAATAATTTAAATATAAATTTCCTACCCCAGGCATGATGACCCTTTCCACGTCTCCAAAAATAGTTTCCCAGGGTTCAGGTTCGTCAGGGGCGGCGGAAGGGACGAGACGACGCAGGTAGCCAGGTTTGACGGCTGGGAAAACGCGTCGGTCGCGAATGTTTTGCAAATAGTCGGCGATGTAATCGACCATTTCCTTGCCTGCGAACACAAAAAGAATGTTTCGTTGAGGAAGAAGTAAACATTTATCTCCGTTTTATTTACAAATTCGATTGGCGAGGGGAGAATTGAAAAGAAAGAAAATTACTTTTAATTGTCAGCGCGGTCTCTTAAGGGTTGATTGAAAAGAAAGCGCCCTCGACCCGAGCACTTTTGACAAGAAAAGCCTCTCGCACACCCACGCGCATTGTACTCGTCGCTGGGAAAGTGATTATTTTTGGATTTGCTTGGTTTTTTTTTCATAAATAAATAAAAAAAGGCTAGGGAAGAAAATGAGGTGAATTTTTTTATCTTTTTAAGAACCAATTTTAGTTTTTCCGATATTGTTATTTTCAAGCAATAAAAGTAAAAAATTGAAAAAAAAAATTTATAAACACTGTGGATGAAAAATAAGAGTAAAAGATATTTTAAATGTGTTCTTAAACGTTTTTTTTTAAGGTTTTTCATATTTACAATCAGTTTGACAAAATTTGCATATAATAAATTTTAAGCAAATTAAAAAAATAATATGTTCTACGTCAATCTTACAATTAAAAAAACGTTCTTTCATTAAGTTGAATATTAAAAAGGGCCGGTACAATTATATAAAAAAATACCAGACAGAGCGAGGAGAGAGTCTAAATAATAACCAAAATAAACAACACAAATAATCGAACGACAAAAAATTTAATTTCCATATTTATACCATATATTTACTTTATTTTTTACAAAGTGTAGGTTTATCTATACAGAAGAAAGACGCAAGACTTTCTGTGGATCGACGCGTTTGAGAAATCCGTAAATTCAGATTAGCGAGAGAAAGGCTGCGTATCGAATTTCCGCCTATATGTAAGGCAATTTAGTGTCCGGCGGCTCATGTCAGTTTTATGAGGCTTCGTCCTTTCGCAAATCCAACGATGCGCTGTATTCGCTTGCGTAATCTACGGACTTGGCCTTTTCTCACTCGCGCGGACTGTCAATACAAAATCAAGCTCGGGACTTATTTGCGTCAATCGCCAGCAACGCAAATCCTACTTTACTGATATGTTTGTTCCACCAACTTACAGAAGGAAATAGTAAACATCAACGTGAAATCAATCTGACAAGATAAATGAAAAATAGTTTCTTACAAGGTATGCTATCGATATGACACACCCCGATTTTAATGAAAATTGGTGTACAACTTCTAAAACCCACTGGTATCCCAGAACGGCCATTAATTTTTGCCCAATTTTCCTTGTTTAATTTTTGCCATTTAAACTCCATGTAATTTGAATTACATGGGAGAAATCAGATTTAGGCAACATATATACACAGAGGACGCTTTTGTTGCCTACATTTGATAATTTTTAATATGCGTTTTAATGAAAACTACCCTCCCTTGTGAAATTGGGCAACTTTTGATAGCCATTCCAGAACACCCATGGGTAGTGCAAGTTGCATACCAAATTTCAACAAAATCGGCGTGTGTCATCTCAATAGCTTACCTTGTTAGTGTTATTTTAAATTTTGAAAATAAATTATTATTTCTCATCTCAAACATTTTATATCAATGTCTAGATCAAATAAAAATTGAGTTAATAAAAAATGTAAAATACTATACAAAAATTGCTTACTTTCTTTACAAATTTTATGAAATTCAATGTGAAAATATTTGTTGTAAAAATGTTTGCTTTTATAACTTACAATTTAATCAAGCACTTATTCAAACCTTATGTCAATCAAGACAGTAAAAGAAAATTGTTTTTATGAATGCTAAAAATTTGTTAAGCAAACTCACCCCTTCTTCGATACTCCTCGCTGTCCATGGTTCAGAAACGCTCGGTTTTCCAAGGGTGGTCTTTTTGATGCCCTGTCTTGTGGGCAGCAGCTGATGTTGGTGCTCCTGCAGACAGACAGACAAAAGTGAGATGTCCTTGCGGCACGAGTGGCCGTCGTGGACGTTGGAGGGCTTCTCGTCGGCAGTGCGGCCCCCACTGCAAGAGAGCAGCGTGCTGCACCAAAGATTAACCTACTTGCACCGGCCTCAGGGATAAAATTGCTCCACACACACAACTCATTAATTTGATTTATGTCTAGCGAGCGAAATAATCAGCAACAAAAGTTATGCACCAGAAAGGGATTTTTGTGCACGCCACAGCTCACGTCAAATCAAAAGCTTTTAAGGGAAACCAAATAATTGCAAGCGGCTATTTCTTGCATTTCCTTTTCTAATGACTGATAAAATATGCCTTAAATATCAGCGAAATAATATAAAAAATAAAAATTATCAAAAACATACCAGATTTGACAGCAGATGCAAAAATCAATTAATTTTATACAAGTATTTCCTGTTAAATTATGAAATTTTTAATTTGTATCTCAAAATTTTGTACCTTGATTGGGTCTTGAGGACGTTGGGCCACCTGAGGAATGCTCGAGAGTCACTGCTTGCAAATCGAGAGAGGCGCTGGCATTTATGTCTCTTGCACATCCCTCTGCCGGAGGCGAAACCACCCCTATCGTGCCCCTCCCTCGAATCGTTGCTGTCTTGTGTCTTGCCCATCTGCAAAGTAGAAGAAAAGATTTTGTCTCAACTTTATACAACTAAATTTCCCTACAAGTGAATTTACAGCATTTTTATCAAATAGAGCCTAAAAACTGCAAATTAGTAATAAATGAATATACATAATTGATTTGAGATATTTTAAGAAGATAAATAATATTTAATTTTTTATAATAATTACAATTTATGCTAGTCAATAATTATAAGAGAAGAATGATAAAGACTTATATACTTTGGCTCGAAATAAAGACTTTTTAAGTATTATTCTCCTTTTCCATATTATTTTATTTTCAGATATTACAAATTGTGTCAATACAATTTATTTTTTTAACTTTGACACATATTTCGTAAAAATTTGTAAACATCAAGTAGCAAACAATTATGTAATTAAAATTTGACTTAAAGTGTCTCAAAATTATTTTAAAATCATTTGCAACATAAGTGAAATCAAAATATTCATTTTATTTCACTTATTAGATAAAATTTAAATATTTTCCTTGCCAAAAGTCTTTATATCTATTCATTTTCCGCTAAAAATTTACATTATCTTGGACTTCTTTTCACTACAATCTGAGTTATTACTGATGAGCTGCAATGATTTTAATACTCGATATAAATCATTTCTTAGAGTTGACTAGCCGCACGAGTGCCAAGTACAACTTTGCATAAAAATAGATTTTTTACGGCCTGCATGTATTAGAAGCGTGGAGAGATTAAACGGCACATTATGGAGTGTTTAAGTGGCACCTTCTTTAATTCCATCACGACGAAAGCTCACGAAAGAGAGATCGTTGATCAAAAGGCACTCAGCGTGAAAATGATCTCACTCCGGCTGTGGTTTTTCAACCTGCCGTTCTTTCGTTGTTGGCCTCGCGCGCCGAGCAGGTTTTGCACAAACAGTTTTGCGCGCACACGGCCTTTTGCACGGCTTGAACTTTTGCACTTTGCGCTTTCAATCCTGCACACATACATGCCTTTCGTCGTGATTTTACTTGGTTATAATTGAAAAAAAAATGTTATTAAAATAGGAATGACGTGAGAGCATATAAAAGTGTGTAAAGTAATAATATAATATATGCTTTTTTTTACTTGATAATTATATTGCCATAGCCGGTTTAACCAAGTAACAGATTTTAAGCTGATACCGCTTTTATTTTTTTTTATCATAACAAAACTTTAATGCCATTTTTTCTTTATATTCTTGAATATTTCAATATTGAATTTTCCCAAAATTCCCGCGGTAAACCCACACAATAAAAAAAGAACAATTAAAAACAGATATTAGATCCAAAATATGCTATACAATGCACGTATGTATAAAAATTACAAAATTTGTACCTACAATTTTAATATTTTGACCAGAACATGAACATAAATAATGAATAATGAACCTTGCACGGATATATTTTGTGGGAAAAAATGTTTTTATTAATATGAACGAGCTCAGGATGTTTGTAATTAATTATTATAATTTTATTTTTTATTTTTTGAAGCGGAGAAACCTGGTTTTAACTGAAAACTGAGCTGTGGAGGAAAAAATTGACTTTCAAGAATGGAATATCATATCACAATTTTAGCTGTTAAATATACAAAAATTATTTTCAACGTAAACTCTTAAATTTGAATTATGAGCTCTTAAGTGTTCCATGTTTATAAAACATATTCTTCCGCTTTTAAAATTAAGGGTCTTAAAAAGAATTTCGTCGTGAAAAAGAGAACGGTGATACAATTACCATAGATAAAAAAATAAAATATGTCATCATGTAATAATTGTACATCAGCAGTGGTAAGCATTTTCCTTAATGCCAATGAAACGCATAATATATACACAATAATTAGGTAGCTTCGTGACTACACAATAAGTTAATTCACTCTTATTCATTTGTTTTTTAATAGAAACGAGTCTGAATTGTATCACATATTTATACATATTAAAAAAATAATAAAAATGAGTTTCTGATACATATGTATAGTGTATTGTCAAGTTTATAATATAATATTTTATAAGTTATAATATCAAAATCTGATTATCTTCTGAAAAAGCAACTAATTTGATGATCAAAGATTTGCCAAGGTGCAAGAATTTTATCAATTTAATTCATATAAGTTTGTATGCTTCGCACGATTGAATAATATATTTATTTTATGTTTTTTTACAATATTAAAAGCTGCAGGTACTGAGAAAAATGATGATAAGTTTATAATAAGATTAATAAAAAATATATTAAAAAAACCAAATAATATTAAATAATAACAATTTAAAAATTTATCTTGTATTAACAAAAATATTTCATTGACTAAAAGTGAGTTGTAAAACTTTAAATGTGCAATACAATAAAAATAAATATGCAGAATCTAATAAAATGATTTCTTGTAAATATTTAAATGAATTTTTATTCCAGCACTAACAGAGCTAAGGCATGGCTTGTTTTTATGAGAATAAAAGCGGGCAGCGTGGTGGTGCCATCTGGCCTCGGGCGCCGGCGGCCGAAGCTGCTGGGGCCGCACGTTGTCGGGTCGGCGGGCAACGAACGGAGGCTGAACGCGCGCGACTCGCCAGGATATAAACAAAAAGGTCAACGTCCTGCGTGGTTGGCGGGGCCGTCGCGAGATGGCGACGCTGCGTTCGCCACCCACACTCGGCCGTAAAACCGTATAACTCGGCGTGTTATTTCCCGTAAATACGCGGTGGGAGGGGGTAAGGTACCGTAAGGTGCTCCAAGGGCTGCTCCCCACCTGCGGATGGACCGACGACGGCAATAATGACGAAGGAATGCCCGTCTTTGTGGTTAATACCGCTAGGGTTGCTGATGGAGGGGCGCTTGCTGCATGTGGTGCGCCAGCAGTCGTGAACCAACTCTCGGCCAGGACTTTTGGCTGCATCCGAGCAAGGGTTGACGCGGCCGGTGCAGCGCCAGGTGTGAGTGCACAGTGCTCGTCTCAAACATGCAAACTGCCATCTGAAGGACCTGCTGAACTCATTTAAAGGACCAGTGTGTTTATTTAGTACTTCTGCTGAAACGAAACCAGTGCAAAAACCCGCTTCTTCTGTACTTTTTCCTCTGAATTTTTTCTACTGATTTTGTGTTTCGGTGCCGAGACCAATTTCCGGATTAAGGACTCGCGGCATGATCATCAAGTGATATGCCCAGCACAATTAGAGGTAAGACCAATTTTATTTACAAATTCGAAAATATTTTGCTTGAATTCGGCCCGGGTGTTTTGCAAAGTGGCCTTCTCGGTACGCGTTCCCATGGCAACGGCGGCCGAAGCTCTCATCTTTCTCGTTCATTACGTACACGGGGCTGCACTCGTGCAATATGCGGCTGCACCGGCACGAGCTGCTTTTGCCTTTTTCTTTTTAATTTTGCTCGCGAGCTACGGCGAAAAAAGTAATGCCATAATAAGATTTTTCCCCACAACTGCAAATTATTTCTGCCTCGCAGAAAATAATGAAATTTCTCGCCTTCTTTTAAAACGAAATATATTTATGCCGTTATTAGATAATTCAATTCTTAATTCCTTCGATTATTAAAACGTGTATCAATTTATTGGCGTTCGAACTATGCTCTCTTGTAACTGTTCTAAACAACACTCGCACACACACACAACGCAAGCTATTCCATTGGAAACCCGAGAAGCATGACATGCAGCTTGTTAATATCCCATCATTTCCGGACGTACGGGAGTTTTTTTTTGGGAGGGAACGAATTTCGACTCGCAGCAGAAGATGACGACTGCTCAAATTTAAATGGCTGGGAACAAATGTTAATTTGTTTCAATTTTTAATATCCAAGCCTTTCAAGGAAATATTGGATTTGCAATCGTGCCAATCAAACGTCACAATTTATTGTTGATGGCTATTTTTGCTGGCGCTTTAATGGTTTTTTTATCTTGTGCACTGTTCAGTTTTCACAAGGTGGTGCCACTCAAGTTTGAGAAGACATTTGCAAACCATTCCGTTATGAAATGAATTTGCGCGCAAGTTTTAGTATAAAAAAATTACACAACAAATATTTTAGGCTTGAAAGAAAAATTCAAAATTTGATATAAATATTAAACAATCAAAGTGGCTTTAAAACATTTATAATTCCTTTTTAAAAAAAAAATCCACTTTAAATTTATTCAAGAACTTGAATTTTATTTTTTTCTCAACGATTTTTTTGTTTAAAATCTTTTCCTCGCTTTCAATTTTGCACAAAAGTGCAGGGTTGCAGCAGGAGGAGTGCGCAGAAAGCCGGGCATGGTCGAGGGTTTGCTGCAGCCCCGGGATTTTGCAAAATGTGCAGCTGTCGCGGCTGCACTTGGGGTGTTTCCCAAAAGCACACACCTACTTAGAAAGTGCAGTGTTGCAACAAAATAGGGTATAATAATAAGTTTTCGCTTTCCATGCACCCCATGGCGGAATTAAATGCATCCCAGGCTCACGTGGGTGTGCATTTGCAGTTTATTTTTTGCACGGTCGCGTAACGTGCCCTAATCCAATAAAATGGGCTCAATGCTCTCTCGGTAAAATAAAACACGCTTTTAGTGTTTTATCGCCTTTATAGGTTGAGCTCAAACACATTAAGGCGCAAAATTAATAACGTGTCTGGTACACGCGTCATAGAAAGACCACAAGTAAATTGTTTTTCTAAAAGCTTTTTTAAAATAAAATTAACAGTAATAATAACTCAAGCTATTTTAAACAATTTATTTTAAAAGTTAACAAGTTATTTACAATGTATTTTGGTATTAAATTAAATAGTAACATGTTTTTATTAATTTTTTGATTATAATTTTTTATTTCCTTATTTTAAAACTTGTACAAAAAATGCCACAATCAAAATATATTGTGAGTAAATTAATAAAAAACTTTTGTTTAAAGATGCTGTTTTCATTCCGTTTTTATTAAATTTCAGTTTATACTAATATTTCTTGTGTTCGAACTATTGGCAACTTGTTATTATGATTTCAAGGCAAACTTTTTCGATTAGTCCAATGTCCAATATATCTTATCAAATAATATTGACCCAGCTACTATGCAACAAATTTATTTATAATATAAGTAAATTTAAGGCTATGGAAAAATATAAAAGAAAATCAGCTCAACAACACTTGTCATTTTATTTCAAGTTTTGCAAATTTTCTCGTTTTTCTGCCGCGATAACATATATGAATCAGAAGTTGCGAATTTATGCACAACGTTCAAGTTGTTGAAAACACAATCAAAACTCCTGCAAATCATCGCGCATTGTGACGCGGAACCGCGAGTTTTGTGTTGTTGTGTACAAGAGAACGATGTTCCACATTTCTCGTCAATACCGCATAACGTTAATACATTATTATTTATTTTATTATGTGATGCTGACGAGCGCCGCTGACTGGTTCTTGCGCTCATCATCCTTGAAGGTTCGCTAACCTCTTGAATGGCGAGGATTTTTGTAATGAATGGAGTGTCTTTTTATGTGCTCCGCTTGCAAACACACACACGTTCACCCCGGCGTCTAAGTAGAGGCTCGTTTGCAGCGACGCATTTACCACTTTGAGCAAAAACAATATCGCGTCGTTAAAAGTTGAAAAATAATACATAAGTGATGGGTGATTTATCGCGCCATTTGACTCCTGCAGAGCTGTACAAAGAGAGAGAGAGAGATAAAACTCTCCGTTATAGAAAACTTTTATCATATTTTTAAACTTATTATCCAAATTTAAATTTTATTTGATTTATTATAAAAAATGGTTTATATCATTTAAGGATTGTCAAAAAAGTGTAGCTATAATCAAAACTGGTCGGAAACTAATTTTTAAATAGAATTTAAGAGTTAATGATTAAATTAACTGATAAATTATTAATTAACTACATTTTTAATTATCCTATTTTTATGAAGATTTTTTTTTATAAAATTACAAATTCTTAACAAATTGAAAAACCTTTTTGAAAATTAAATTATGAAATTAATGAAGTTTTATTTTGCTTTGCTTGTGGATTTTCTCTTTCATATTTTAACAAACTATGATGGAATATATTGGTGCACGTAATAAATAATTTCCCATTACTCTGCCGACCCGAACGCCCCAGCACACGAGCGCACATACACACACATGGCCACCGAGGAGGATAATTGCCGAGTCACGTGTCATATAAATTGTAATGAATTGCCGTGACATCTCCCTGGCCGGTGCAAGAGAGTGGAAAAAAAATCCCAGCCGCCCACGATCTAATTGAAAAATAATTGCGAAAATTCTTAAAAAAAAAAACAAATCTGTGGGAGGCTTGGAAATTAAAACGCTTGGAGGAAACGGAGAGAAAGAGGAGATGAAGCGGACTGTGCCTTTCTTTCTTTATTCTCTCTCCGTTTGCTTGCTTGCATGTCAACCTAACTGTTTTTAACTCCTCTCTTTATATAGCATTACAGCATCCTCTCTCTATCATTTACATAAAATTATATACACGCGCTTACAAAATCTCTCAGTGGGCCTGATTAGATCTTTGGGCGCTTTTTCACAAAATTACACTTCTTTCCTATCCTCGCATTTTTTTTTGTACTATTATGCAAGAGATAATTCTAAAATGAAGAAGAAAAAAACATGACTAGCAGCAAAAGATATTCGACTCGGCACGTTTTTCAAATCAAATTAAGAAAATATGCTCTAACAAGACGTGCTGAGTGAGTTTGATTTTACCGCTGCAGTACAGAGAGAAATATATTTTTATTGCACTTCTTGTAATAAAATTTATCAGACCTGAAATGGTTCAGGCTAATCAAAATTTATGAAAGCCCGAGTGAAAAAAGTTGAATGCAAAAATAATGCGAAGGCGGTTTGCGGCTTGCGTAGTCAAAGGATAGGAGCCACTGACCTGAGAGAGTCGGCACCTTAGAAAAAAGGATGTTCAGCCTTGTAAAGGTTGCTAGTCTTGGTGCAACATAGTTCAGAGGAAAAGAATTTATTCTACGTGACGATGAGTGAGAGACACGCTTGTTTAAACAAGAAAGAACGAGGAAATTGTGGATAAAAATTAAAAGTGCTTCGTCATGACCATAATTTTCAAATTTGTTGCTGGACAGAAATAAATTCCTAGAGAGATTATAAAGACACAATTCTTTAAGATTATTAAATACAATTTTTATTGCAAGTTAACACTCAAAGTGAATTTAAAAAAAAAATTAAAACCTAGCTTTAAAAAAAAAATTAAAATAAAAAGAAACATAAAAATCTAGGATTTCCTAATCAATGACACTAAATTATAAAAAAAATTTAAGCCAGCTGCTCTTTTAATTTTTATATTTTTCCAACGAGTTTAAATTGTCTATTTTTCATACTTTTTTGAAAAAAATTATTTATTTTTAAATTTTGTTGCAAGCCCAGAGGTGGTTGACTCTTGTCTGCTTTTGTGAGATGCGAAAGTTTATTTCGTGCATCGGAAAGTGCAGGGGGTAGTGGTGGCCGCGGGTCTATTTCTGTGCTCTCGGCGGTGCATCCTTTTCTCTCTCTCTCTCTCTCGCACACTCTCGTGGACACCACGCGGACGATCGAAATAAAAAGGTGTCCAAAAGGACGTGCCGCGTCTATTTCGAGGCATTCACTGTGCGAGAGCGGCGCACGTGGACTCGATCCAGGCAGCGCACAAAACAATAAAACAACCACTCGCGAGCACCTACATACCCAAGCACTTTTTTTTATATACGTGTGTTTGTGCGAGAGAAGAAAACCATAAAATCAACACCGACCGTTGGAATACGGCGCGCGGCATGAAAGTTCAATGCACATTGGTGTGGAAGAAACAAACACGTACGCGCACGATTTTTTGCAATTACATTTGATTGGTCAGCAGTGTGTGCTGTATAAAAAATCAGGAGCAAAGAACTCTTAGAAATTTTAATCTCACCGAATTTAGTAAAAAAGGAAAAAAGTAATGAATTTTTGGAATTAATTCTAAAAATTTGATTCAGGAAATTTTGAAACTGGTCTTCTTGATTTTCTTTAATTCAATAAAAAATACCGATTTTTGCAAATCATTTGCCATTATAATGCTGGACTAAAACAAAGTTTTAGATGAATCACATAAAAAACCTTAAAAAACTTTGGGATTAATTTTAGACTTAATTTCAAATTCTGAGATCTTTTGACAATCATCGCAGTAATTTAATTTCATAGCAAAAAAGAAAAGAGTAAAATTTCAGAATTTGAGCCGAAAATTCACATTTTTTAAAGAAATGTTTTAATTTTCTTGACACTCAAAATATTTCTCCTTCAATATCAAATTACGCAGAGCTAAGCGATACATCATGTTTTTTGTTCGCTGCAAATCTAAAGGCCAAATCCTCAATTTGTTCTTTGACTCGAGCCAAAACAAAGAATAATTCATCAGCTAATCAAGCGCAAATATTGCATTGTTCCAAACAACAATGTGAGGAATAATAAAATCAACAAATAACGCGTAACGGTGAATCGAAATTTAAAAGAAAATTTCAGCGAAAATCGAATGTAGGTGAAAAGTAAAGGTTGGGTTCAACGGCCCAAATTGCAATGGTGCATCTCGTGCCGAGGCAAAGTAGGCCTCTCTGTTGCGGGCGTTCGTTCGCCGCTTTGGAAAAAGACAAAAATCTAACTGTAGGCAGGCAAGCTGTGCGTGACGTGGCCTGCCGAGGAGAGATGAGATGGTACAGTACCTCATACTGGCGAGGAGTGAACCGACTACGTCATGGATAACGGAGTTAGCTGTTCACTTGGCTGGGTAAAAAAATAACATTGAGAGGAATAGCGGTGGCTCGGCGCGCTGTGAGAACTGAGGCACGGGGCTTGAGAGTGCACTTGGACAATAACCTGAGGAAGACCCGAAGCGCTGCTGCCAAACCGATGCCCGCCTCCAGATATAGGTCTCGCTGCGTTCGTCGGTTCGCCGTCGGCAGGTTGCGGCCCCGAGAATTAATTTCGGACGCGAATTCACGGCTGCTTTTTTATACGCTGGGAAGAGCGCGCGGTGACGGTTATTCGGCTGCTGGTTATGCAATGGTATAGCAAAGCGCCGGTTCGGAATAACAAAATAAATAATGCTACGTTTCTCTCTTTAAATTAATATAGATTTTTTTTATTACTAGTAGTTTCTATATAATTTAAAATGGCGCTTTTTAGAACGAAATCATAGGAATTTAATTGTTTTTGGGCATATTCGTTTCCATATTTTGGAATTCGGTATATTTTAAGGAGTCTCATCAGCTTAAAAGTGGCCAGAATAATTTTGATGATGTAATTGTATTACGTGTTTTTAGTGATTGTTTCAACCTCTAACACAACTTTGATTAGTCTTGGAATGAATCTGAATTTTTGAAAATTAGCATCGATATTTGTGATAATTTTTAATATTATTAAATAATATTTGACAATTTATAAAAAAAAACTGACCCGATTATGATCAATGGAAATATCAGAAAATGAACATTATATCACATCAATTCAGTCTGAAGAATTTAATAAAACCCACCATTGAGCTAAAATTTCTTTTACTTTAGACAAACAAACAAACAAATTTTTTATAGATACTAACATAATTTCATTATAACATTAAAATTACTAATAATACTAATTTATTAAAAAAACATTTGATATTCTTTTTATAACAGCATTTTGTTTTACATGGAATTTATTTTTAATTTTAATGCAATTTAAAGTGAAATATGATTTAGCGTTCAGCTTAATATATTATAACTAATTTTTAAAAGAAAATATATTTTAGGCGGCTCTGACACATTGTGATTGGAATTGCCAAATTAAAATTATTTAGCTTTACGTGAAGCAGTGTGAATAGTCTGACATATAATAATTTGAAGGAACATTTTTTTATTATATAATTAATTGAATGGAAAAATTCTACACTTGAGTTAATTGCGCATCTGCAACAAACTGATGATACATAAATATAAGATTTCATAATTTTAATTTCATTCTGTTAAAAAATGTAACCAAAATTGTGCCGCTAAAACAACAAATTTGACTCGTGCGTGCCCGCAATCTTTGATTGAAAGTTGGGGAAAACCCACCCCTGTGGAATAAATTTTCACTCATTATCGCAGCCCCGAATTTATTGCGGTGTGTGTGGGTGTCCTTATCACACACGCGCCGTTCCTGCTGGCTGCTTGGACGGGTGTTGTTGTTCGCCAGCTGGGTTGCATACCCTCTCTCTCTCTCTCTCTCTTGGGGTGCATGGCATGGGGCGGTGTAGGCCTGTCGCTATCGACCCGCTCGCGGCTGCACATGCACCCCGACCGCCGCCGTCGCCGCACCCCCGCCCGCCCTCAGCGGCCATCCACCCACGGTGCATGCAACCCGCACTGCACGCTCCCGCTTCTTTGTTGGGCTCCGAGGACAGCTTTTAGGCCTGCCACGTTTTCCGCTCAAATTTTCCGCTCTTGGCTCTGTTCCAGCACTGCAATTTTTGTGCTGACAAAGAAGAAAAAGAAAACTGTATAAAGAAAATGTCAAATATAGATATAAATAAAGCAAATTAATTTTTTGACAGATATGCTTGAGAGACAAAAACATTAAATAGTTTAAACTTCAGCCTTTATTTGAATCAGGAAATGATTAAAAAAAATCAACTAGAGTTTTTTTGTTTAACATTTTCAAATATTTCCCCTATTGTGAGAAAAGTGATGAAATTAATAAAAAAATGTTTATATCCAATATTCAATTCTTACAATATTTAACTTTTTTCTTCTTTTTCTATTCTAATTTTTTCTTTCGTTGATTTTTTGTTTTAGTTTCTTTATAAGGCAACCTATTGACTAAAAAATTAAGGATTTTTTCAAACTTGATAATTTCGTAAAAAATAATAAGATTTTCTGATACAATTAGTTTAGGAGAGCAAATTCATGCTCAAATTTTTGCCTTTTTCATTAAAATTTATTTCCAAATTATATTTCCCACGTTTATTTCCTCGAATAAGTGATCGATAAATGCAGTTTTTCCTGAAGTCGTCAGCTTCCCACGCACCCAACTTGACATTTTCCCGTCATTGAAAACAAAGCCGGCTGCATTTACGTCGCAATTTGCGCAGCCACCCGTTCCACAATGTGCAGCTGGAAACACCCCCGTACATACACCCCTGGTTGCACCTCGCATTTTATTTTTCGCGGCAGGTATAAAATTGCATTCGCCTTTGTTGCCGCCTGCCGCGTCGTCATTATATTTGAGATTATTGCAATTACCAGGGAAGAGCTGCGTGTTTTCTGTGCACCTTTGCGTTTTTCAATAACGACGAGACGAAGCCGCAACTGCGTCTCGCTCGTTGCACCCGTGCGGCTCGTCACATGTATGCAACCGGCAGTGCGCCGACGGTTGACGGGGTGCATAATTCCGTCGATCTGTTACGGAAATAACGCGGGTCGCCGTCTGCCTTTCCTCAGGGAAAATGAAACCGGAGATGATGCTTCTGACATTCCTGACGACGTAAAGATTAGAAAACGCGTTTTGATTGAGCTCCTGGTTCTGTAAATTGCATTGTTATATGATCAAACCCAGGAGAAGCAAAAGTTAAATTGGAACTGTTGCGATTTTAATTGAGTGCGGATTACGAGACTATAAAAGTAATTAAAACTATAAGTAAATTGCATTTAAAAAGTTTAATTACATATTACAGCTGTTGTGAATCAAATTATGAGGATAAAATTAATATTAAGTAAATTTGATTAAAATCACAATGAGTCGTAACACGCTAGGATATATAAAGACTGAGCTTTTTACGTTCTCCGTTTATATTTTGGCCTAATAAATGAGTAATTGGGAAAACATTTAAAAAATTAATTTTTCATTTTAAATAAGCAATCTAAAAAAATTAGGGCCTTATTTGTTAACAAACTGGAACAATATGGCTCAATATCAGTTTATATTTATTCTACAAATCAACAGAAAATTCGCTGTTTAGTTATTTTGTTTTATAATTTTTAATTAATGCATTATAAAAATAATTAAAAAAGTTGTTGAAGTAATATGTTGAAGATAATTTTTTATTAAGAATTATTGACAGCATGAAATACATCTAGATCATTGATCAAATTTACAATAAGTTGAGAAATACATATTATGCTGTTTTTCCGTAAAATATTTTCAGTAAAATATATTAATGTGGGCAATTAAATTTGATTTCTGCTTTTGGCTGTACAATGATTCACGCATTTTCACTTACACGAAGAAAATCTTAAAGTAATACGGTAGTTTTATTATTTGCTCAGCGTGCTGAGTGAGTATGACAAATTTTTTTTACTTAGGCAAATAAACTCCCGTTACTTAAAAAGGCATCACATTCTAGAAACTAAATTTTGTATTTTTCAAAAATTTGAAATCCGATTGTTGAGGTTTTGAGTACAAAGGAATGCAATAACGAAGTTTTGGCGTGAAACAGGATTTGCATTGAAGCCGGTACTACACAATGACTGGTGAATTTTGATGAGCAATTCACTCAGCACAGTCCCCTGTGCGTATGTTGGATTTAAATTCGATTGGAGAGAGTGGCTGCTGCACTCGTCCGGCTAATTGAGCGGCACTCAAACGAACGCACTTACAGTTCATTATGCGCTCAGCGTCAAGAGGGTATTTTGGTTTGATGTGTTGTTATCACCTGGCAGGCCAAACACCTCGCGGCCCAACGACAATATATATATATCCGCGTGCGCTTTTATTCCAGCTATTTGCACAGACTGGTGGTGCCGCATAACGTGAAGTCGGCCTGCTTAATGAATAATGCATTAAATAGCGAGTGCTTGCTGGGCTTTAAACGCTCAAGCCAGCGGGTTGTTCTCGGCGGCTCGGAATTTAATCGGTGCGATTCCCGCACGCTGGAAATTAATTTCATATACAAAGCCAAAAGGAAGATCGCTCACTTCTGATCCCTTTAATCTTTTCATTAAAAGAATTTAGGGATGCTCAGAATAATAAAATTATATTTAAGATTCTTATACATCCTGCAACGATTTAAACGTTTAATTAGAAAATTGTTTTTTGGAGGAAAACTGATGAATTTACGGCAACCATTATAAAATTTAGCTTTTGAAGTAATTTTCTATTGTTCAACATTGATTTAAAAGACCAGGAAGGACCTGAACTGTTAAAGTTTGATTTTTGAAAGCTTCAAATCCCTTAAATTAATGCAAATATTGAATTAACCAGTTCAGTTTTTTCACCACGGCATTTGCTCAAAATAAATAATGCTTCCAAAATAAGTTGTTGGAGTTAATGGAGCGAGAAAATAAAATTGGAATGGGTGGAAACTTGTTCTGCCTACTGACATGGGCGAAGCATTGCCATAAATTTACTGAAAACAATTTACGCAATGTTTTAAAAGCAAAATGCAGACTGAAAGATTATTTTTAACCGAAGATTAAAAAAAATTATAAAAAACCATCTTCAGACTATGAATTTCATTAAATAATCAGCAATTCTCCTGCTTTTTATTAAATTTTAATTAAAACGCACACGTGAACGAGAAAATTGCAATAATTTAACGTTATATATGTTCCGCAGCCTTACGTCTATCGTCAACGTTGCATCCAATCAATAAAATAGCATAGAGAATTTTTCCCATCAGGACTATTTCCCCAGGCGCTCCGCGAGCAAACCATTCAAAGGAGCCGCAAAAAACAATTATCAAGCGAGATTGTTATCGCGTATAGCAGGCAAAATACGGAAAACACGGTCGTGATTGACTTTTGATCGATTCGCACACTCCATTATTGGAGTGTGTGTGCGCCGCACCTCCTTCTTTTGCATTTCCCATCCTAGGCTATACGCATCGGCACGCAAACAGCG